ATTAAAAATGAAACGGAAATATTTTAATAATAATATTCTACATCATCAATTAAAAATGGAACGAAAATTGGGTAAAATATCACTACATCTGATATTCTAATTGGCTAATTGACCAATTGACTGAAAATAAAAAAGAATAATTTGCTGAAAATGAATATGATATTACTAATTAACTGAAAATATAAAATAAAATGAAATATTAATAGTTGACTGTAAATAAAAAATGATATATAATTAACTAATATGAAAAAAATAAATGTTTAGGTCATTGCATTTTAATTAAAAATTGATGGAAACTAAAATTTAACGGAAATATTTCAACAATAATATTCTACATCATAGATAATAAAGGCATATTTTAAACAATAATAAAAAATTAAAAATGCAACGGAAATATTTCAATAATAATATTATACATAATCAATTAAAACTCGAACCGAAAATTAGGTAAAAATATCATTGCATATGATATTCTAATTGACTAATTGATTAAAAATAAAAAAGAATAATTGGCTGAAAATGAATATGATATTACAAACTGACTTAAAATATAAAAAAATCCCTAATTGACTAATATTCTACCATTATATATTTTCACTCGAGTCACCCATCATGATGGACTGAATGTGTTAGCTATAGACGATGATGGACAAGATTGTGTTGCTACTACCAATGTCGAAAGATGTTTCAATAATGTGTACATACAATCGTTGACATTTTTTTTAAATGACAAATTTGCTATATATCTAGACAAAAAAATATATATCTTCCATACAAATGAATTAAGATAGTAATTCATTCCTATAATTGAGTTGCTTGAGAATGAGCACATTTGACTAATTTATATAAAAAAAAATACTAAACAATGATAAATAAAATCTCCAAAATTACAGCACCGCATGCGTACATCTACACATTAGCTATTAATTTGAGCAATCATTTGCTCAAATTTAAGCAATGATAACATCAAAACACATAAATAATCCAAACCATATGTTCAATTGCACTATATAATATTTGATGTTATAATTCAAATAATTATATATTGATCCAAATATTCTTAATATATTACAACAAATCCATTCTGTGCATCAAACGGGTGAAAATACTATTATTCTAATAATTTTTCTTTCCTTCTTTCGTGTAATTACAATGCTAATGTATTTAAATATTGAAAGAGAATTCTATAAAAAGGATCCTTAACTCACTAAAATTCTATATTATTCTTAAAAACAAAACCCCCATTTCTTACTTACCCGCCCAAACAATAAAAAAAAAATTACCAATTAATAATACTAATAATAATTAGTAAAAAAGTTAGTAGTAAAATAGAAAAAAAGATCCTTAATTCACAAAAAGTAGAAAAAAAAACGGGATTCACTAATTAATTAAAACTAACAATAATCAGTAAAAAAAGATCCTTAATTCACTAAAAATGAAAATATAAACGGAATTTACTGATTATGACTAATAATAATTGGTAAAATAGGAAAATAAAAAATGAGTCTTAATTCAATAAAAATGAAAAAAAGAAACGTAATGGTGCGAAAAAAAAAGGTCATAATAGGATAACAGTAAAAAAAAAAAAAAATTCTACCAAAAATTAGAATAATAAAAAAAGTTTCTTAATTCACGAGAAATAAAAAAGGAAATGGAATTCACTGATTAATTAATAGTAATAATAATCAGTCAGAAAATTAGCAGTAAAATATGAAGAAAAAAAAAAGATCATTACTTCACTAAAAATGGAAAAATAAACGAAATTTACTGATTAATACTAATAATAATCAGTAAAATTGAAAATAAAAAAGGATTCTTAATTCAATGAAAATGAAAGATTTTTTTTTTAAAAAAAAAGGGGTCATAATAAAAATAACAGTAAAAACAATCCTACAAAAAAAAATGAAAAAAAAAATATTCATAATTTACGAAAAATAGAAAATGAAATGGAATTCACTGAATAATTAATACTAATAATAATCAGTAAAATTAAAAGTTAGCATTAAAATAGAAAAATATAAAAGGATCCTTAATTCACTAAAAATAAAAAAAGAAACGAAAGTCACTGATTAATGCTAATAATACTTAGTTAAATAGGAAAATATAAAAAAAATCTCAATCTATACCATTATTAAAAAGAAAATCCTTCTTCCTTACTTTCACACCCAAACAATAGAAAAAAAAATCTATAATATAATTAAAAACAAAATTCTATTTACTTGATTTATCGCCCAAACAATAGTAAATAGTAAAGGTAAATTTTTTAAAAAAAAGGATGAAAAAAAAAGAACAAAAATATTCTATATTATCAATTAAAAATGGAATGTAAATTAGGTAAATAAATAAGTATTATTTAATAAATATTAACAATTGTTTGGCATGACTTCCCACATAAGAGAGGTCACTACATGCCATCTGAGCACAAGGTGCTTGGCAACAAACATTAGGTTAATTGAAAAAGGAAATAAATATTAACAATTGTTTGAAAATAAGAAAATATTCATAATTGACTAAAACAGAAAAAAAATGGTCAGATCATTGCATTTTAATTTTTCACAATAATATTACACAGTATAATACATCAAATCACGAGTATGTCATAAATTTTACACAATTTTAAACAATAGAATGAAAATATTTCAATAATAATATTCTACACTATCAAGTAAAGGTAAATTAAAAATGAAAAGGAAATACTTCAATAATAATATTCTACATCATCAATACTAAAGACATATTTTAAACAATAGTAAAGGTAAATTAAAAATGTAGCGAAAATTAAAAATGAAATGAAAATATTTCAATAATAATATTCTAAATCATCAATTAAAAATGAAACGAAAATTTGGTAAAAATATCATTGCATTTGATATTTTAGTTCGCTAATTGATTAATTGACTAAAAATAAAAGAGAAGTAATTGGATGAAAATAAATATGATATTACTAATGGATTGAAAATTTAAAAGGAAATGAATATTAATAATTGACTGCAAATAAAAAATTATTCATAATTGACTAATATGAAAAAAATAAATGGTTAGATCATTGCATTTTAATTAAAATGGAAGGGAAACTAAAATTGAACGCCAATATTTCAATAATAATATTCTACATTATAAATAGTAAGTGCATATTTTAAACAATAGTAAAGGTAAATTACAAATGAAACAGAAATATTTCAATAATAATATTATACATCCTCAATTAAAAATGGAACACAAATTAGGTAAAAATATCACTCCATGTAATATTCTAATTGTCTAAAAATACAAAAGAATAATTGACTGAAAATGAATATGATATTACTAATTTATTTAAAATATAAAAGGATCGCTAATTGATTAATATTATACCATTATATATTTTCACCGAGTCACCCATCCTGATCAATTGAAGGTGTTAGCTCTAGACGATGATGGACAAGATTGTATTGCTACTACCAATGTCGTCTACAAAGAGGTTTCAACAATGTGTAAATAAAATCGTTGATATTATATTTTTAAATGACAAAATTGTTATATGTATAGACAAAAAAAATATCCTCCATACAAATGAATTAAGATAACAATTCATTCATATAACTGAGTTGCTAGAGAACGAACACATTTGTATAATTTATAAAAAAAAATACTAAACAATGATAAAAAAAAATCTCCAAAGTTATAACACTACATGCATACATCTACACATTAGCTATTAATTTGAGCAATTATTTGCTTAAATTCATACAATGATAATATAAAAACACTTAAATGATCCAACCCGTATATTCAATTGAACTATATAATATTTGATGTTCTAATTTAAATAATTATATATCGATCGAAATATTCTTAATATATTACAACAAATCTATTCCGTGCATCGCACGGGCGCAAATACTAGTAAGTCCATAATAACGCATTTCTGTTACATCTTCGGCAAGTAGTTGAATAATTAAATGCTTCTTAACGGCTATCAAACTGGCAAATACCATCTCACATGGAAAATGGATGAAGTCCTAATTCCCGCAGAAGCTGTTAAAAACAGAAACGTAAAAAGGAAGGTTCCACCGAGATTTGAACTCGGGTTACTGGATTCAGAGTCCAATGTCCTGACCACTAGACCATGGAACCATTTCTGTTACATCTTCGGCATTGAATAATTAAATGCTTCTTAACGGCTATCAAACTGGCAATACCATCTCACATGGAAAATGGATGAAGTCCTAGTTCCCGCAGAAGCTGTTAAAAACTGAAAAGTAAAAAGGAAGGTTCCACCGAGATTTGAACTCGGGTTACTGGATTCAGAGTCCAATGTCCTGACCACTAGACCATGGAACCACGCTGTGTTTACAATGCAGAGAAAATTATTTCATGAGATCTCACACCCATAGTTTTTATTCCGCAATGCAAATGAGATAATGTATAATATTTATTTTTAAATAAGTAATTCAAAGTATATCAATGCAAGATTATATAGAAAATGTTCATGCATATGTAATTGTTTATTTAAAGCATATGAATGTAAGATAATATTATATGAGAGATCCATTATAATTGTCATTAAAATAAATACTACTTTTAGTTTAAATTTATATAAGTCATTGTCTTCATCTTTTTTTTTTTTTATTGGTAATATGTCATGTGCAATTTGGCTACTGACGATAACATAGACGGCAACATCATGTAATTAGGTATTAAATCAGTCGCATATGTAAAAACTATAGTGGCTTTATACAGCCGAATATCAAGTTGAATCAATGGCTTTTGATAATAAACACGAATTTGACTTGTATATATCAATACAAATTTGAGTACAAATAACATATAACTTGGGCTAAGTTAGGATAAGTTTAGCATTGAGTTAGGACTCCCTCTAGTAAACTAGACAATAATAACAAAAATAACTAAGAGTGTGTTTGAAAGAACTATAAAATTTAGTCTTTACTGCTTTCACAATGAGCTTAAATAATGGCAGCAGCAAGAACAGATTGGGGAACAGGGAAGGAAGATTGAGCCAGTTTATCTACATCACATCATTATATAACATTGTCCACTCTGAAAACAAAGTAGAGTCACAAGTGGTGTTCAAGGAAACTTTCATAGCACCAGGTAACACTAACAGAACACTGTGTACCATGCTTCCTGTATAACACCAAAGGAAAACTAAAAAGCCTATGTACAGATTTGGTAGGGAAAAGAGTTAACTACGTGATATTATGTCCATGTTAGCTAGTCTGCCCAGTCTCCAAATTTTTTACAGACAAAGTCTTTCTGCTCATGGGATCTGTTTGCTCTGCGGAACCAGGTGGTGAATGCACTGATCAAGTGAGGACAGTCTTCAACATTCCGAGTTGAGAAGCTAAGACACTGTTGCAACAACTCCTGAGCATCAGAGAGCGGAAGTGTTGATATAATCCTCAAGAATGTTTCTTCCAGCTCCAGATATAGTTGTTTGTGATTAGGCATCATAGGCGAAACATTGTCTTTGCATGCAATAAGCACAGGAAGCCAATTTTTCACGAGCTTCATTCTAACCTGTTATTTACAAAGAACATAAATTATAAACACACATTCCTTTCACAGATAAATACTCTCTGCTACTGTAATGAAGTACAATCATCACCATTGCACAACAAGAGATATCACTCGTTGGGGAAAAAAAAAAAAAAAGGCGAGCCAAGACCAATAGTGTTTCTTTCCCAAAGTGCTTCATATTTGAGGTTCTAGTTCAGATTGAAGTTCATGTAAACAAGCATTTTAAGTAATGCTGAGAATGGAAACTAGTGAATTACCTGAAGGAAACATTCACAACTCCCACAGCCAAAAAAAATTCTTTTTTAAAGGAAGAATACAGCTCATAATAAGGATATGAAGTCATTAATAAAGGCTAAAGTGCAGAATTGAAGCCAATGAGAGCCAGGGAAGATCGACTAGAAGTAATGGATTCAACTTGAGAAAGAAAAAACTGCTAAGTATGGATATGAAGCTCCCTATTTGTTGCAGATTTACTATAAAAGGATTCAGTAGCATTCTTATTGTCTTGGTATTTTTGTTAACTAACAATCTCATCATTATAAAAGAAGAAGAAAAAGCTAATAAAAAAGAAGTTGTGAAGGAAACCTGTCTATCAGCCAGGATAGTCCCCATTGAGACAGCATTGGCAAGCTTGCAAGTGCATCGAAGCACAACGGCAGGAAGCCCAGGAACATAATTCCTCCAGGCATCATCTCGGAATGCTCTCTGTAAATCAGCAGTAAATGAAACCTGATTGCTCCACTCCTTCACAGCTGTATCAGCCACCCTCAATTCAATCATCCTCTCAACCAACCACAGCAGATGCCTCCCATTCGTCATAGCAGTGTGCAAATTCAACCTCTGAATCGCCTCGGGGTCGTTGTGATCACATCTGAAGTCTGGACTCGAATACTCCTCCAGCGACTCCTTCACAACCTTCAGGCTCATTTCGAATACACGATCGAGCACCCTCCTAGCCAACTCCTTTGAAGAGAAGTCCCTCAACAGCTTGGCAACAAAAGCCTTCACGAAAGCCATGTTTGTGTGGTTATGAAGTGCGGCGCGAATTAGCCCACGAAGCATGTCTTCAGAGGAATCATGCTTTATAGGTGCAACCCTAGCAAGGAGGTCCTTGGTTTCTTCGTCTCGTAGAAGTGGAATTAAACTGAAAACTCTCTTCTCTTCTTCTTCAGTCCAAGGCACCGCCTCAAGGAACCGTACACAGGCCTTAATACACTCCTCAAATATCAACTTCAGAGCTACCTCAAGCAATGACAGCGCTGTTGAAACGCTATCTATCGTCGCCGAATAGTCGTCTGTATAGAGAAGTTGAAGAACAGTGATGTGGTCGTCGATTGATCTAGGCGTATCCGGAACGCCGAGACTAAACCGGTGCATCTTAGATGCGCTTCCAGAATCCCCCGCAGTGTCCTTTGACTCATTCAACCACCGCTCAGACAAAAGAGCCTCGAAGTACTCGCAGCGGCGAAGCACATCGGAATGGAGATAGATCTGGACATCGGACTGGTCCAGAGAATCGACGGCTGAGATCGACTCGGCGTCATCGTCATCGAAGGGACAATCAACGTAGAGCCGGAGGACGGTATCAGCGGATGCCGAATCATTAAACGCGCCGCGCGAGGAGATCGGAAGATGAGAGTGAGAGGCGGTGCGCCGAAGAGCAGATGGTTTGTGAGAACATTCGTCCAGGATTTCGTCGGGACGGGAGGAATCAATGGCTGCGACGGTGGAGGACAGACGGTTGCTGCTTCCGGTACGTTGTCTCTTCTTCGCCGCAACACCGGTTGCGCCACCACCACCACCAATCTTCATTTGCGGTATCGATCGAGAATTCAAGGAATGATTGAAATTGCAATACTACTTCACCGAAACAGGTTATCCAATCTTATCTTCAGCCATGAATTCATAAAAATGATCATTTTTTAATCAAAACGTGTACGGTTGAGATCTTAGATTTTCCTATTTTATATTAATAACGAAGTGGATAAATCTGATTTTTTAAATGACATGTCATGGGCCCAAATTTGTAATGGGCTTTGTTGGGACACCTTTCCTGGACCTTGACACACTGGCCCAATCATGTTTTGCCTAGCGTGAGGGCATATGGGATAGTTATGCTGTGCATCCGTATGCACCATGCATGGTGCATACAGATGCCAAAACGACGTCGTTTTATTAAAAAATGTGCGTCTTTCCTTTAAAAAAATTCAGGTTCGATTCCCAGCAACAACATTATATTGTTCATTCATTCTGAAATTTTAGTTCATAGATTATGGAATTATAGTTCATTGATTATGGAATTATAGTTCAGCGATTATGGAATTATAGTTCATTGATTCTGAAATTTTAGTTTATAGATTATGGAATTTTAGTTCAGTCATTCTGGAATTTTTAGTTCATAGATTAGATTATGGAATTATAGTTCATCGATTATGGAATTTTAGTTCATATGTTGTTGTTGGGAATCGAACCTGATTTTTTTTTTTTTAAGGGGAGACGCGCGTTTTATTAAAACGACGTCGTTTTTGCATCCGTATGCACCATGCATGGTGCATACGGATGCACAGCATAATTTGCCTATGTCTTTTAGCAAATTATTGTGTGGACCATGGTCTACGGCAAATTATGCTGTGAGCACGTGTCCACCATGTACATGGTGTGCATCAATTTATATCCATAATTTCTATATTGTAGATTCATAATTTCTAAAATCTCGGTGAGCTAAAATTTATACTTTAGATTCCAATTGTTGAACCATGTTTTTACAAATAGTGCAGTATAGAAATTATGGATCTTACGGTTTTAGAAATTATGAATCTAAAGTACAAAATGTGCGTTGAAATGAAATTGAATATGTTATACAAATTGAACTAATTACACGAAACGGGTGGAAAAAAAAAAACGGCAATGTTTTAGTCTTTTAGACCATGGTCCACAGTAAAATTTGCCGCACTGTGTCGACCATACCAAAATGTACATTTTGTACATTATTTGTGTACTAAATGTCTAAATATACATTATACAAAATAATATATTTTTAGTACTCAAAATAATGTACTTTTTTGAATGTATATTATTTGATAGTCTAATCTATTGAATGTCTTTGCATCAATTCCCCGTCAATTACCAATTTGTTCGTAAATCAATTTTTTTTTTTTTTTTTTTTTTATAAATTCGCTTTATTGTATTACAAGTTAATTTAGTAAAGTCATGTCAAATAGTAAAAAAAATATAGTATACATTTCATTATTCTTACAAGATTTTTCATGTTATTATCATACTGATAAAATGATGTTTTTTTTTTGAAATATGGCGTACCAATATATTAATTCAAAAATTGAATGATAGAGTCAGGAGGGATTAAATCCCAGTACATAGAATGATCCTGGTCATGGGCTAATCTAGCTAGAGTATGCGCATGTAAATTTAAAGTTCTTGGAATAAAACTAAGCGAACAATTAACGAAACTACTAATAGCTATCCTGCACTGCTCAACCAGAATTCCAACATAAGATAAGTTCGATGTCGTTACTGCATGAACCGCATTCTTTAAGACAAGACAATCCGTAAGAATATCCACCTCGTTCTCGTTTCGGTCTTTAAGCCAGGACAAGGCTTCCTTGCATGCTAGTGTTTCTGCCATAAGAGGAGTTAAACACCCCGGGAGTTTTCCGCTTGCCGCTGCTTTGAACAAACCATTCGGATCGAGCAAGACCGCCCCATAGGTTGCATTTCCCGTTCCCGGATCGTATCCGGCGTCGACGTAGCACGCCGTCCGCCCGGCTGCCACTGTCCGCACCCCGCCGGCCGGTGCCGCCGCTGGGCGAGAATGAAGTGCCGTGTAGCTCGCCTCCCCCGCAGCTGCACGGCGCCACACCACCTCCGGTCTCCGTACCGCATGGTCCCAGACCGCCTCGTTTCTGGCCCTCCATAAAAATTAGAGGACCCCCACAACGCGTCTGACCTGTTCGCCTGTGAGCATATCCATAACAGTCATAAGCCAGTTCGGGAAAGATGTTGAAAAAATATTCATAATAGGCAATCCCGAAATATTCCATACAGCTCTAGAATATTCACATAAAACTAATGAGTGCATAACATTCTCATTTGTAAGACCACACAACATGCATGTTGGGTTCACATCTACCCTCTTTATAATCAAATTTGTTGTGGTTGGGAGTATATCACACACCGCTCTCCATAAAAAAGTTTTCCACTTGGGGGGACTTTCAACTTCCACAATGTAATCCATTTATCAAATTCTCCCAAGGTGTGATTAAATTCTCCCATTAGACGCCTATAAGCATCCTTTACAGTGTAGCAACCATTCGCATCATTATGCCAATACCATGTGTCTGGGCTCACAGGTATTCTCAATATACGACCACATCCTCTGGTTCAAATAAATCTGTTAAAATATGGGGGTCCCATGTTTTTGTTTGCTGATCTATCAGGCATTACTGTTTGAACCAATGGACTAGGATTATCCTGCAACCACGGATGACCCCATATCAAAGTCTCCTGGCCATTTCCAATTCTCCTGCGGACGTGGGCAATAACAAAATCATGAGCAGCCATAATACTTCGCCAACAAAAGCTGGGATTATTTCCCACCGTTGCATCAACAAAAGAAGTTTTTGGAAAATATCTTGCTTTATATATTCGTGCTGCCAGAGATCCTGGATTCGTTAAGAAACGCCATGCCTGTTTACCCAACATTGCCAGATTAAAATTCCTCAGGTCTTTAAACCCCAATCCACCAAACTTCTTAGGGATACACAATTTATTCCATGCTTTCCAGTGGATTCCTCTGTCTGGCCCTTTCCCCCACCAATACCTATTCATGGCCCTTTGTATCGACTCGCAAACTGATTCAGGGAGCAAAAAAACACTCATTGAAAATGTAGGCATAGACTGAGCCACACTTTTCAAAAGCACCTCTTTGCCAGCCTGTGATAACAATTTCTTGTTCCACGAGAAAACTCTCTGTCTGATTTTATCTTCTATATAAGAGAAAACAACCCTTTTATTTCTCCCTATAAAAGAGGGTAATCCCAGATATTTTCCAAAGTTTCTTGCCTGTTCCACGCCCAGACATTCGGCCACCTCCTCTCTCATCTGTTCCACAGTATTCTTACTATAGCATATATTAGATTTATGATAGTTTACCAACTGACCAGATAACTCCCCATACCTTTCCAAACACTGCTTAACCACCATAGCTTCCTGGACATTTGCTTTAAAGAACAACAAACTATCATCAGCAAAAAATAGGTGTGATATTGGGGGGGCTCCCCTAGCCACTCTACAACCGTGAATAGATCCTACTGCCTGTTCTTTCTGCAAAAGTATGGATAAACCTTCAGCACAAATAATAAATAAGAAAGGTGAAAGTGGATCTCCCTGCCTGAGACCCCTTGTTGGTTGCACCTGACCTCCACTCTCGCCATTGATCATCACACTGTATGATACAGTGGTAACACATGTCATTATCAGCTTAATCCACCTTTCATCAAAACCCATCACTTCCAGCATCCTTTTCAAGAATGGCCACTCCATCCTATCATAGGCTTTCGCCATATCTAGTTTAAGTGCTCCCCACCCAGCCACTCCACACTGTTTACGATTCAAAAAGTGGCCCACCTCTGCCGCCACAAGTATATTATCCGTTATAAGCCTTCCTGGAATGAAAGCACTCTGAGAGTCCGAAATCAGATCCCCCAGCATAGGTTTCAACCAGTTAGCAATCATTTTTGCCATAATCCTGTATAATACATTACTCAGGGCAATAGGCCTCAAATCCGCCACAGTTGTAGGATCATTCTTCTTCGGGATCAAAACAATATTAGTCGCATTCAAATCACCCGGGACTTCACCTGAATTCAAACAATTAACAGCAAAAGTAGACACATCCTCTCCAACTATATCCCAAAAACGCTGATAAAATCCGGGATTCATCCCGTCTGGTCCCGGTGCCTTGTCAGGATACATGGCAAATAAAGCAGTTTTGACCTCGGCCACATCATAGGGACACAACAATGCGTTATTCTGATCAATTGTCACACGGGGCCCAAACTCATCAAACAAAGGGTCCTCACACACAGGATTACTAGTAGCAAAAATTGTATTGAAATAGTTGATTCATTATTCATATCCTGTCCCTCCACCCATACCCCATTCTCATTCAACAGCTTAGAAACAGTATTCTTTTTCTTTCTAGCAGAAGCATACCTGTGATAATATTTCGTATTCGCATCTGCGCCACGAAGCCAATGCTGCTTCGCTCTCTGCCTCCAAAAGACATCTTCCTGGGCTTCTAACTGGGAGATCTGGTTATTTAACAGCTGGAACTGAGCCAAAGATGCCGAATCCCTCCTACCACGGATCCGCCCCTGCTCCCTGCGGAGTCGCCGGATATGGTCTCCAAACTTATGAAAATGGTCACCGCCCCAGCGCATCAGTCTATCCCCACATCGTTGTTGACAATTCAACAACCCCTCTGTCCTCCCCCCTTGCCAGGCAGTTTCCACCACTTCTCTACACCCCTCATCAAGCAGCCATGCCATCTCAAACCTAAACCTCCTCGGAACCCTTCCTCCTCCCCTTTTTCGTGCATTCATATCAAGAAACAGAGCTGAATGATCCGAGTTACTAGTAATTATGTTCTCCACACCCGCCCCTCCATGCACATCACACCACTCCATCGTTGCCAGTACCTTATCTAGTCTCTCCTCCAACCATTGATCCGTTCCACTATACTTCTCCCATGTGAACTGGTATCCCCTCATAGGTAACTGGCGCAATCCACACTCATCCACAGCTTCACTGAAACCCCGGAGAAAGCTATCTGGATGTGGATTGGTTCCCCTTTTCTCATGCTGGAATAAGAGATCATTAAAATCTCCTATTACAACCCACGGAAGCGGAGACTTCCCCACCAAAGATTTAAGCAACTCCCATGATTCTCGCCTTTGACTACTCTTAGGGAAGCCATAGAAACACGTCATACGCCATGTCTCTCCTGATGACATTCGGACCTCAATATCCACATGGTTTTTCGAATAGCCCAGTAGTGTAGCTGTATTATTCCTCCTCCACAACAAAGCCAGTCCCCCACCATTCCTCACACTATCCACATAGAACAAACCTTCAAACCCTATTCTCACACGGAGTCTCTCCGCATGATCTCGCTTCACCATCGTTTCCATTAGAAATACAAAGTCAGGCTTCTTACCGGACACAAGGTCCACAATCTCTCGAATTGTACGTGGATTGCCCAAGCCACGACAGTTCCAACTTATCGTACTCATGATGATGGGCGGGACTGGACTCTAGCTCCCGCCTTTCGCAAGTTTTTTGACACATCGGTCATAGCCACATCCTCTCCTTCCCCCTCAACCCCCCGGCGGCGCTTGACAGTTGCCACCACTCCCTCCACCCTCTCCCCAACCCCCATACTTCCCTCCCTTATCTCCCCCTCTTCCCGCCCCCATGCACCGCCACCTTCCACCCCCTCCCCCGCCTCCTCCCTCACCCTAGGTTTCGGCTTTCCCCCAACCGGCACTAGCCAATTCTCCCCCACCGCCCTCGGCGCTCCCCTATTTCCTCCCGCCCGTAACCCTAAAAACGGGTGCATCTCAACCGGTGTCGGCCTCTCACGTGCTTTCAGACAGAACATGTGAACATGACCCAACATCCCACAAAACGAACAGTGTTTGTGCAGACGTTCATACCGAAAAGTTATCCAGCTTACCGACTTATCCCGCTTCACCAACTTCATGCCACGCCTCAACGGCTTCCCTACCGCAATAGACACACGGATTCGGTAGAACGTAAGCCATGGTGCCCCTGCGAATCTCTCATCATGCTTCACAAACTTGCCTATAAAGTTCCCAGCCTGCTCAAGTACTGTATCCGACGTATATCCCATCGGCAATCCATGCAACTGAACCCACATATCAATTGAATTCAGCTCCACATCCCCCGGCACTGTTCCGGCCACCACCTCCCGGCATACCAAAGTATTATTCTCAAAACCCCATGGACCCCCATCCAAGACATAATCTATGTCCGTCCTATGATAAAAGACAAACAAGAAAAGTCCCTGTTGGATCTCCGTAACCTGCACCCCCCTTACCGGTTGCCATACGGATGCCATAACCTGCTTCATGAAATCCAGTTTCACCAGCTTCGTAGTTAGGAACCTCCCAACAACAGCCCATGTCTCCTCATCATCATCCTGGAGTTCCCCGACTCCTTCCCCCTCCGGCACGAACTCGTCCCGTTCGTCCTCCAAGTCAAACCCTTCCCACCGTGCAGTCAGCCTCTCAACGTCACTGCTGTCTTCCGCCATGCCTGCCCCGTGCTGCCTGCCTCGCTTCTCGTCAGAAAAGAAGCTGACGCTCCTTGTCGGTGAAGAACCGGCGTTACACACCGTAGAGATCCGATCAGAAAGCGCAAAGAAACTAGGTTTCCCTAGAGAGAGCCAAAACCCTAGTTTACCCTAGAGAGAAAACGTTTTTTACTTTAACTATTATTGATAAAATGATGTTATAAGTTTAATTAATGTTAGATTAACACAATGTTTAAGTCACAATCAACAATCTAAACAGGTCAAATTAGTTGGGGGGTCAACATTAGACTTCAACGTGGGAACTAGACAAGTGGTAACAGCCATTACTTAGTTATCCACAAAATTTCATGAAGATGGAAGATCAAATAACAATATATCATAATATAAATTTATATTATGTTTCAAAAAGTTGTTAAATGGGCAAAACATGATTATTGTATTACAAGATCATAATTTAAGTCTTCTTAATATTTTTTTAATTTTGTAAGAGTGTGACATAATTTATTAAGTATATATTTTCCAAAAACAATAAATCTCTTACACACTTTTGAATATATGACTAAAATTAGAAGTGAGAGGCTAGATTTAGCAGAGAAGGCAACAATGGCGCTGTCAGGCTGGTGCGTCGGTGTTTTATTAGGATCTACCAAACCAACCACCTCAAAGTAAGTAAAAATGTTAGTTACAAATTCCATATCATGTCGCCAATAATGCTTGTCTCCTACTCCAGAACAGTATATCACCTTATACTTCACGAATCCGATGTAGGCAGCTACGTATTTTTGTCAATCATGTTAGGTCCAGATTTTTTTTATTAAGGGTCAAATAGACCACTCAACTGCGCACCATATTACAATTGGGTCATTGAACTAAAAAATAATACAATTGGGTCCCTGAACAATACAAAATCATGCAATTCAATCCAAATTGACCTGTTTACCTGTAAAAGCGATTACCGAATTTAAAAATACTTTTTTAATAATTTAAAAAAAAAAAAGAGCAGAAAACCCTTTGTCTCCGCCGGAGACGAAGTCTTCTTCTTCGTCTCCGGCGGAGATGAAGGGCTGGCTTCGTCTTGGGCCGTCTCCCCGGCCATGGAGACGGCCTGAGACGAAGCCACCTTCGTCTCAGGCTGTCTCCATGGCCGAGGAGAAGGCCCAAGAGTTGCCTGCCACTTCGTCTCCGGCAGAGACGAAGTGGCGGCTTCGTCTTGGGCCGTTTCTTCGGCCAGGGAGATGGCCTGAGACGAAGATCCCTCCGTCTCCGTTCGTCTCCGCCAGAGATGAAGAAGACTTCTTCGTCTCAGGCGAAGACGACATATGTTTTTTTGTTTTTAAAAAAATTTTAATTATAGCTTTTTGTTTTTTTTTTTTTAAATTATTTAAAAAAATAAATATTTTTAAATTCGGTAACCGTCTTTCCAGGTAAACAGGTTGATTTTGGATTGAATTGCATGAGTTTGCATAGTTTATGGACCCAATTTCATTCTTTTTTAGTTCGATGGCCTAATTGCAATTGAGTGGCCTATTTGACCCTTATTCCTTTTTTATTTTACTTACAAATGTTCCACAAACTTAATCTCAAGATTTTATTTTCAAAAAAAATATAAAAAATACACCGTATATATTTATGAAGTATAACTAAATTATAAATTATATACTATATCGACATAATTTAATGGTTTGGCCCGATAACTTGTTGAGTTAGCCCGACTCAATCCAATATAGGACAAGTCTAATTAGCTCGATTTTTATTGGGTTGAACTTTTGGTCTTAGTCCTACAATTTTTAGGACTTATTAGGCTAGTCCGACTCAATTCGATAACCCTATTTGACTTGTACTTGATCTAAATTACACGTCTTGATTGGCATTTATAATTTATATAATAAAATGACATAACATATGTATGTGACAATGTCACAATAGTCATATGAATTTGTTGAGAAGTATTATTTAAAATTTGCTTATAGCCCATGGTGGAGATTCAATTCTTGTCATGGGATTTGGATTGAACTCATTAAATGTAAAGAAATGTACAATTTAGTATTGAGTTTCAAAATTTAGAATGGATCAATCTATTCTTTTATGTGCATGGAGTGGATTCATGAGTTGATATAGTCGGAAAAATATGGACTTTTTAAATTATTGATTTAAAGGGGTTATATTGACATTGCGGAACTCTTAATACAGCTTTCTCGTCGATGCCTTCCTCACTACACTTGCATCACACTGTATCTCCCTGAAAGCACATCCGCTCTTTTCTCAGTCCGGTAGAACCAAAACCTCCATTGCTCAATCCTATCCAATGCGGAGCCCATAATTCACCTACTAGCTTCCACGGCTCACATTCCCTCGCGTTTCCACGTGCCGGCGGGCCTCCGGGAAGAATGGCGGATTCCGGCAATAATAACAGCTCTGGTAAGTTGTCTACCAGCTTTTTCACCTCAAAAACTCAAATTCTAGGGCTCCAACTGTACGTCGTGATCGCCGCCGTCGTCGTCATTTTGGTCTTTGTCTTCGTCCTGATATTTCTGTTCCTCCGCCTGAATCGGAGGTCCGAGCCACGTCGCCTAGGCGTGAAGCGCGGCTCAGGGCTAGTTCCGTTAGTTGCCAAAGAGATTTCCGGCACCAAAACTCGCGATCGCTCTGTGATCTGTAGAGTAAAGGAGCTCGAAGATAAGGAGAAGGAGACTAAGGCGATTTTGCGAGAGGATGCGGCGAAAGTCACTGATATCGAGTCCGATGATCATAAGGGAAGTTCCGGAAGCAATAATTCCAGTACAAGTCAGTCATCGTCGTCGACGGACGCCTCGAATATTGGATGGGGCCGGTGGTACAGTTTGAAAGAGCTGGAAACGGCCACCAGAGGATTTTCAAGCGTAAATGTGATCGGAGAAGGCGGATACGGCATCGTTTTCAGAGGAGTTTTGCCCGATGGTTCAGTCGTTGCGGTGAAGAAACTTCTAAACAAGTGGGTATCAAACTTCAACTTGTTCAATATAATCAAAATCTGTTAATACTTGCCGCAACGCAAATCAATATTCATTCTTAGATACATTGCGTGTTTTTTTTTTTTTTTTTTTCACATGTTAATCGGCAAGAGTTGCGAGTAACTGTTTATTTTTTGCATTGAATTAATGGCCGTCTTGATCCTCGACTATGCAATAATTATCAAAATTGTTCGTGGACTATCAATTTTGACTAATTTAATCTTTAACTATTGATTTCGTAACTGATTTTATCTTATGTAAGTACCAAATTGGTCCTCAATAAGTTTGACGGAGAACCAAATCGATTATAAAATCAATAGGTAAGGATTTAATTAGTCAAAATTGATAATCCATAATCAATTTAGTAATTACAGTATAGTCAAGGGATCAAAACGGTCATTAATTCTTTTGCATTTATTTCCGGCAAGTCTTTTGACGGAAAGAGTATCCAAGCTCCTTAGATCTGGATCTTTTGACTAAGCTCATATTGATATGCTTTAGTAAAAGCAAAGCTATAGACTACTTTCTTCTTTATTTGTTTTTGTTCTTTCCATCCTCAATTAATTATTTTTCTACTTTTCATTCCTCTCTGCATTATGGCTCTCTCGTCTTTGTTACTTTTTGTTATACATGTCACATGCCTTAGAATAAATATTCCATACAACAAAGATGATGATAAATTGTTGTCCCGAGGGTGTGCAACTTTAGAACTCGGCTTGTGAATGACCACAAGGAGGTAAACCAGTCTACGTTGTCATAGCTAATCAGCTCAAAAAGACCAATAGGCTGATAATAAATTATTTGACCCCTATAACTGATAAGCTTGCATGCTGTGTAAATTGATTTAACAATTGAAGAAAAGACTGGCCCTGATTGGGAATAATTAGTTACATTCATTATCTGCTTGTCTGTAGGGGTCAGGTAGAAAAGGACTTCAAGGTAGAAGTTGAGGCCATTGGCAGAGTAAGACATAAAAACCTGGTGGGTTTGCTTGGTTATTGTGCTGAAGGGACTCAAAGGTATGCGGTTTCTGTTGGTTAACTTGACTCTTTAACAACTGGTATTGTCAATGGTGATGAAGATCCTCATTTCCATGGTAGAACATAACCATGCTCATTACTCGATCAGGTTACTTGTGTACGAGTACATCAATAATGGCAATTTGGAGCAGTGGTTACATGGGGATGTAGGGCCTGTTAGTCCCCTAACTTGGGATATTCGAATGAAAATCGCAATTGGTACTGCAAGAGGGTAATGGTTCTCCTCATTTACTTTGCATCAAACCTGCAAATCGTTGTTCTCACTCAGAGTTTCTTCTCCATGACAGACTTGCCTATTTGCATGAAGGTTTGGAACCCAAAGTTGTACATCGCGATGTGAAGTCAGGTAATATTCTTTTGGATAGAAAATGGAATGCCAAAGTATCTGACTTTGGACTTGCCAAGCTGCTAGGATCAGAGAAAAGCTACGTGACCACCCGTGTTATGGGAACTTTTGGGTTTGTTCCTTTCTAATTCCTATGTGACTATTATAATCCTGCTAACACGAATCATTATATATACTTCGTTCTAATTATCGATCTGCAACATGCCTAATGAATGCAGATATGTTTCTCCAGACTATGCCAGCACTGGTATGCTCAATGAGGGTTGTGATGTGTATAGCTTTGGTATTCTACTCATGGAAATTATTACTGGAAGAAGTCCAGTTGATTATTCAAGACCACCTGGAGAGGTCAGTATAAGAAAAATGCAGTCACAGAACACAATTAAGCCAAAGAAAAAGAAGGAAACTTCATAAATATGAATCACCATGGAAACATGCTTTATATATGGTTATTCTGACTCTGATGCCCCAAATTGCAGATGAACCTGGTTGAGTGGTTTAAAGGAATGGTAGCCAATCGCCGAGGAGAAGAATTGGTTGATCCCCTAGTTAAGGTTCATCCACCTCCAAGAATCCTAAAGCGGGCATTGCTGGTTTGCCTTCGATGCATAGATTTGGATGCGAACAAGCGACCAAAGATGGGACAAATTGTCAATATGCTCGAGGCTGATGAATTCCCTTTCCGGGCTGTAAGCAATCCTTTCAATCCTACTTATTTTAGATAATGAAATCATCTTTCTTGGCCTCTTAGGTGAAAACAAAAAAAACTGCAATCTAATCATAGTAACTCTTCCACATAATATGTAACCATTTGAACTGGGATGGGACTTTAAACCATATGTTGTGGAACAAGTTCATCAGAGGAAGAACATTGGAAGATGAATATATACTACATATTAAACTTTGTTCTGAGCTTCTAATCTGCATTACGCAGGAACCCAGAACAACTCAAGAAACTGCTCCTCTCTATACACGAACTAGTAACGATAGAGATGGATTAGCTACCAAGGATGAAGTGGGTGATGATGAGCAGAAACCTAGCTGGAGACGATAAATAGTGAGAAGAAAGGGTGAATGTGTTGTGTAATGTAATGTATATATTCCTTGGAACAGTGCATCAACCTGATTGAACATATATGCCAGTGTGGACATAAAGACTCAGGGATCTTTGGCCTGTGTTATATACAGCCTATCATTGATAAGGCTAGGCCAGCCTTGTATATATAAGGTTATATTTGTATGGTTTCTATGCAGTGATACAAAAATTTGTTTTTACCACATTTTCTACTCTTGTAAACAACTCGAAATTGATGAAAAGTTTGATACTCCTTGAGTGGATGAAGGGCTTCATCCATTCCTAATAGCTGATTGTATTGTAGTCTTGTCATGTTTTTTACAGTGTTTTGTGCTTCTTTTCATTATATGAGGAAAAAAAAAAAAAAAAAAAAAAAAAAAGAAGCTAATTTAGAGTTGAAGACATGCAGTTAGAGACCTCCCTTTCACAAGTTTGGAGTTGGCCCAATCTTGAGTCGCAAATTATGGCAATTTATATCCTACACTACGGCGCGCGTTGCACTATGCGCCCAGATGCAAAATGACGTCGTTTTATTTTATTTTATTTTTTTTTGAAAGTTCCTGCCCCAGTGAATGGCAGTAGTTTTTTCTTTAAAAAAAAAAAAACCCGCTGTTCAAGAATGTACATAATATTATACTAGAATACACATAATTGTATACATGAATGTACATAATTATATAACAAAATATACACACTCTTTTTAAAAGATAATACACATAATCTAACATAATACATAATAAACATAAACTTTTAACATAATACACATCAACTATTAACATAATACACACAAATTTTCTGATTCGGATGTACATAATTGTATAAAAAGAATGTACATAATTGTATAAAAAATGTACATAACTGTATGAACCAATACACATAACTGTATGAACAAATACACATAACTGTGTGAACAAATACACATAATCCCAGCAACTTTCTACCGCGCCTCCCAAAACGACCCCAAAACGACGTCGTTTTGGGAGACGCGCGGCGCACAGTGCTATGTGCGCCGTGGTGTAGGATATAACGATTGGCAAATTATGCCCTGGATGTTAGTCAGTGTTATTTATTTATATTATATGATTATATTGTGTGGCTTAGAATAGGTTGACTTGAGCTTCTCTGTCTGTTAGGAGAACTCTCGTAGCTTATATTTTATATAATCTGTAAATTCATTCTGTTAAGATTAATTAATGAAATCTATATTCCAATTTGGTATCAGATAGGTAACGATCTCTTCGTTTCTCTCTCCACCTTACCCTCCCAATTCGCATCCCAAACAACCTCTTCCCGAAATCATGTCGCAATCATCCGAGCGTACGGTTTCCGCTGGTGGCTCACCTTCACCGGCGACTTCCAATCAACTGACTGGCGCCCATCATCACGTATCCATCAAGCTCAACAGCAGGAACTTCCTCTTTTGGAGGACTCAATTAATCCCCTTCTTGAGAGGACAAGACCTGCTGGGGTACGTGGATGGTTCCACGCAGTGTCCACCGGCCACGATTGCCGCGACCGCGGCTGGCGACTCCGGCTCAGGTGCAACGCCGGCGTCCGGCGTCTCTCCCAATCCAGCGTACAAGGCCTGGATTCTCCAAGATCAATCTATCCTCTCGATGTTGATCTCCTCCATGTCCGACGAGGTGCTGCACCTTGCGATCGGACGAGAGACTGCCGCGGCTCTATGGACGTCCATCAACACGGCGCTAGGCTCTTCCACGCAGGCACGTTGTCTAAGCCTTCTTGGACAATTCCAGTCGCTGAGGCAAGGCGGTTCGTCGACCGCTGAGTATCTGGGCCGTGCCGAGGTGATCGCGGAGGCGTTGGCTCAGGCCGGTAAACCTCTCTCCTCCTCCGAGCAAATGTTGTATGTGATGCAAACGTGTTCACCGTGAATGGTGAACACAAGTCCAAACGACGTCGTTTTTAGGCAAAAAAAAAAAAAAAAATCGCGGATGTGGAGTTAACGGCGCGCGTTTGATCAAATTATGAATTTTCTGGTATGAGATTATGAATGTAATGAAAATTCATAATCTCATAACAGAAAATTCATAATCGCATAAAAGTAAAATATTTATTAAATTATGAATTTTCTGTTATGAGATTATGAATGTAATGTAGATTCATAATCTCATAACAGAAAATTCATAATTTCATAACAGAAAATTCATAATTTCATAACAGAAAATTCATAATTTCATAACAGAAAATTCATAATCTCATAACTGAAAATTCATAATCTCATAACTGAAAATTCATAATCTTATAACAGAAAATTCATAATCTCATGGTTCCAAAGTGAATGTGTAGGCATGGTTCCAAAGTGAATGTGCAGGCATGGATTCATAATTTATGAATGTCCGTGATTTCGGACGGGAATGTGTAGGCATGGTTCCAAAGTGAATGTGCAGGCATGAATTCATATTTTATGAATGTCCGAAATCATTGCTCACCTCAAATTAAAGTGAAACCGCGAAATGTGAAAATGAAGAAGAAAAGTCACGCAATTAATTAAGAAAAAAGAAAAAGAAAAAGAAAAAAGATAACGGTGTACTAACACCGTTGGAACCGTGTTCACCATGAGTTGAGTGGGCTGATTTTATGCTGCATCTCAATTATTATATTATAGATCATGATCTACCTTACATAATATATATTTTTTAAAGATATATTTTTAATATATTATATATTCAACTTTTGAATTGAAGGTATAATATTTGATAATATACTTTTAATATACAAATAATATACATTTTATTCACGGTCTACGTTGCAATAATTTGCCCGGGACCTCTATTTGATAGGGCTGGGATCAACTCTCTATAAGACATCACTGATATAGACTAGGAAAATCCCAATCTCAAGCCTTACTAACTCTGATACAGTCCTGAATTGTTTCATCACTACATGTCTTATGTCTACATGTACCTATAATTCGTTAGGACTATAACATAGAACATCTACTTGCAATTCTTATACCAAATTACCAAGAACATGGTTCACAGTGCACTGTGAACCATGTGCATGTATATGTGTCTTATGTAGTTATGTACTTTACAAGTATAAATTTCGTATTTCATTGTGTTGACCCAGAGTCTATAATACTATATGAACCCTGATCCAGGATATAAATTGCCATCTACTTGCTCATGGATCGGTCTTCTTAGAGCCAGCCCATGACCTTCACTTGGGCCAAATATTTTTTTTCTTTATTAAAAGAGAAAAATAATGTACATAATTATATAATAGAATACAGATACACTCTGTCGCATCAACTCCCCACACAATTTAACAAAATAATGTTGTTTTAAGAGGCGCAGGACGCACAGTGCTATGTGCGCACGATATAACGAGTGTTAAAAGAGAAAAATAATATAGGAAGGGGCTGTAATGAAGTATAGTGAAGTTGGGGGCATTAAGGTTCAAACCAAAAAAAAAAAAAAAAAAAAAAAAAAAAAAGTCATCAATTAAAAGGGAGGCGCACGACTTTTAGTAAAGGAGTTGGTGGAGTTTTGATAGCGAAATCAAAATGAGAGGGCTAAGCTACCTCAAAGTGGCAGTTCAATATGTCTTTTTTGGCATTCCATTTCCGCTACGTGTAATGACTGCCACGCTTAATTACGGACCCCTCATTTTCCTTTTTTTATTAGTCGTGTTGTGGCTGTGTTACTCCGCACTTAGGTATATGTGAAAGGTTTTAATTTGCTCATTTCTATTCTTAATAATAAAGTGCCCTTTCCTCCCCCTTTGCACTTTATTTTGCGTGAAATTTCTCGCTCATTTCAATTTTTAAAATTGACGAAATTAAAAAAAAATTAAAAATATAATTTCTATTGTAACTGATGGATACTCCTAGAAGGGTACCTAATCAGGAGAGTAACTTGATAGTCAGGGTTCACAGTTTGACTACGTTATGGGAAGACGGGCGGACTTCAGTAGCCTGGCTCCCCCCGGTCAAGGCGTATGGTCCACTCAATCGACCCGATTGGACGAGCAGTGCAGCCAGCCAGTTGGAGTCCCGACTGGGTACTGTACTAGGTGGTTAAAGGGGATCTGACGATGATCTCTTCAATATTTGGCGCGAGATTTTCTTTTTCAACATTAAGAAAGAGGTATAGAAGTTTGGAAGCTTTAAGTTCAAATTTGTTAATTTCTTCTTTCTTTCCTTTCCAAAGACCATAAATCTTGTATAAATACCCTGTGAGGCACATTGTAACAAGTTTTGATTTAATTATTGTCAACACCCTTTCAATTAAGCGTGTATATATAATATCGCAATAATTTGCAAATAAAAAAATTACATAAAAATGTCTTGAAAAGTTGTTCATAATTAAATTGGATTGACCATTAAACAACTCATATTTGAAGCAAGTGTGATGAGCCTTTTGAGTTTGAAAGTCTTTTTTAATTATCATTAGTAATTATTATTATGAAATACATAGTTTAAGATATAATAATAATACCAACAAATCCAGGTTAACATATAGTATATGTTTGAATCCCAAATGTAAGGACCAGCCACAACTCCGGTGTAAATGAATAGAGGAGGTAAATCGTAAAATGTGTATTAAGTAGTCCATAGACTTCAAATGTTTGTACACTAATATCCACAATAATGTTAAATTCATATTTCTCTTGGTAATAAAATTCAGGTTAATAATTCTTAATTAAAATATTTTGATTCTATCAATGATTTTGAATTTGAAACAAATTTAAGAAGTTTTGATTAACCGAAACCGGATAAGTTATCATGATTGCAAGGTAATAGGTATATCCTTTCCCTCCAAAGGGGTTACTTGCAACAATGGTGAAAATTTGTGTTACCTTCATTCCCTCCTTCTCATATTTAAGAGGAAGAAGATGAAGATCCACTCTCATCTCTCGGTAGCCCAGAAGAAGAGGAAAAGAAGAGTTTACTTCAACTTCTCTTCATTTCCCACGGTTATCAATTCTTTCTTTCTTCCTAATTAACACTTTCTGCAACCGACCGGCCACCGTCCGCCATAGATTTCACCGATTCTGAGCACTCACTCGTCTTCTGTTATTGCTTCCTTGGTGCCAGAATCAAGCTAAGGAACTATGGTTTCCCCTTTCAAGAATCCTTCAATCTTGTTCCTTCTCTGTCTTCTTCTGCTGCAATCTTTCTCTCCTGCAAGTAAGTGCCGGAAAGCTGTCGCCTTTATCGTCTAAACGGGAGTTTTTAGTGTGATTTCGTTTCGGTTGACCCGTTTTCTCCGTGTTTCTGGATCAGGGTCGCAATCGTTTCTCGGTATTAACTACGGTATACTCGCCGACAACTTGCCGCCGCCGGCGCAGACGGTGAAGCTGCTGCAGTCGACCAGCATTCAGAAGGTGCGGCTGTACGGCGCCGACCCGGCGATAATAAAGGCAATGGCGGGCACCGACATCGGGATTGTGATTGGCGCCGTCAACGGTGACATCCCGAAGCTTGCGTCCGACCCGAACTTCGCCGGCCAGTGGGTTAGTTCTAATGTTCTGGCGTATCATCCGGCGAGTAAGATTATTGTCGTCACCGTCGGCAATGAAGTTATGAGCTTAGGGGATCAGGGCCTCATTTCGCAGCTCTTGCCGGCTATGCAGAATGTCCAAAACGCCCTCAATGCAGGTCTCTATTTTTCTTTCAATCTTTTATCATTATATTATGGTCATCATCATCATTTGTTATTATCATTATTATATGTGTCATGCATGTGCAAGAATGTTATTTTGAGCTGTTTTTATAGTAAACTATCCTCTAATTAAAATCATTGAATCTCTTATGAACCACCCGAGCTAAGTTGGTCAGACTATTGAATTCGTAACCATAAGGTTACAAGTTTGACTCTTAGTAGGAGCGGCCTAAGCTTGGATTTCTGGCTAGCCAGTCAGCTATAGACAAGCTAGGCTGATTTACCTTATTGTGGTCGAAATTTACCCAGTGCACACTCTCGATTAATGATGGTTGATTTACCTTATTGTGGTCTGATTTACCTTATTGTGGTCGAAATTTACCTAGGGCACACTCTCGATTAATGACGGTAGGTCGTCACTCAAAAATGAAAAAACACAACAATTTGGATGTTTCCTCTGCTGCCATAGACAAATGAAATGTTTTCACAAACAATCTAGTGAATTTGGTTAAAAAGTGTGGTTCTTTCACATGATTGTAGCAAAAGTTGGATAATTGTACCTAGAACTTGAAATTTTCAGCATCCCTTGGTGGGAAAATCAAGGTTTCAACGGTGCACTCAATGGCAGTGATGAGTCAGTCTGATCCACCCTCGTCGGGTGCATTTAACCCGGCTACTGGCGATACAATGAAGGCCTTATTGCAATTCCACAAGGAAAACGGCTCGCCCTTTATGATCAACCCGTACCCTTTCTTTGCATATCAGAGTGACCCGAGGCCTGAAACGTTGGCTTTCTGTCTCTTCCAACCCAATGCTGGACGGGTTGATGCAGGGAGTGGCATAAAATATATGAACATGTTCGATGCTCAGGTGAGTTAATTGGCTACCATTCATCTAATTGGTTTTCTGATCTCGCTATGATTGATTACTCGACGATTACATATACAGGTGGACGCTATTTATTCTGCCTTGAAGGCGATGGGATTCAAGGATGTAGAAATTGTGGTTGCTGAGACTGGTTGGCCTTATAAAGGCGATGCTAATGAAGCAGGCCCGAGTGTGGAAAACGCGAAAGCTTATAATGGGAACTTGATAAACCATCTCAAGTCGATGGCTGGAACCCCGCTAATGCCTGGGAAATCTGTTGATACATACATCTTTGCCCTGTATGATGAGGATTTGAAGCCCGGTGCAGGCTCGGAAAAGTGGTTCGGGATTTTCAAGCCTGATCTTTCCGCGACCTATGATGTTGGCCTTTCAAAGAGTGCTCAGTCTGCTCAGGTAATAACTAATTTAGCATTGATAGAGCATAGATTCTGCAGAAATTTTATGAAGTTTTTTTAGTACTACTGATTCTGTTACAATGCAGTATCTGTTCATAACTACTTTCTCAACCTACTGAAGCGCAAATAGTCAATACTGCCCCCACTGAGGCTTGAACCCATTTAGTTTATGATGTTGAATAACCATTTCTCGTTTTTTGTTCTTCCTGAATCTACTCGGTAGACTCCTGCAGCTGCTCCAGTGGCACAGGCAACTCCTGCTCCGACAACTCCTGTCGTTAATTCAGTGACACCGCCTACAACGCCCACGACTACAGGAGTGAATCCCGTCACACCTGCCACTCCAATTTATCAATCAGGTTTGTATACACCAAAACCAACCATTTCTTGATTATTATGCCACGCTATTCAACCTGGCAGTGCGTGTTTTGAACCAATTCTGTTATATCTATCTATCACTCGCCTCTTACAAAACGTATCTCCTTGTCGAACTGCTTGCAGGAAGCCTTGGAGGAAGCGGAACTGCGATTTCTTGTAGGCCACCATGCTCACTTCAACTTGTTCTTGTAAGTTTACTTAATTCCTAAGCTATATATGCACTTTTCTTGAACTGTGTTATGTGCTTTTTGACATTGTTGGTAATAATTGTCTTGAGGGCCAGACAAAAGAATTGGTAGTGCTGTGTCCATTAGATGCACAATCACCGATTTGTTGGTTTCTTTAAGGTTCTGCATCTTTATACTGTGTTTGACAATGATGTAATTGCTGATCAAGCAAAATCAATGTGTGTGCTTTCAGAAGATATCTATTTTGGTCGGACAGTTGGTTTGGTAACCATAAGGGGTTCCAAGTTTAACTTCCCGTGGGAGCTGTTTATTGCACTTCTTGGTTTAGTAAGTTAGTTATGGACAAACTAGGTTGGTTTACCTCCTTGTGTTTACCGGTTAGGGTCACAAGGCGAATTTCACCTAGGAAGAGATCTATTTTACTGTTTTGACTTTTTATCAGAGAGAGAGAGAGTCGTTAGGCATATTTGATAACTGTATGTATATGAGTTCTTGGTCAGGTCCTCTCAAGTAACAGTCTAACTCTGCAGGTGTGACCGGAATTGAATCCGGATTAGTCTTAGGTGAAAATATCAAATTCCATATGCAAAATATTGTTTTCCATTTCATAATGTTATGTGTTTGTGTTGTAGGTTACAATGGCTGCATTTATCCTGGTGAAGGCATAGTAGTGTTGTATGTTTATTTTCTCTACCAAGAATCGTGTAGTTCAATTCCGAAAACGTATTAAGGTTTTATATAGTTCAGTCTTTTTTCTTTTTTTCTTTTTAAAATGTAACAATAGAATGTATATGTAATTATATCATTCTCTTTTTGTATTTTCATTCCTGTATTAGAAATAGAAATGTGCTTTGTTTTCTTAAACTTTTATTCTTATATTTTAAAGAAGATTCAATTTTTTAGGTGCTTTGGTTGAACGATGAGGTCAAATAGTCGGCTCTTGTTATCTTGCATATATTAAAGAACTCATATTTAGTAAGATCAATTAGATTAAATCTAATTGTGTTAGCTAAGTGTATATGCTATTGAGCATATAATATTAATGTGCATTAGATTTAGTCCCACGGATATGGAAACAATAACTTATTGATATTTCTAATTAAATTCATATTATTCACTCAAAAACTTCAAATCTCACTGAAATTAATCAAATTATAGATTAATAATTTGGATTATTGACCGAATCAACCGAAGACGAAAGACATGCAGGAGGTGTTATGCATCCTTTCCCTCCGGCGGTGGGATATGTGGAATGGTGTGTATGTTACCTTCTTCATCCACTGAACTCCATCATTCCCATATATAAGAGGAAGAGGATCCATTCTCCATAAACCACCCAAAAAAAAAAAAATAATAATAATAATAATAATAATGCAATTTGAGTTTCTTCATTTAATTTCCCGGCCACGCTTTCTTTAATTTTCGTTCGTTCTTTCTTCAATTCCCGACACTTTCCGCTCGCTTCAAGACTGCCGGCGGCTTCTGATTACTGGCATTATATTGCCGGAAACTATGGTTTCCCTTTTCAAGAAGCGTTCGATCTTGTTCCTTCTCTGTCTTGTGCTGCAGTCTTTGGGTTCTGCGAGTAAGCTAGTCTCAGATTCGGAGTTTGAATTGTTTCAATTCGTTTCTGTTTTTGACCGTTTTGGTGTTTCAGGATCGCAATCTTATATCGGGGTTAACTATGGCACTTTCGCCGACAACTTGCCGACGCCGGCGCAGACGGCGAAGCTGCTGCAGTCGACCAGCATTGGGAAGGTGAGGCTGTACGCCGCCGACCCGGCGATCATAAAGGCGTTGGCAAATACCGGCATCGGCATTGTACTCGGCATCGGCAACGGCGACATCCCCAAGCTTGCCTCCGACCGCAAATTCGCCACCCAGTGGGTTCAGTCCAACGTTCTCGCTTATTATCCGGCCAGCAAGATCGTCGTCGTCACCGTCGGTAATGAAGTTATGAGCTTCGATCCCGATGTGGTTTCGCAACTCTTGCCCGCAATGCAAAACGTCCAAGACGCCCTCAATTCAGGTCTCTTTTCATCTTTCAACACTACTAGAAATTATGAAATTTCCGACCACTTGAAAGTGGAAAGGATTGTTCCGACCACTTTTGGTATCCGGAAAAACCTTTGTTGCTATTTCCGACCACTTTTTGGTATAACTTGATTTAAGATAGTGATTGGAAATTTCATAATTTCAAATAGTGCAATCTTTCTCATTATCTGCCATGGATGAATGCATGGATTCTGACCTGGCCGGCCGTGAAATTTCAGCGTCCGTTGGAGGGAAGATAAAGGTGTCAACAGTGCACGCAATGGAAGTGATGGGTCAGTCTGAGCCACCGTCGGCGGGTGCATTCAAATCTGAGGTCGCGGATACCATGAAAGCCTTATTGAAATTCCACCAGAAAAACGGCTCTCCCTTCATGATCAACCCATACCCTTTCTTTGCATATCAGGGTGATCCCAACAGGCCTGGAAATCTGGAGTTCTGCACCTTCCAACCCAATTCCGGCCGATATGATAACAACACTCATATAACATATATGAACATGTTTGATGCTCAGGTGAGTTAAATTAACCCTCCTTTGCTGGCTAAGATCACAAGACAGGATTTACCAAACTGGGAAATGGTAATGATTATATATATATATATATATATATATATATATATATATATATATATATATATATATATGTGTGTGTGTGTGTGTGTGTGTGTGTGTGTGTATAGGTGGATGCTGTTTATTCTGCGTTGAAGGCTTTGGGATTCAAGGATGTAGAGATTGTGGTTGCGGAGACTGGTTGGGCTCATGATGGGGGAGAAAAGGAAGCGGGTGCCAGCGTGGAGAATGCGAAAGCGTATAACGGTAACTTGATAAGCTATCTCCGGTCGATGAAGGGGACGCCGTTGATGCCTGGGAAACCTGTTGAAACATACATCTTTGCTCTGTATGATGAGAATATGAAGCCCGGGGCAGGGTCAGAAAAGTCGTTTGGGCTCTTCAAGCCTGATCGAACCGCCAACTATGATGCTGGCCTTTCAAAGAGTGGTCGTGGAAGTGCTCCGGGGCCACGCAGGGCGCCTGGCAAGACTCCTGCAGGTGCTCCGGCGGCACACAGAACTTCTCCCAAAGCTGCTCCGGGGACACGCCGGACTCATCCGGTGGCACGCGGGCCTGCAGCAGCTCCGGGGGCACCCGGGGCTTCTTATGCAACAACTCCTGCCGGTAATCCGGTGACATCAACGGGGCCCGGTGCTGCGGGCGGGAACCCGGCCGCTCCAACCGGTCAATCAGGTTGGTATATTTCTGATTACAGATTTACAGGCCAATCTTGATATGATTATATATGCCGGAGGTCTGGGTATGAAGGGTAGTCTTAAACTGCTTGCAGGAGGAAGCGTTGGAAGTGGGACTGCAAAATCTTGTAGGCCACCGCACTCGCTCCCACTTGCACTTGTGAGTTTAATCCTACGCTATATATTAGGCTATTTTTATGTGACGGATTCTGATAAACTATTTTTTTCTATGTGGGTCTCAATACAAGTGTCTACATCAAAATTCACCCCTTTGAACTGTTCTTTGTGACATTGTTTTGCATGTATTTGTGTTGTAGGTGGTAATGGCTGCATTCATCCTGGTGAATAAGGCACATGAGGAGGAAGACAAATTGCTATAGTGGGTATGGAAGCAAGGGTCATTGAATATAGGTTTTAATCTATGTTGCTAAATATGTGTCTAATTATATATATCAGAACAACTCAGCCGAGTTGGTTATACAGTTAACTGGATAATCACAATATTTTGATTAGATATGAAAGCTAACTATTGACTTTTTCAATGTGTTTTGTTTTTTGTAGGTGCATGGACACTTAGTAATAATTACAAAGTGGGTTGTCAAGTGGTCAACTCCTCTTCATTGTCGTGCTTCTACACTCTTGATTGGATTGAATCAGAGTTAGTCTTGGAGGATACCAAAAACAAGAATTGATTGATATCTATGCATACTAATAAAGCGGCGAGCTCGGTTTGCACTTGAGATATTCAGTCTTTTTCCGATGAAAGTGATTGGACTATCGGCTTTCATAGTCCTGCCTTATTGTTTATATATCCCCATTGCTATAGTGACCAGAGTTACTGTGTATAAACTTCTTTGTCACACTTCACATGGGTCATTATTATAATAAATTTACTATTACTCCTTATTGTTTTATTTTATATTGATATTGATTGATATTGATATATTAATCTATTTAACTAATCAAATATCCTATATATCACAAAAATATCAATAAAAATAATTAAAAAAAAAAAAAAAAAACTTACCTCCTCCTAAGCCTGAAGAGGATTCATAAAATTCCATATATAATCAGCCAAGTTGAGAAATCTGAATTATCTACTTCAAAAAATATATATATATATCATTTTAAAATATATATATATATGAGACAATCATGTACGGAGTAATTATTTTCAGGTAATACAAATAATTTTCAATTTTGCTTACCTTGGAACAAATGTAGCAAATTCTGACCATTCACTCAAAATATCTTATCTTCTTTTAAGTTTACTGCCAAGTTCAAATGGCACCGTGCAGTGTTTGGTTTACATCTTTTTCTCTGCTGAAACGAAAAATGCTTCTTCAGTGTTCTGTCTCAGCAGCACTCTGTTCAGTGTCCCTCGCGAAGAGTTCTTCTTCTCTTTCATCTCCAAACCAATCATCGCTCCTTAAATTCCATACTTCTCACCGCGAAAACCTCCGATACCTCACGTCCCTCGGCATCGTCAAGCCAGAAGTGAAATCGCACAGAAATCCGTCTCCGGAAAGCCTACAGCAAGTCTTATGCACCGTAAATTCCTTGAAATCCAGAGGGTTGTCGGAGCCTGATATCGCTAGAATCGCTCAGGTTTGCACTAGAATCTTCTCTCTTGACTTTAGCCCTCCTGATATCCAACCGGTGTTTGACTTTCTAAACGACGACTTGGCTGCATCGGGCGATGAGTCGCGTCATTTGGTGATGCGGTGCCCTTACCTTCTGGAATCCAATGTGGAATTCTGTCTGAAACCGACGCTTGCGTACCTGAGACAACTAGGGCTGGAAAAGTTGAACTTGCCGACTACTCTGAATGCTCACCTTTTGAATACTCGACTGAAGAAATTGCAGGAAATCCTCTGGTTCCTGCAGGATGCTGGGTTGTCGCGCGATGAATCAGCTAAGATTTGTTGCAGATTTCCAGCCATATTTGGGTATGGTATTGACAGTAATTTGAGGCCGAAATTTAGTTATTTGGTTAGGGATATGAAGAGGGATGTTGGAGAACTGCTAGACTTCCCTCAATACTTCGCTTTCAGTCTGAGAAAGCGCATAATCCCCAGGCATTTGTATTTGAAGCAAAAAAATGTCAAAATTTCGTTAAAGAGAATGCTACTTTGGAGTGATGAAAGATTTTATACAAAATGGATGAAAGTTCAGTAGCTCTTGGTATAATTTCTCAATTTTGTTGTGGCTTTCTTCCATCATAACATTTTTTACGAGTTCATTTCACTTCGGTGTAGAACACTAGAACTTGATGATAATACGATACTATTTAAACCAAAATAAAAATAAAAAAATAAAGTGAATTATTAATACGAAACATGAAAACAGCTACCAAAGGGTGATCTAAAGAAATACGAAAACACATTTTAACTAGCATGTTTCATTGTGTCTATAATCCCGCCGGGGGAGGGGGAGAGTAAATTGATTACAAAATTTAGAATGAGTACAATGAAAATGCCCAATTAGGCAAACTTCCTTAGAAACAACTTTCAGATATATATATATAATGTACTCAAGACATCTACAGCATTCAACAAAAGTACTAAAAAGTGAATCTCAACGGCAAGCCAAAGTCTGAACAGCACCTGCTGGCTCGAAAAAAGCCCATTTTAACTTTTAACTGTCCACCTTTCCCTCTAACAAAACTAACCACTTGCAACAATTTCGTGAATAGCATCGCTGACAGATGCATCCTCAGATCTAACGGCCAACTTCATGGCAACCTCTTTCTGCCCATCAATTCCAAATGCTAACCTAACAAGCACCTTTATATTGCCTATGTACACACCAGATAGTAAACAAGCATGTGATCTTGAATTACTTGGGACAGCTTCCGTGCCCTGACAAGAAAATGTGCACAGTAGTGAAGTTAGATGAAGAAGCAAATGCAAGAAGTTGCGGTGAACTTAACCAGCAAATATTGCACATCGTTAAAATCATTTGTAATTGGAAAGGATGGAATTCTTTATACTAAAGTTGTTCAATTTTTTCAATTATTTGAAGATAGGTTGCCTTGATACTCATAATAGCCTTCACATGCCATGAAAATACATAGAAACACTGCTAAAATTTAGAAAGAAAGCTTGTTTTGAAAAACATAAACAATGAAAGGGAGACTAACCTCACAGGGTTGCATGCCAAGGAGATTAATGACTGCATTCACAGCCTCAGCCAAGCTTTCCCTAGGGCCAAGACCATATTCATCTACACGCTCGCTATCTGGGCCCAAGCTTTCCCAGGCATTCCTAAAATTGGAGACGCCAACTTTAAGTATATAGTCTGCAGCAACCACGTCAAGGTCCTCTAGCTGGTATTCATCTTCCACGCCATCTTCCTCAGCTTCACCAGTCGACGGATCAACCTAGTTAAAACAGCCAGAAATAAGTATTATTGGAAATGGGAAATAATTAATTTTTTAAAGGGCAAAGTGTCAAAACCACATAGCTTAATGCCAGATTGCCAGGTATCCTTTCAAATCTACAGACAGAAGGGATATTCTGGAATTTTGGCATGCATGTTGCACACAATACTTTAGATCCAAAGTGCCTTCACTAATTCCAATTATGAACCACATAAGAAACAAAATTTGAAAAATAGAACAGGCTTTACCTCTTTAACAATGAACCTCAATGTATTAGAGAATTTCCCAACCGCAGGGACTCCTTCTGGTTTCTCAAATGCCACAAATGTCTGCCCTGGGGTGTCATATGGAAGGGACTTAAGAGGTTTAGAAGCCACTTCAGAAAATTCCTCAGCCTCAGAAGCATCCACAATGACAGTGACCTGGCAACCACCAATCAAGAATTTAGAGAAATACACAAGTTGAGGTGAAATATGAATGAAGCGATTCACAATGTCATTACATTCTCTAACAATTGCTCAGGAATTGTATTTTTGCAATTGTACTGAAACACAACATGGCTATCAAATATGTGCTTCACCACATTGACTGCATATTCTGTCTCAGCTTCTGTAAGCTCCACAGGTGGTGATGACTGACAACAAAAATAAATGAGTACTCAGCAATTATAATAATGTAATAGCAATGCCAATACAAGGAAATGGAATCAGCAGAACCTTGAAAAGCTTCCCATAGCTAGAAAACTGTGGTATAGATGAAAGCAATTTTTCATATGCATCAATAGTTGAAGTGGGACCAGCAGGAGGAGCAGCCAAACCAGTGGGCTTTTTGCCCTGTGCTTTCTTCTCTGCAGTGGGTTGAGATTTAACCTCCCTTGGAACAGAATTGATATCAAAAGGCTCTTCTGAGGGGGCCTGCAGCAGTTTAAAGCAAATAAATCAAATGGTGCATTGGCAGGTATAGAATGTAAAGCACAAGCAGAGAGAAATACTTACATAGTTCTTCAAACTTGTTTCTAAGTTTACTATCGGGATGCCAAGTGGTCCAAATAAGAATTCCTTCACCTCTTCCTCAGTTTCAACAACTGCCCCATCACCTCCTATGGTATTCAAGTAAAGTGTTGCCCTATCGCGAACCTGCAAGCAGATCACCACGACAAAAGAAGAGGATGATAAATTATATGATAAACTAAGGTGTTTTACAGCTTTGGATGTTTCTCACTTTCTCTACCTATTGAAGAGTTAAAACCAAAACAATACCTGTGGCAAGAGAAAACTATTCATCTGTAAAATTGCATGCAATAAAAAAAAGCATACACGTGGATTGGGTTTGACAATGAGAAAAACAAATATAATAGCAGACAGAGACTGACCTCATCGTCATTGTCAAATAAGCATCGTTTCAACAGCACAAAGATGCGAGGCTGCAGCAAAATTAGTTGATAGTTTTAGCCATGGTGATACTTATATTCACAACATTGTTAAAAACTAGACTGACCATACCTTCAATGAGTCAACAATGGCTCCAAATTTTGCTAGAGTACTGACAGCACTCGCTCGAACTGTTGCATTTTCAAGTATGACTCGATTATATATGTATCGTATGTATTTACTTGGATCTGAAGTCTTTGGTCCTTCATTTCCAAGAAAGTGCAATATCTGAAATTATACAGAAGACTATAAGCATCACAAATCCATTTGAAAGACAAGGTAAGATGCATCAACAGCAACACAAAAATATACACTGGAGATGAGAAAAACCAACCTGAGTGGAAAGATATGTAAATTCACAATCCTCAATAAATTCACATAAATGAAGCAGCCCACTTTCTTTAGCATCAGGAATCTCGCTTATGAGGATCACAATTGAATCAACAATAGCTTTCTTATACTCAAATCCACCTTCTTCCCTCAAAATATTGCTTAAGAAATTCATCCTATTGGTGAAAGATAAGAAGTTTATTATACACACACAAGTATTTAAGTGGAAAAAATGTAGAACTATGAACTCATTGAACATAAGCAAAATGTTTTACTCAATTTGATATACATGTACATAAATCTACAAGTTCTAGAGAAGTCAAGAATTACTTACAGAGATCTGTACTTGAGGGGGAACTTCAAACACAAGGACCTGATGGCTTCCACCACAACAATCTTAAACTCATCAGCAATGTCAGACATAAAATTTGTGATTTGCTTCATTAAACGATCAATGCTTGACTCATTTCCAGTTTTAAGGAGAGTTGTGATTGCAAGAGTTGCTATACTTCTGTTTTGATCAGAGATCAAGCTCTCCATGTCAATATTACAGTTTGTCACAGCCATTGGATGTGTCATTGCCACCTGCAGGTAGGTAAATATGTTTTCTTTTAAAGGCTAAGAGTGAAAACCTACGGCACCAAAATTCCAACATTACAAGAAACCAACAAAACATGTTCTAGTAAGACCTTATTCAAAGTGCGAACGGCAGCAAATCGAAGAACTGGTTTTGAAGAACTTAAAAAGAGCTGTAGCACGGTAATTGCTGGAGTTAATTCCCGACTCGTCACGCCACTCAACTCCGTAATTGCTCTAGCAGCTTCTAAAATAACCATCTCAGCTTTGTGACGGAGACAACCCTCTAAGTAGTCATAAAATGGTCGATCACCCACTTGATTCACTCCAGATTCTCTAATGACCTGAACCATAGATGTGATGCAACATTCATCACATATCCAAAAACAGTGAATCTGGAGCGATGAATGCAGATTACAACAATAACATCCTCCAAAAGCAAGATTCATAGAGAAGTTGGCACCTGGCTAGTATAGCGAATCAGAAGGCATTGAGCCAGCGGTGAACGAACAGTCCCCCTTGTCAAGCTGGTAACTAGTTTGTTAACAGCTAAGCGGTCATTTTGCCTTATCTGTGATTGAAAATATGGTTTTTAATGCATGTCATATCATATGAAATTATGAAAACCCATTTAAAAAGCAGGTCATCCTGCTAAAAGAATAGTTAGCCAACCTGGTGCAGTAGTGCAAGTGCATGGAACTGTACAAGGGCAGCCCTTGATTGAACAGCTTCTTGTACCTCATTGCTCCATCTCTTTACAATTTCTGGGTTTGTCTGCCAAACGAATCAATAAGAACATAATTTTAAAGTGTGTAACACCAAATGGAAAGAGGGGAATAGTTCCTTCCACTGCTAATTCTACCTGAAGCAAATGGATTCCACTAACAAGGGCAGCACTGGCAACAACAGGATTTTTGTCAACAATAGCTTGCTTCAAGTATCTCTCGATTTGAGTTAGAAGGGTTCCATCAGTGATTCGACAAAGTACACGAATGGCATTTGCCCGATACATGTCAGTTCTACTATTCATGTCCTTCATCAATGAGCTTGTGACTATGATAACCTTTTATGCCAGAAGAAGTAACATGTCACTTCCATTCTTGCAGAGATCATAAAATCTTTCAGAAACAAGAAGGAAATCAATTTCAAATTTTTAATCTAACCTCATCAGCAGATGGAGAAAGCTCCTTAATTATCAAATAAACCATTCTCCGAAGACCAATATCTTTTGATTGGAAAAGCTTCGTCACAGCAAAAAACACTTCTGTAGCTTCAACCTATAGATTAATTTCAAAAGAAAATGAAAAATATTCCTCATCAGTCAGGGGCAATGTTGTCCAAAAAAAACCAATAGATTAGGGTAAGAGCAATTTACACCAATATTTTGCTAGACTGTCATAAAATTTAAAACTTATTTGATTAGTAAAAGTGTCAAATGGACTTATTTACTCAAAAACTATGTAGCAACAGAAAGCGGGCGGGAAAATAAAGGTATCATTGAAAATGAAAATTCAAGCATGTCTGTTTTGTTTTTCCTCATCTATTAATGAATATTTAAACGGGAACTGACCTTTGTAAATGTCTCACCCTGGTTCAGAAGATACAGAAGCTTTGTAATAACCTAAAAGAAAATAAAATAAACAAGAGCAAAATGAAATAAGTTTCTGGAACATAAGCTGAAATAAAGCAGGAAATAGCAATTCGACAGCAACATGCTAATCACACCTGTGAACATCTCCTTGCATCCAACTGAGGATCATTGAAAACTCTGGCTTCCTGTAGAACTGCACCCTTCTCAATCCCCATAAACGGAGAGTAATCCACTGCATTATGATAATACACACACATCATTACTCAGGAGACCATCCCTATCTAACAATCCAGCTCTCAATTCTAATCTACAGTACATAGCACATAGATCTACACCAAATCATTCTTCCATAAGATTCTACCGACAAATCAAACATTAAACCAGGCCAGTTTTACTAATTCTGATATCATAGTTCCTCGTACTAAACACAAATCATAAGCAAACGTATAAGAGCTTACGTTCTAACTACCAAATTCACATTGCTGAGAAATCAGCTTAAATATACTCAGCATAAGTATCATCGCAATTCATTTCAGCTCATAAACAGAGCATAATGCAGATCTGATGAGATTGAAACGCAAATTGCAGAACACAATCAGATCAATTAGAAACAAAAGCTCCAAATAAACAGAAGAAGGCAGTGCAAATTACGGATTGATACATTAAAAAAATCAAAGTGATAAAGTGATTTAGGGAGACTATACTTTCGTCATCGCGATCGTCATCCTTCTTCACGAGTGTTTGAGCCATTTTGAGGCGCGACGAACTGCAGATATGTTGAAGATTAAATGGAAGCGAATTCGAGATCTCTCTCTAACGAAAGCACTCAAAAGAGTGGAGTGGATCCCAGATCTCTTATCTCTGAACGTAAAAAGTACGATTTTGCGATCCCGGAGCTGGGGATTAAGCCGCTGCGGGGCGATGAAATGACAGGAAGAAATCGGGTCTGGTGTGAGCTCAACTTCAAGTTGTTACTTGTTACGTAGTACCCCGTCTAACATGAAAATTGGATTTTGGCCCCCCTAAACCTGTAAAATAATACAAAAGTGTATATATTTTTTAACTATTTTATGCTAAGGTCCGTTTAGAAATCAGAAAAATGATTTCTCATTTTTTAGAAAACGTTTTCCTTTTTAGTGTTTTGTTGTATTGATAAACTGTTTTAGTGTATTTGGTTTATTTTCTGTAAAATTAGTAGAATTACATAATTAAACATTTTAAATACTTTTTTAGAATATAAAAATATTGATAGTAATATTAAAAATAATATTATTTATCAAAAACAAAATTAAAAAAAATTGGTTTCTAGCGAAAACCATAACAGCCTGAAGCCGAAAATCATAAGTTTGGTTTTTGCCGGAAACCATGTCTTGGTGTGTAGTGGAAAATGACTTCTCCAAAATTAGTACATTTTTCCCGTTAACGAAAAATATTTTTCGTTGACTGAATTTTTCAATTGCATCCAAACACTGAAAATCCATAAAGTTTTCAAACACAGCTTAAAGTTGAGATTGAACATTTAAATATTTTATCCAAATATTACAAATTTATGTTTTTTAATCACAATATTTTATACATACAAGTTTTTTATTGTTTTGCTTTCCAATAATATTTCAATTTTGACTTACAACAATGTCATTATTAATATATCATAACTTATTTGTTATTGATCACCGTTTACAACTAATCATAATTTATAATGTGTTTGAGTAAGTAAAATAATCTTAATATTACAAAGTTCTTACAATTTTTAATCAATATTATCATATGTATAAGGAGATTGCATATTTATAGTTTATATGAGTGTAGATATTGATAGCATAATTTGAATTGATAAATAAACATTTGTGTTTACACTACAAGGAGTGGTAAATATGAGATAATATAAATGGTATGAATTTATTACTAATCTAGTATGACCAAGTTTTATAAAGTTTAATACAAAATGACCAAGAAGAGTGTTGAGATATAATAATGTGACAATTTCAACTATACTCAATAATAAATGAGTGCAAGATATAAGATAAGTGATGATAAGAAGATGAAGATGTCCCAAAGTGCACCATGGAGCGCCTAATGTGCTAAATTCAGATAACATGTGTCATGATAGGTTGATAACACTTTAAAAGTTGATTAATGCATAACTCTTTGATTTTTATTTTTATTTTTTATTTGTTGGTGAGAATGCATAACTCTTTGATTGATTAATGCAAATATGCAATTGGTCTATCAAAAAATGTGACAATGCATTTAAACAACTACAGGGCCTAGCCATGTGCGGTCAGGACGACGGCACAGGACCTCCAAATTTTGGGGTGGCTAATTTTTTATTTTATTTTATATATAATTCATCATTTTTATACTCAGTAAATTTTTTTTTTTTTTAATTCATTTGTCTTAATTGTAATTAAAAACAAATTTTTACAAAGAATTAACAAGCAAAATTTTGATGAATAATTTTATATTTAAATATAAAAAATGTCACTTTTAAATTAAAATTTGAATTGAATTTTTATGTGTTATATTTCGATTAAAAAAAATCATTACATTTTTTATTTTAGTCATAGAATATAATAAGTCAAAATTTATATGGACTTCAACTCAATTACCTTAGCTATATAAATTTTATAGATTAGACTTCTATTTTTATATTTCATAAGTATTACTGTCTTGAATTATGTTTCTTACATTTATAAATAGAGATCTATCGGTATCATAACTATCATTATAGTGGTCGAAATCTAAAAGTTTTTTTTTTTTAATCTATTTCCCTATGTTATTGTCTTTCTATTATTGTCTTTATCTTTTGCGTTTTATTCTAATATATATGTAGAATGTATATCGAAAGTCACACACAAAAAAAAAAAAAGTCCAAATTAAACAATTAGACATGACCTTTTTTTTTTTTTTTTTTAAATGAAACTGCATTGAACAACTATGATACAACATGGATCACTAGTGTTGCAATCATATGTCTCTTAACCTATTTGTTGCAAACCAAGTTGAGTTAACCAACACTTTTATCGCCTATACCACCTCAAATCGTCACTTTATCATGTACATGAATACAAAAATTTTGGTATATTGTTTACATTTTTATATTATTTTTTCAGATGAAGTGTTGTTTTAAATTTATAAATTTTTGTTTTATATCAAGTATTAATCTATTCAATTATATAACATTGCATACAGTGAAAAAGTAGTCTTATTGTTTCATGTGTATTTATAAACAAAGTTGTCAAGATGGCCGAGTTGGTCTAAGGCGCCAGTTTCAGGTACTAGTCCGAAAGGGCATGGGTTTAAATTCCATTCTTGACAAAAGTATGATGTTTATTTTGACCAAATTTATTTGACAGGCACCATTGATGTTGGCAGCAGAGGTCAACTGGATGTGAGGGCAGTGTTAAACACTGTATATGGTACCATTTTGGGTGGCTGTATGCCTATATGTCCAATTCCCATGACCAGTTGACCACCATTTTGGGTGGCTGTCCAATATCCCATGACCACCATAACTACAATGAGCTTCTTTTATCTTTTATCATATATGATATATGTTAGGCAAAGTCTAATTCAAACTTTAGTTACAAATATTGTTGTCCATTAAAAATAATGATACATAATTTCGATGTAAATGAAAATCGAATATTGTTTGCATTTTTGGATGTCATGACTCATTATTTTATACATATTACTGAATTTGTCATTATCTAATTAGTTTTGTTAGATTCGCTAGCTCCCATTGCACTAACTACTCATACAATGTTAAATATATGAATATTGGATCTCAATAATGTACATTATTCTTATCAACTCTCACATTCATAGTGATGCCATAACCATCCAGTTTGTCATTGGCACAAAGTCAACTTGAGAAACCATTACTATATCTTATCAACTTCATCCCAGGAAATGATTAACTCCATGTTCCATCACTGAAAAGTAGACCCTCACATTTTATATTTATTTGATTTTAGTTATATCCATATTTATTCACATAAGGTCACAACTTGATCGGTTACTCGAAAAGAGTGGCCTAGTGGGTAGTTAATTAAAGATTTTATGAATCACAAGTTTAATTAATTATTGACAACACTTTCTCGATCAGTCAAACACATTGCATATGGTTTGTCTTTGTCGGCTATTACATAGAAACATCGTTTCTCTTGCCATCCAAAAAACTTGATAGGTTCGTTGAATCCCCATCTTTAAATCTCCAAGCCAGCTATCCGGCTGTCACACCCAATAGAGGTGCCTACAATTCAGCAAGGGGATTAATTACTGTGTCCGACGGTGGAAACCCTTGACTACACACAAAAAAAAAAATCAAATTAAAAGGTGTACTTGTGTCATATTACACGTAGGATAACCTCATTAAGTTAACAGGATTGAAGTGAAAAAATATATATTAAGGATTGGAAAAAGGACACTTTTATTCCATATAGTTATAACCATCATTGCTTGAGTAATTTAAAATGAGATATTGAAAAGGAAAGATAAGCTTTGCTTGGTCATAAAATAGCTTAATTATCACATAAATAATTACTTAGTTACAGTCTTACAGTGACTTACAGACCACAATTATTTTAAACCAGGAATAAAAATTCTAAACTAATATAATAATATGGATATAATTCTAAACTTTCTTACTTCTCTTGTGGTTTACAAGTTATTGTACAAGAATATAATTTACTCTGTATATACTATCGACTAGTTGATTTCCTCGTCAAAATAATAATAATTGTAGTTGACAATAGCATACATGCATGAGAGCTAAAAAATGATATGTCTATTATCTACGTTTTCTTCTGCTGAACATCCTTGGCAACAACCTCGTGTTTCTTGGGATAAACATCAACATGGCTGTGATATATAATAAGATTAGGTTTGGTATCGAAATCTCTGATAAATCTATCATTCGGAGACGACGATGACGATGATGGGTCTTGATTTATGAGCAGAAGGTCCGTGATTGCTTTCGGCATGGGATCACCGTTCATCATCGCGTCCCAATACTCTCCTGGATCTCTTCTTGCTTCAGCCGCAAAAAACCCAGTCTGAAACACCAATCAAATGAAAGAATAAATAACTAAACCAAAAACATGGTCTACTAATAAGCGGGGGAATGAAAAACTAGAGAAAAAAAGAAAGAAGAATTCATTTATTTACACGTATCTTAACGCTTGGAAATTAAAACAGAGAATAAAGAACAGAAAATTAGAGAATTACCGAAACGAGGAAGGCGAAGAGGATGAAAGGTGAGAGGGTCTTCATAGTTGTATGCAAAGTTCATCAACTATACAAGGAGATTAGTGATCTAGTGGGGTTGCTATTTATAGAATGGTAGATGAGGAGAGGACAACAACACTTGTTATAGTTATTATACAATAATATATAGTATAATACATGTTTTGTGGCTCAACATTAGTTTAATAATAATCCTTGTTTTGTGGCTATCAACTCATTCATATTCCATCGCATAAATTAAAGTCAAACATAACCTATATATTGGGTAATTAGAATGCATGGAACCTAATCTCTTGTGCTTGTTCTAAACTGTTTGAGTTTGATGACAGGCACAGCAAATCCACCAAATTAAAATTGTTAATTATGACCCATAATCTGCATTTTTTAAATACATTTGTTGGGCTGTATATTTATAAAAAAAAAAAAAAAAAAAAAAAAAAAAAAAAAAAAAGGAAATCCACAATAGACAAAGTACAGTATCATTAGATTCCAGTTGACTTACAAATAAGTACTTATTATATTGATGACAAGTTTTTCTGTACCAAATATTTTGGCCTTCCATGGGGGACTGGATGCAAATGCAAAGATGCTAGTCATTAATCATAATCAACAAGTTGACCTTCCCTTTTTCTATAGGAAAGTGGAGATGATGCTATTAGTCAAAATGATCAAGTTGAATATAAATAATAATAATACAAATCCACATCTTGATAAATGATCATCATCATCATCTATCATCTTGCACACATTCAAAACACCAGTGTGTTTGGGTCCGTTTGTAATGGTTCATATGCCTGAAACAAAACCAATGAAGAAAATAATTCAGTCCATCGTAGTTGAATAGCCGAGATAACACTTCATCAACTATTCAGATATTGGGTGCCTTGGGTGTCGATGCATTTTATCAAGTATTTTTTATAATAGGTGTCTTTGTAAAAATTTGATCAAAATCGGAATATGTCAGATTGTCAGTAGACACTGTAAGCAAATTGGGAAAATAAATAGAAAGGAATAGTACTCCGTAATAATTAGTATAAACAAGCAAATAAGCACATGATCCCAGTCAAATCTGTAACAATATGGTGTTAGAGCATGTAACTTTGGCTGTTGCTCAGTTCACATAACTGCAAGTCTTGAACAAATATGGAGATCACACTCTATTGAGTGCAGAGATTGCGGGGCATTGTTATTACTACTACTTTTTTGTTTCTTTTCCTCTTTGGTTTCTTATACGCGGTAAAATTTACCCTTCCAATAAATTATTAAAAAAAAAAAAAAAAAAAAACTAAAATATCTCCTGTTATAGCAATAAAATGTCCAAACTATGACCCTGACTGAATAATGGACCATAGGCTTGCTTCTCAAATGTTAAGAATGCTATGGTTTCCAATTAACATTTCACCTTCACGCTATGAAGGAAATGGGATCACTCGAGAACACAAAAGTTAGTCACTTTATTGTCAGTTTACTCCGGGAGGTGTTTATAAGCAGTAAGTGGAGGTAACATAAGCATAACATACCATAATTCTGGTGAACCATTGTGAACTTATAAATGGCCTTCATGAGGGATCCAAATTTCATGGACTTCAATGGCCCCATATGTCTGTAACAAGAGAAATTTCAAGATTCAGTTCCAGGAATCTGTAGTGAAGTGGACAGCCTTAAAGAAACTTTTCCGTCTTTTTGATTTTCTTTACAAAACAACACCATTCCTATGAAAGGTATAATTTTTTTACTGGTAAGCTTTGCTAAGTGAATATGGACAAAGCACATAAATTTACTCACACAATCTCTGTGTACCGTAGTCTCCATGCTGGGAAACCCAGGTGGCATCTTGCAGAAGCATAAACTAGTAAGAGATCAGGTTCTGGTCCACAACAACCTGTAACATCCAAGAAAGTAAGAATATTAAGGTATCGTAAGGCAAAATTAATCTAGAAAGAAGGAAATTATCTGAAAATTATATAGTATGTGAGGGAATGTCACACACAACAGACCAATAACTCTCAGTGCTTCAGTCATGTCTGACTCTGTAATAGTGTGCTTCTGCAAATTTGTGCCAGTATAATGCTTGACAAAGAGGAAATTAGCTGCTTTGCCCACTGCATGTTTTCCATCAGCTAATGAGACAAACTCCAGATTATTATACTTGTGTAAAAGTGGAGTGGGCAAAGAAGTTCCCTGCACAAAGCAATACAATATTATTTGAGCTGCCACTCCAATGCAACCTTAGCAGGAAAAGAGCACACATTTTATGTTGAATGATCTGTCTTTTTTCTTTTCCTGGTACAAAAGATATCATAATTAAGGCTAGCTCCTCACAAACACATGACCTCTGGTGTCATCCTCTAGCAGAATTCTCATCTCATCAGGGGGTAAATTAGATGTTGAAAATTTTCACTTCACTTTCAGTTGTGTTGAATCTTTTTCCTGTTTTTGCTTGTTCATTATCAAGTATGGGTTCATTGCCTCATATTATAGGTATGTAACATTTCTGTTCACGGTGAGTTCTTGATGTCCACATTTAAGTAAAGGCTGCACGATGAATGCCCAAGGGACATTGACAACAAGGACAATATATGTAATAGGACAAGACTTTAACTAGCTCAACTTATACTCAGATTTGGCAAATTAAAAAAGATAATATATACTACGTAGAACTAAAAACTATGATACACTGGTAGTCTAATCATGCTAATTGGGGAACTCAACCTCATAGAACTTTATACGGCTCAACTCCTCCTTGATGGCTTCTTTGGACTGCTTTAGCACTCCTGCAACAACAAAAGAGGGGCCATAGAGATATAGTCTGAAGTTCATCTAGGAGCACATGAATATGGATGTAGTTGTCTTGTCAAATCAACATACCTTCACTATCATAGAGGGAGACGTTCTTTACACCAATAGTTGCAAGAAACTGCAGAAGTTCAAGAACTTTTGAAGTCTCTCGAGCTTCTTCGCAGTCTATAACAACTGCCAAGTGCTGAATTTTGCTGATATTTAGAGATTTGTAACTCTTCCACAAGCCATTAGAGATAAGAAAACTCTCAATGGTTTGGGCTATGTCCAACACAAAGTACCATATACCAACAAAAAAATGTATAATAAGCCACAAGAAGTGAAGTCCAAGTTTGCCACACTGCAGAAACACATGAAAGGAAGTCATTCTCCATGCAATTAGAAGAACAAACTGCTCAGCATTTATCCTCCTAAAGCTAAGGCCTCATTCCATAAGTCATAGCTTAGCAAGATAGTCAAGGGCAAGATTTCTTGATTCAAATTGTGGGGTTATGTGATATTTCATGATGAAGAGCTCAACAGCATGCAGAAGATAACTTTTCCAGTTCTTTTGTTTGATTAAGATTGAACAAAAGTACATGAAACCAAAAAACATTGCTTCATATGCCACTCATGATGCGGCATGTTACCATTTGCTAATTAGGATGGTGAAGTCAAACGGAGATGGTGGCAATGCATTTATTCACATGGAGGGGTTCACATATGGATGGTGTGCCTGGAATGATACATGCTGAGGAAGTCTTATTTTATTATATTACATAGTTTAGATATTAATAAATTACTAAATACGGAGTAGTTATTTAGAAACTAATAAATAGTTATTTAGAAATTGCTAAATAGTTATTTAACTTATTATTCTTAGTCTTCAAATTAGTTGAGGTAGATTAGTTATTTAGAAATTACCAGATAACTATTCTTAGTTTAGGAACCTTTGTAATCAACCCTATAAAAGGGAGTGTTATTTGGAATAATAGAACAAGCAAAAGTTTAATCCCAAAAAGGGTCTAAGGGAGTTTTGGGTCTCAAGCAAACCACCATGCTATACAAATCTAGGTTAAAATGCAGGAATGGGAATGGTGTAGCCAACCACAACTAAACTGTGATTAGTGCTTAGTTGACTTTAGGTTGAATGAAACTCTCAAATCACATCTAGACATCTAGTGTAGTTGGGTCATCACTTCACCTGTTACCAAACTTGGTCCATACCTGCAACAGATAAGTTTATTACGGAGGCACAAATCTTTACTAGTGTAAGATATTTATTTCTGATCATCAGGCATCATTCATTCATATTCTTAAAAGAAATTATCTTGTTATTAACTTAACCCATATCTGCAAATTTACAATCCTTGGACATCATAAGTTCACAAAGATTACAACTTGAACAATTCTCACATTAACCAGGCCTCAAGAATCTAGTGAATTAAAACAAGAGAAAATATTATTACCCAAGAAGTCTGCTTTAAGAACTTTAGCAGCTTTTCTCCCAAATCCATTACCCTGCAAAATGTTTTAAAATGTCAGGAACAGAAGAGCCTTGCACTTATTTGCTATTAAACCACAAAATACAATCCAACTAATACAAGGTTCTGTGTCTAACATTAACTCATGATTCCGAGCCAGTAAGACTACAAGATTGGAATCAAGCTTTGGCATTTCTGCTGTGCGAAGGATCTTAATAATTGCTAAATCAGGAGACTAGCAACTACATAAAAAGTTCATTCAATATAGCAGTAGTTCTAAATTCCCCACAACAAGCAAAACCAAGAAGATTCATAAACAGGGTGCATGAATCACATTTATTAAATATATATACATAAAAAAAAATAGTTGATGAAAATTAAATTTTTTCAATTTTCAGGGAAGAGGCTTCAGGAGCTGGGAGAGCGAAGAACGAAAGCCAGGTGGAAAACAAATCACCTGAGTATTTGCTGGTTTTAAGGAGGCTTACAATGCATGACTCAATACTCTCTCTCGCTAAGTGAATGAAAACCGTAGAAATACCCAACCCAATCCAACCCGTCATGGCCCGCCCAACTGCCAGCCCGTTAATACACTGCATTAGCTAATTCAGATGAAGGTTTAATTTTTACGATAAATTCGCCGTAAACTGTACAAGTTAATAATAAATTACGGAGTAATTAATTAATTAAAACTCACCAAGCAGGTCTAATGGCTCGAGTTTACAGCTGTCAATTTCGCGAATCACACTGACTTCACCGTTTGAGTCGTTGATATTCAGCTTCAGATAGTGGTCGATGAGCTCCTCGTCCGTTGGACGGAACCTGTCACACTGACTTCACCGTTTCAGCCGTTGATATTCAGCTTCAGATAGTGGTTGATGAGCTCCTCGTCCGTTGGACGGAACCTGTACCCCACCGGCAGTGAGTTTAGCGACGGCAACGCCGTCGATCTTTCCAACGGAAGTACGGCCATCGGTGACGCTTGAATATCGAGAGAAGAAGAACGGGGGAGAAAGAAGAGGAAAGCTGTATATCTATGTCAGGAGAAAGCATGTACATACAGGTATGCTGCGACTGGCGACTAGGCGATGCAGAGTTGCGGCGGACTAGCCTTCTCTCCCTCCCGGCTGAGACAGGCGGCGGTCAGCGGCGGACTCCTGGCGAGTGCTTGTTTAGTCAAGGCTAAGGTGAGAGAAGAGAGTGACAGAGTGTTACTGTGCGTTTGTGAATTTACCTGGTTAGGATTTTTTTTAAATAATAATATGTCCCGTCAAAGCCCGCGGCCCATCAGGTCTGTCCCGCCTAAGCCTATGGCCCGTTAAGTCAGTCCTGTCAAAGCCCGTGATCCATACGGAAGGCAGTCCTCTAACATTTCAATCCAGCTTTTGTGCCGGGGCGTGTACCCAGCCCGTTTTGACGGTTGCAACAACTGCCAATTTGAGCCGGGTTGGACTCGATCACTGAAATAAAAGTAATATTATCCAAATTCCCTAGATTTTCTCCCAAAAAAAAACTTATATTAATCTTTCAAATGGTATATACTCTGCACCACGGCGTGCATAGCACTATGCCCACTGCACCTTTCAAAACGATGTCCGTTTGAGAGGCGCGGTAGGGAGTTGACGTGATTATGTGTATTTGTTCATACAATTATGTGTATTTTTATACAATTATGTACATGTTTTTTATACAAATATGTACATTCGAATCAGGAAATTTTTAAAAAAGTATGTATATTTTAGTATAAAATTATGTACATTTTTTAACATGAGATATTTTTTAAAGAAAATTAACCACCAACACAAGGCAGTGAAAATATCAAAAAATAATAATAATCTGAAACAACGTTGTTTTGCATCAGGGCGCACAATGCAATGCGCGCCTTGGTGCACGATATAAATTGCCCTTTATTTGCACGTTTAAATTTTTAATATTGACATATTTATAGTGGCTTATATATATACTCCGTATATAAGTAAAATAACATATCATTGCCCGCCAAATCAACAAGTAAGCTTTGAGTGTACATAGTAAAACTCTTAATAAACTTATTTTTAAAAAACACGTCATTTTTCTTAAAGCAAACACCAAAACGAACTTTATTCATAACAATTCAACACCAAAACATTATGAATAAAAGGCGGTGGATTATTAATCCACTCCATACTATCTAACATAGAACATGCATCTCGAGCTAACACTTGAGTGACACGGTTTGTATACTGTTTAACAAAAAGGAAATTCAAGCACTATTAAAAATAGTTGAATTTCTTTTAATATCATCAACTAAGAACCCCAACACATCAAAGTCAGATACTCCACAAACAACTAATACCTCTTGGGCATGGGCTGACCACTTGATCCGAGGTTGAATACAAGACCATTGGTATTCAACCCATTAATAAGAGTTTAGGACTTCACACTACTCTTATATTTAGTTGTCATTGGAGTTCTATAATCGATTCTGTAATTTCTTATATTTCATTTACTTTATTGATGATACACAAGTATTCATATATATGGTATTCATTATATAATTCAAGATGTTAATTACATATGTTTTTCTTTACGTGCACTTTAGTATTCTCTTAAACACAAAATATTTTGTATAAGTTACGGAACTCAAAAAATTTGCACCAACAAATAAATATAATGAATTTACAATAATATAAATATAAATAAATAAATAAATATGAAATATATAACAAAATATTGTAATTGAATTGTATTTATTTTTTATCGAATAAAGAAGAAAATAATTGAAAATTAAGATTGAGTGTGATGCAGGACTTTGTTTAGTCGGAAACAGTCCGAGTTGAGAGACCATACGGGAGAGACTTGGAGAGGAAGAGATTCCGTCAATCTCGGAGCTTATTCTCCCATTTCCGATCACAAAGAACTGTACCTCTTGCAAGGTTCGTCAAAATCCCGGCTAAACCTATTCCCCTCTCTGTTATTGTTATTTGTGCTTTCATTTGCAAGATCACACATACTTTATACAATCTCCAACCCTAATTTTTTACTTGTAAATCTCCGTTTTATCAGATTATGATGGATATCGACTTCGCCGAGTATCGGTTGAGATGCCAGCTTCGAGGGCACGAAGACGATGTACGTCATTTTGCTCATTCGCTCTCTCTCAGTACACTTTCAGAGACTCAGCTCAGTTGTTTATTTGTATTTTTGTTGTTTTGTTTTGCTTCTTTTTAAGTTCACGTCAATATGAAGAATAAATCACACCAGATTTCATTTCAGCTTCAGTAAACTTCATATATATTGTTTAATTTAGGCTAAACTCCCTGGATTGCAATAGGACTATAGTGATTTGTGAGTTCTAATGCAAGTTGACTTGGTTTGAATTCCATGTGTTGAATTACTAATAATAGGTGCAATTGACACAATGTCCATGACATAGACAATTATTATGCATTATCCTCTGTAGGGAATGATGGGAAATTCTATGCAGAACCTAACTGCTCTTGTGCTACTATATATTGACTTAAATGCAATTCTTGATGTAGAGAAATATAATTGAGAAAAAATGATGAGTATTCACTTTGTTGTATTTGAGATACAAGGATACACCCAATCAACACTTATGAATGCTTAACATGGCTAGGGATCATCTAGCACATTCTTCATATGTTTTCCATTTAACACATGCTAAAGCAATTTTATTTTGAATTTCATTCTTTACATGCAACACTAGGTTCGTGGTGTATGCATATGTGATAGTGTTGGTATTGCGACTTCATCAAGAGATCGAACTGTTAGGCTCTGGTCACCTGATGGATCAAACAATCGTGACTACACTCTGTCAAAGATATTATTGGGCCATACTAGCTTTGTGGGGCCGTTAGCTTGGGTCTCTCCTTGTGAGGAGTTTCCAGAGGGCGCAGTTGTTTCGGGAGGCATGGACACTCACATTTTTGTTTGGAATTTGGCAACTGGGGATAAAATTCAGGAACTAAAGGGTCATAAGTTGCAAGTTACTGGCATTGCATTGGATGGCTCAGATGTTGTGTCAACTTCTGTTGATTGGTAAGTTGACTAAGTTGTGTTTTAATCTTTTTCTATAGTTTGTTTGGCCATTTTCCCACATTCTGGAGCTAAATGTAACCTCTATTTTTTTTGGGGTTTGCATATGGGATCCATTCCATTTTAGCTCTCTTAAGTGTCCAACTTATATTATTACTGTAATTACGGAGTATTATTATTTTAATTAAAGCTTGCATTGCAGTACATTAAGACGATGGAGGAAAGGTAAACAGATTGAAGTTCTGGAAGCTCATAAAGCACCTATTCAAGCAATTGTTAAGTTGCCTTCAGGAGAGCTTGTAACTGGTAGGGATGGAAAATTGTCTCAAGTTTTTGCATTTGAATTCTTATTGCTTATGTTTATGATCTGAATCAGTTAAATCATGTTGCTATGCCTCTACACTAATAAACATTTGCCCCTCATAACATTACATTTCTAAAAGAATGCCCCCCCCCCCCCCCCCCCCCCCCCCCGGGTGGCATTACCATGTTAGAAATAAATATGATAACCTTAATAATAAAATAATCTTAATCATTATGGTGATTAGGTTCAAGTGACATGACCTTAAAGCTTTGGAAGGGAGCCACATGTGCACACACTTTTGTTGGCCATACAGGTTTGGCTCTGTACTCTTGTCTATGGCTTTAATGTTGGATGGGAATGGCATCTATTTTTGTATCAAACAACATTACTGAGTCAACCCTTGATTGGATGTTCTAATTTAGTTTGTTGATCTCTGGTTATGCGTGGATGGTATTTTGCAGATACAGTTCGAGGCTTGGCTGTGATGCCTGATTTAGGAGTCCTCTCTGCATCACATGATGGGTATGCTTTGCTTTCTCTTTGGTTTGTGCTATTTAATGAAGCATGCTCAGTTATCCTTGGTGTAAACACTTGTAATTTTTTTATTTATTTTTTTATTTTTTTATTTTTTTATTTTTTTATTTTTGTGGAGGAGGCAGTTAATTATTCTCTGAAGCCATAAAGGGGTCTTGGAATCTTGAACTCTATTTCTGTGCTTTTATTTTATTTTATTGTATTTTATTGTATTTTTATTAACTCTTGCCTTGAAGAGATGATTTATTATTGGTGCAATTCACTGAACATCGGTAAACCCAAATTTAATATGATAGAAGCATTTCCAATCTTCTCCAAGAACCTCTTTGTGCATTTGGTTTGGTCCTTATTAAGATGAGTCCTTTACAATACGGTTAATATAATCTAAGGTTGTGTATATTAGTTAATGTGTCTTTGATTGTATTTTCTGATCTGCAAATGCATTTATGTGTATTAGCACCGAGGATCTTGTTATTTTGTATCTTCACTTATCAGCATTTTTTCATATTTACTAATTACTATCATTATGTAATGACAGCTCAATTAGGCTGTGGGCACTTAGCGGTGAAGTATTGATGGAGATGGTTGGTCACACTTCTATTGTATACTCTGTTGATGCTCATGTCTCTGGGCTTATTGTCAGTGGAAGTGAGGACGGTTTCACTAAGATATGGAAAGGTAATTTTAAAAATATTTTAGTTATTATAGATATCACATGTAATTTACAAAGCATAGAGAGTAACATTGTTCTATAATGGAGTATAATATTTCCCTGTAACATTTTCTTTCTTTCTTCATCTGTTGCAGATGGAGTTTGTGTCCAGAGCATACAACATCCTGGATGTGTTTGGGATGTCAAATTCTTGGAAAATGGTGATATTGTGACTGCATGCTCTGATGGAGTAGTGCGTATATGGACAACACAGCAGGATAGGATTGCTGACCCTCATGAACTTGAGTCATATGAGAATCTACTTTATCAGTACAAGTGCAGTAGGTGAGATACCTAAATTTTGTTAATTGTTTTTCCTGTGATGCAGGAGCTTTTTTATTGGTTATTCATTAAATTGGCTAAGACAATCAGATCCTTTGCCTCACTAGTCACTAATCTGTTTGAGTGAATTTTGCTGAACTTTCTAGCGTCCCTAATATATTCCATGGCAATACTTCATCTCTTATGTTTTTTTTGGATTCTAACAATTTGTTCAATTTTCCTTTATGAAATTATTATCTCTGCAGTGTACCGAGTGTCAAGTTTCTTAAAATAATGCTCATTAAATGTTTCTTTGAGAGGAGTATATGAAACATTGCTTTGTAGACAATTTATATTGGTTTGCATAGATACCCGATTCATTTTTTGGAAATATGGATTCTGCAGCTTCTTTGCATATATACAGGCTTTTAGAATTCAAGTTCTCTAGTCTCGGGTTTAGAAGTCACTTAACTGATATTGGTTCTGGGATATGAAAAATGATTACTAGATGCAGACTCTAAGAAAGATGCATCTCTTTTTGTCTTAGGAAGAGAGTTGGAGGTTTAAAATTGGAAGATCTGCCAGGGCTGGAAGCTCTGCAAACCCCAGGTTATATTTCAGTTCTGTTGCTTTAGGAAGTTTTTATGTTCAAATATTGATTAATTTGAATTCTTACATATGTTTCTTTTACTCTAATTCATTTTTTAAGTTACTGAACAGGCACTAATGATGGGCAGACAAAAATTGTTCGGGAAGGAGACAACGGCGTAGCATATGCATGGAATCTGAGGGAACAGAAATGGGATAAAGTAAGATCCATTCTCTCATAGATGAATACTCAAATTGTTGGTCTACTAATTGTTTCTTTAATTTATGTCTGCTTTCCCTGTTGCCTCCTTCTAGATTGGTGAAGTTGTTGATGGGCCTGATGATGGCATGGCCCAGCCTGTGCTTGATGGAGTTCAATATGATTATGGTTAGTATTTTTACTTGAAACTTTTTTTCCCCCCTGCCTTTCTGGTAACAATGCAAAAGGAATTGTGATTTTCTTTTGGGGGGATCTTGATTGGAAAGCTTGAACATCTTCTGTTTTTCTATGTTGATTCTTCAGCATAGTTTTTGTTTTGATTTTCAATAACAAATCCATATTTTTTTCATTCAGTGTTTGATGTTGATATTGGTGATGGTGAGCCTGTTCGTAAATTGCCGTATAATCGCAAAGGTATCTTCCCAGGCCTCATAGCTTAATGCGTGTAGTTTCTACTGAAATTCAAGCCTGCTTTTACTAAAAGAGTGATTCCAGTTCCAATTTTTGGATTTTTTTTCATCCGTTTTTAAAATTTATTTTATTGAAAATATTATTATGAAACGATATTTTTTGGTTTATTTACAGATAATCCATATACTACTGCTGATAATTGGCTACTGAAGGAGAATCTCCCTCTTTCCTATCGTGAGCAGATTGTCGAATTCATACTACAAAATACTGGACAGAAAAATTTTACTCCGGATTCATCATTCCGTGACCCCTTCACTGGTGGTAAGTATAATTTTGATGTGTCAGCTATTTGACATCAATTAATTGAATCCAGTTGGCCCTAATTTCTCCTTTCCCATCCCTATCTTTTCCTCAGAATAATTCTTACATTTCTTTATCATTTCAGCCAGTGCTTATGTTCCTGGAGAGCCTTCAAAAGCTCCTGGTTCGTTTCATAGCCACTGAACCTTCAATTTTGAATTGGTTTTCTGTATCTCTGTGATAATTAAGGTTGATTTAGAATTATCTTCATTGTGGCTTAACAACAGCTGCTGCAGCCAGACCTACTCTCAAGCACGTCCCTAAGGTAATAATATTTTCTCGCTGAGACTTTTACTCCTATGATTAGGGCTATTCTCTATAATGTTTTTGTCTAAGATATACATATTGATTCTTCCAGAAAGGGATGCTTGTATTTGATGCAGCACAATTTGATGGGATTCTCAAGAAGATTTTGGAATTCAACAGTAGTTTACAATCTGACTCGGTAAATAAACCTAAATTTGAAAACCGCTTTATTTTCCCATGTATTTCAATTTTTACAGTTTATAATTATCTTGACTTGCTCTTGATAAATGGTTCTTTACTGAAGGAGAGAAATAGTTTGTCAATAAATGATGCTGATCTATCAAGATTGACTGCTATTGTTAAAATTCTGAAAGATACATCGCACTATCACACCAGTAGATTTTCAGATGTTGATCTTGCATTGGTTCTGAGGTTGCTTAAGACATGGCCACTATCAATGCTATTTCCTGGTAATCATCTCATTCTAAAGTTAATGTTTCCATTAGAACAAGTACTAAGAGATTTCATGGGTGCAGTCATGTTCTATGCAATTCTTGTATTATTGATGTTGGAAGTTCCTCCAACTCTTTCACATCACATGTGAGGAGGGTTTTTTTTTTTTTTTTTTTTTTTTTTAATAAATAATTATGGTATTAGTTAATTTTTCAGAGTATTTTTATTATTATTATTATTATTATTATTATTATTATTATTATTATTATTTTTCAAAAACCTCTCGTTAAGGTTTGATGACAGGTTCTATTATTTGCTTCTTTCTTTTGGCAGTTATTGATATCTTGAGGATGATAATTTTACACCCCGATGGGGCAAATACCCTACTCAAACATGTCAACCACGATGGTATCTGATTTTCTTTCTAGTAATTTTTATACTGTTGCTTATGCTTATTGTAGAACTCTCATTTGAGGTTGGCAATTGCTTTAGTCCTTTATTTGTTTTCACCAGATACACTCATTGAGTTGATCAAGAAGGTCACTGTTAATCCTCCCCTCCCTGCAAATCTTCTAACAAGCATCCGTGCTGTGACTAATCTCTTCAAGAATTCGTTGTTTTATGATTGGTTAATAAAACACCGTGGAGAGGTTAGTATCCTTCCCTGAAATAAATACTCCGGTAATTCAAAAATTTAAAATGTTGATCAATTTGATTTTCAAATTCATGCCATGGTATGCAAGTGTGAACCTGTTGGTTACTGGGTTGAGGTTTTCTTCTGTTTGCTTGTTGCTTCCACTTTTAATTTATTCTTCCTGCATATGCTGCTTCTTTATTGATTCATTTTCAAAGAAAAGATGGGTAGCAAGTGATGCTAAGAACATGCTCCATGTCATTTCTTCTGTTAGGATTTCAGTGGTCAACTTGGCAACTTCTTCTTAAGATGTTTATTAGCTAGTAGCCTAGTACTGTTTGTGCCGTTACATTTTATAGTTTTCATGTATTGAATTAACATATATTTTTTGAATGTTCTGAATTAACATCTACTGTGCCTGGTCAATTCTTTTTGTAGATTCTAGATGCTTTCTCAAGCTGTTATCTATCCTCAAATAAAAATGTACAACTTTCTTATTCGACACTGGTACTGAAGTAAGTATTGCAACATCTATTTTTGAATTCGTATCTTCATTGGATGTACTGATTTATGTTGTTTGCTGTCTTGCTGAACTTCTCCTCATGCTGCTCACCTATTGTTGTTTTTTAAAATTTTTTTTGGATCTTTAGCTATGCTGTTCTTTTGATTGAAAAGAAGGATGAGGAAGGTCAATCTCAAGTTCTTTCAGCAGCTCTTGAGGTATCTATTGTTCTACTAATTTCACTTTGTAATGACCTAAGCCTAGTTGTTGCATCCATTAGTACCTCTTCTCTCCCTCCCTCTATTTATTTTATATTTAAATTTAAATTTAGAATTTCCTTTCCAAAAGATTGCAGAAGAGGGAAGTGTTGAAGCTGATTCAAAATTCCGAGTTCTGGTTGCCCTAGGATCACTGGTATGATGTTTAGAAACACTTGTTCTTTAAAATGTGAATGGTCTAAATAAAAGTTGATCCTGTTGTTCTGTTGATTGATGATTCTTGTAATATAGCACTAAGCTAGCTTAATATGCGCGCCAAAAAAGTGCTGCCATTGCTTATTTGCTCTAAAACCATCATATTCTTGTGATACCTACTATTACAGATGCTTGATGGGGTTGTTAAAAGAATCGCATTAGACTTAGACGTAGAAAATATTGCAAAAGCAGCCAAGGCGGCTAAGGATCCAAAGCTGGCTGAAGTTGGAGCTGACATTGAATTGATAATAAAGCAGACTTGAATTGAAAACTGACTGTTTCACTGCCACCTGTCACTGGAAACTGCAAAATCAATTCAATTCTTTGACCAATGCGGGGATAACGCCAAGTGATTAAATGCTATCTCGGTGACTGCTGGCTAGATACAAAGAAGGCAACAACTACCCAAAGAAGCTTTTGGCATGAAAAGGAAACCTTACTATTTTGAGATTCATTGGGACACCAACGTATCATTGATATGTCAAAACGTCTCTGAAGTGCTTTGTGGGTTGCTTTTCTATTTCCTGAAATTCTACTTGGATTTGGTTCAATTACTGTTGCTAATACAGATCCTTTTCCTTCAAATTATATTATATATATAAACTAAAAAGGAGCTATTTTACTTGGAATCTCGATACTATCTTAAATCGTTCCCGTCTTAATAAGAAAAATATTACTTGTACTCAAGTGGAAGTATATATTTTTCTTACGGCGTTAGGTGAAAGGGAATTAAATAAGTAATATTTTTTTCCTTTTTTTTTTTTATTAAAAGGGACGTACATAATAATAAAGAAAAGAAAAAGCAGAGGGAGGGCAATCACGGTAATGAATTATATGAATAGTCATCCATTCATCCATGATTGATGACTGATGATTCTCTTCCTCCATGTTGCCTGCCTCCAGAGTCCAGCCTACCTCGGTTGAAACGATGTCGCATGCAACAACCCTGCGTTAAGTTGTACGTAAAATTATCAATTGAGTAGAGTAGTGGAGATCTACCGATATAGAAATAGATCCCCAATCCAATTCCATTTCCATTTCCATTTTGTCTCAGCTGTCTCTCTATCCGTCTGCGACTCCTCCATTCCCTCCAAACACTTTCCGCTTTTGGAATTCGGATCAACAAGTAGTAAGTGGCGCCATTTAGATCCCCGTCTATCCCTCTCTATACCTCTCTGCGCACACCCGCGTATCTTGTATGATTCGATTCGATCTTATTATTATCTGATCAGTGGTTATATACTTAGATCTGTATTGTTTATTATCTTTCCTTTCTGGATATCTGTTGAAATCTGGATCCGTCTACTTTCTCTTAGTTTGCTGATGGTAATACTAGCAATTGCTTCTCTTTGTAACTATTTATTATACAGAATCTGTCTTCTTCCTTTGAGTGTAAATTTGGTGTGGTTTCCGCGGAATTTTTCGAGATTTGTTAGATCGGTTGTTGGAAATAAACTTAACTCTAGCTAATAATGGATAGCTACCTTTTGTTGTGCAAGTCTGGAGCTGCTACACTGTTGTGTGTGTAGAAACAAATATAAGATGTTAACAAATAAAAAACCAAAGAATAATGGATGCACCAGTTCAGTTGTGATTTATGAAAATATATGAATACTGAGATTACCTGCTCAATGACAAGCAATCAGTCGATCAGTACTGGCCAGCATCGATATCACCTGAAAGCTTCAATGCCTGCCTTCAAACAAGTAAACAAAAGGAAAATAGAAAGCTAATTAGTTCAATAAGTAATGCAGTGGTTAAACATGCTTCTGGACCAGGTAAGGTTTGACGTTAGAACATATCATTGGATAAGAGTTTTCTGTTTTCTTTTAGCTGAAATCTTAGGCTGCATATGTGTAGCAACTTGGTTTGTAATTTAGTATATCACTATCGGTTGTCTAAATTTGAATGTTGGTAGTAATGAGCCTTAATATTTTTGTTCATGTTTTACTACTTTTCTTCAATTGTTTGTGTTTGAGCCAGCAAACTATGATGTCATTAATTGTTCTTGTTTACAATTTTTATATCTTATGATTGATGATGTTGTGTTTCTAGCCTATGGTGTTTTTTGTTAGTATTTTCACTTTGGTATTATGTGGATAATAGGTGCTTGATTAGAGGCTTTATGGACATGGATTGTGGGAGTGGTGAATCATTAGACGCGTCTTCTTCTACTGATGTAAATTGCGAGTGTGGTGATTTTGAATGCAATATCTGCTTTGACGTAGCTCATGATCCAATAGTGACGCTTTGTGGCCACCTTTACTGTTGGCCTTGTCTTTACCAATGGCTGCAAGTTCATTCACATTCCCATGAATGCCCCGTTTGCAAGGCAGTCATAAAAGAGGAAAGACTAGTTCCCATATATGGAAGAGGCAAAGCATGTTCTGACCCGAGGACGCGATTGATTCCTGGAATCAGTATACCAAACCGTCCTGTGGGACAGAGACCTCAAACTGCTCCACCTGTGGACACAAACTATTTCCGACAGGAAGAGTTGGACCCTATTGGGAATTTCATGCAGGTGCCAAGTGCGAGGTTTGGGAACTTAACATTATCTGCTCTTTTTGGAGCTATTCCTGCCCTTTTTAACCTTCATGTGAATGGATTTCATGATGCTACCGTCTATGGGGCAACAACTGGAGTTCCCTACCTGTTTTCAAGTTCATTTCACGGAGGTTATGCTCATGGATTTTATCATGCAGCCCCAGTAGATGGGACAAAGTTTTACTTGAAAATATTCTTCTTAATTGCTGGCTTCCTTTTAATTGTTTCTTTAATTTTATAGGCGCCACATACCACCTTAAGTTTAGCCTGTAGAATCGATAATTATGCAATTGTATATGCTAGTAGTATATCAGACCTCATAAACTTGTAAGGTCTATCATAGTAGCCTCTCTGCCCCATTCCTTTTCTCAATAACTAGTTGGCAGATCTTCCACGTTTCTTGAAGTTGTTGTATAGCTATGTAATCGAAGGATGATATATCAGTCTAAGTTGTTTGTGTTCTACTGCTGTATCGGGTCTCTCCGTCTCTATGAAATCCTATATGTGAGTGCAAATTTATCACTATAGTTGTTTGAATCTGTTGTTTTGGCATTATCATTTGATAGTTTATACACAAAATGGGTACACAAAAATGCAGCCAATGATGGAGATGCAAGTGGAATGAAGCCCCTATATGTGTGCATTGTTAATGGGCGAAAATTCTTGGACAGACTAAATTTATAACTCGGGAACTCTATGGATGAACTTCTATTACAAGGTAATATTTGTTCTATACTTTTTCTATCTGTTGCAGCCTAAAGAGTCAATACTCCACCACTAGAGTTCGATTATGTGACCTTCCCTCAAGAAGAGCTACAAAGGTGTCATCTGAGCACAAGATACTTGGCACTATGGATGAACTTTATTTAGTGTTTCTCCAATGTCAATATATGTATGTATTTCTAGGGTTTGGTGTGCACTTGTGAGTCAAAGGGATTATTTGCAGTCAACATGTCTGGGTTAGTTTGGTGTGTGCAACATCTAGTTGGTGAAAATTTCAATGCTCCACCAAACCTTTGGTACTATTTTCTACAACCACAAAATCAGAACACATGTTCTGTATCTGATCATGTTTACTGATTTCTTAGTATTCTTCATCAAAGCAAAATTGGACACAAACTCCGAAACGTTACGGTTACTACCTTTTGATATGTGTACTTTGTATTTGATTGGACACAAATTAAAAAAACGTGTAAATTACGGTTACTATCTTTTTGGTACGTATAGTGTTACTCTTTCTTCTTTCATGACAAATAAATGGGGGTGCAAACATTAAACAAAGGAACTACTAACAGTATCCGGGTAGGTATGCAAGATTGGAAACTGGTCAACATAGGGAGATAAACTAAAGGTCACAACAGCAATGTAGAGAATGTCAAATGTGTCTGCTTATGTTCATATTGCACAAACGACAATTTCCAATTCTTATAAGTCAACTCAGGCAACTACCAACTATAAATATGTTTAAAAAAATGTTTTTTTTTTCTCCAAAAAGGGTGAACAAATGGAGCATATCCCTTCCACTCAATAGGAATAAGGGTCAAATTAATCGGAAAGGGATTGAATAGAGGAATTTCCAAACATTTGGTGATCTCAGATGTGTCGATACTCGATATCAACGATGACTTATTCTTTTTATTTTGATGAATCATTTCTTTGGACGGAAGATTATGTAACCATTTACTTGAGATCTCACTTCTGAGAAAAAATTACATCTTCACAATTTTGTCTGAAGAATTCGCCACGATCGAACATAACGTGAAAATGCAATTTGACCACTCAACTAAAATAAGTGCAATTAGACCATTCAACATTGAAAAATTAAGCAATTTTTCCATGTGACTTACAGTGACAAGTTATCAACAAGTAATATAATATGATAGTATTATATTTGGGTAAAGAGCTTACCCAAGTAATACGGAATATAAAGAATGTTAACAAACCATACGTTTTAGATATAATATATGTTGAAAGGAACCAAATACTGCTTTTCTAATAATAGCCTTTTAGGAAAGAATTCTGCTCTTGTCTGCTCAAACCTTGCTGGCCTTTTTCTGTTTCTCCAAATCACTACTACGTATAGGATTCTATTATTGAAGTGGGAAAGCTCAAGATGAACTGTTCTCTAACTGAAAAAGGATTTCTCCTTTCTTTTCTCTATTCCTGTTAGGTATTCCATTGACTATTATTAGATTGTCTTCAATGGAAGTAGAGCAGCGAGCTTGTGATGATGAGATTGGCAATGGCAGACAGGTTAATGATGTTCAGAAATGGAAAAAGGTTGCCACTAAATGGAAGGATGAATCAAAGTTGGTGTGGCAGATAGCAGGACCAGCAATCTTAACTGCAGTTTCTCAATTCTCGTTTGGGTTTATCACAGCTGCCTTTGTTGGACAAGTTGGGCATGTTGAACTTGCTGCTGTCTCGGAGGTTCAGAATGTTGTTGAAGGGTTTGTCTATGGTATCATGGTAAATATGTTTCTCTGTCTTACCATCACAATTAATAAAAGAATAGTATTACTCCTTTGTCTATGGTATCATGGTAAATATGTTGCTGTCTTACCATCACAATTAATAAAAGAATAGTATTACTCCCGTGAAACAGAAATCTTGTCTTCTTTACTTTTCTGCCATTATTATTGTTTCTTGCTTGGCCTGTGACAGTTGGGGATGGGCAGTGCTCTTGAGACTCTGTGTGGGCAGGCAGTGGGAGCTTCGGAGTTCAACATGCTGGGGATTTACTTGCAGAGATCATGGATCATAACTGGAGTCACAGCCTTGTTGCTAACACCGGCCTATGTTTTCACTTCACCGATTCTGAAGCTGCTGAGACAGGACAAACACATATCTCATGTTGCGGGGAAATACGCGATTTGGGTGATTCCTCAGTTGTTTGCATATGCATTAAACTTCCCTATCCAGAAGTTCCTCCAAGCCCAGGCCAAAGTCTGGGTAATGGCCATCATATCTGTGGCTGCACTGGCGGTTCACGGGCTGCTAAGTTGGGTGCTCGTGATGAGGCTCGATCGGGGCCTGCTTGGAGCTGCAATTGCTGGGAATGTGTCTTGGTGGATTTTGATCATTGCTCAGATTGTTTACATAGTTTCAGGGTCTTTCCCTGATTCATGGACTGGCTTTTCATGGCTGGCTTTTAAGTCATTGTTTAACTTTGTGAAGCTGTCGCTCGCCTCAGCTGCAATGCTATGGTGAGTTATTCTAACTCGAGAAATCTAACCTGCAATCCTAATTCGCCCCGTTTTTGAACTGACCATTGTTGTGGTGGCAGCTTAGAGCTATGGTATTTTACAGCTGTGATTCTCATGGTTGGAGGCCTCAACAATGCTGCAGTTGCGGTGGACTCTGTGTCCATCTGGTTAGTAGGGAATGCACAACTTTATTTTCTTATACTTACATAGCAGTCAGTGCCACGTTTCGGTGGTGACAGGATGTTGGACTCGGCTCTCCAAGCCACCACCCAACATCTTGATTATATGTTCTTTGCTTAGTTTTAATTCCACTTCTTCATTCACACCATTTACCAATTGCATCGTTGTATGGATTCGACAGCGTGAACTTGCAGCTCTGGGCACTCATGGTTGCTCTTGGCTTCAATGCATCAGTCAGGTAAATGTTCTTTCGTCTGTGTGGTTTGACCCATGTACATTATAGCCGAGTTGAGTGATCCTAGCCCAATCTTAGTTTATACAGTCTGATTGTCTTGAGATTATCTTGGTATTGCAGTGTAAGGGTTTCAAATGAACTAGGAGGAGGCAATCCAGAAGCTGCAAAATTCTCAGTAAAGGTGAATGTAATAACATCTGCAATTCTAGGAACCATTTTCACAGCCATTGTAGCCAGCACAGTGAACCAGTTTCCCAGAATGTTCACAAAGAATGAAGAGGTGATGAAGGAGACCTCCAAGTTAGGCTATCTCCTAGCAGCAACGATCTTCTTGAACTCTGTCCAACCGGTCTTCCATGGTACGATCGATCCCCTCAAACTCTTAAGAAACTTCACAAGAAATAAAACAGTCATGACAGCGAAAAAAGAACAACAACAATTGCAGGGGTGGCTGTTGGCGCGGGGTGGCAGTTCCTAGTAGCATTGGTTAACCTCGTAAGTTACTATGTTGTCGGGCTCCCGTTTGGTGCACTGCTCGGTTTCAAGTTCGATCTCGGTGTTAAGGGCATCTGGTCCGCAATGCTGGGCGGGAGCGTGCTGCAGACACTCATCCTCTACCTCATCATTGCTAGGACAAATTGGCATAAAGAGGTAACCGAGTTTTTTCTGAGATGCCTATGTTTCTTTTTTTGAGTACTACTGACTCTGTTACAATGTAGTATCTGTTACTGCCTATGTGAGATGCCTATGTTTCTGAAACATGAAAACAATGTTGTTTTCCCAAGTTCTGAACAAGTGAATTTGAACCTCACACAGGCTCTTCAAGCTGAGGAAAGAGTGAGATATTGGGGTGGTCCAGTAGAGAATCAAGAATGCTTGGAGCAGTCTGAAGCACAGAGGAATGGGAATGAAACCAGATGAAGTATAGGGAAAAACAGGAACACAAACATTTTTTATTTTTTTTTTTAAATAGAAGTTTAGTGACAAACATAAATTTAGTACTCAGCAACTCTGCCATATTCTTAAAAATGTTGTAATGTTTTTGCAAAAGATTGGCTTTGCCAAGACTGGGATAAAAGTACAAAAGGTCCCAGATTGGTGTTAAGAGCCTATGAAATCCAATTGTTTCCAATCTGAAATCTCCCCATCTTATATGTAATGTCTCCGGTTGGTTTATCTTTTTTGTGTTTTTATTTTTTATTTTTATTGAGTAGGATTACAATGTGAGTTTTACTCAGAATGTACTTTTCGGTAGCGGTTTTAAACTTTTTTGTAAATAAAAAAATATTAGTATGAGCATAAATACTCATTACCACTAAAAATATTCATTAAAAATGCTGATGTGGCTCCAAAAAGAGTGGTGGAGTGGATAAAATATAATTCTGGTAGACACAAGTTGCATGAATAAAAAATATTAAAAACCAACTTTATCACAAAGCTGGAATAGCTCAGTTGGTTAGAGCGTGTGGCTGTTAACCACAAGGTCGGAGGTTCAAGCCCTCCTTCTAGCGCATCTTTTACCTTTTTGGCCTCCAGGCTGGAAAGACTCAAAGACCAACACATTTTTTTAACAATCATTTTGGATGCTAGATCTTACCACCTAAAGAATCAATGTTACATTGAATTTCAATTCCCAGCCAAAACAATGAGACCAAAAGGAGCAATGTTACATTGAATTTCAATTCCAAGCCAAAACAACGAGACCAAAAGGTTACAAAAGTTCAACCACCGAGTCTACATTTCATCAATATTGGTTCTAAATATGAAGTCTTCGCCCTCTAATTCCTCGTGGAAAAGAGACATGGATGGCTTTTCGCTGGCCTTGACGGGTTCATAGCTCTCTGAGGATCGCTGTCCCTGCAAATGGTGGACTCGTTTTAAGAACCAGTATCTGACAGCCCTCATATCCTAGATTTCTTCAAGTCAGGCAAAATATGATACAATGCAGGTTTATCCTTAAAAAGATCATCGCAATTTATAACTCAAAACGAAAATAAAAGATTAACCTTTTTCAAGATATAGAAGAAATAGTGAAATGTTTCTCCAAAAGTACTCCACTCGATAGACCAAGTAAACTCCGGGTCATTGAAGAAGCGCCGCCTGAAATGAGGCTGCCAAAAGAAAACTCACAAGTTAACTTTATTCAAGAGACTAACCGAGAATCATAATCTTGAACCATTCTACTCCGCTACCTGGCCAAAGGTGATGGAGATGAAGATTCCATTGGGTTTCAAAACTCTATGAACTTCTTTAAGCATCGCCATCACTTTATCCACTGTCGCAGGGTGGGGATTCCAGGGATCACCGCTGTCCACGAACAACACATCCTTCAAATCCAACACCACACATACTCTTGATTTACGAAAAAAGAATTCCACAACGAGCAAGATAAAGGTCGAAAGTAGTATTCACTCTACCATAGTTCCTTTCTCTATAACTACATCAAAACATTGATCCTCAAAGGGCAGATCTAGCATGTCTGCTTCCAGCACCTTAATTTCTGGTGGCATAAAAATGGGTAAAAAACGAGAAAAACATTAGAAATTTTACTGCTCTCAACACCCTTTTACAATACTTCTTCTGCATTAGAGAACATATAATTCATCCATTCATTAACTAAGCAAGTAACAATCACAAATAGTGCAAGAACAACCAAAAATTTTACCTTTATAGCCCTTTGATAGCAATCTGTTCTTCATCCTCTCCACAGCAATGGGGGATAAGTCAATGCAGGTGAGCTCATTAATACCATCTCTATACAGTTCTTCACACAACTGGGAATTCCCACATCCCAGCTCCAACACCTGATCAGCATAATTTCAGGAGAAGTCTCTTAAACCCTAAGCTAAAAATCAAAATTTATAGCAAATTCACAGAACATACAACAGAAAGTTCCAAGCTTGAAACATTATATAATTCATAAAAAGACTGGCAAGGAAAAGGGGTTACAGAAGAATCGGGTTGGATGTGCTGAAGAATGAGATGGCGGAAATGGGAGTAATCTTTGAACCATTCGTAGTGGTCTTCTTGAGCGAACCTTTCGTCCCTGAAAACGACCGGAAAACATAAATTCTTTTCATGGTTTGGGATAATTGGATGCATGGTTTGCAGATAGAAGAAGATGATTGAATTCCATGAAGCTATAGAATTTATTAATCTCACCAGTATTTTGGGTCGAGGTAGGCTGACGCAGTCGGAGGAACAACATCGGATTTCTGCAGCTCCGGCGGGTCCTCAGCTCGGTCCATTTTCCGTATCTTGGGGATTTTGGGTACTGTCTGTCTGTATTTGAGTAAAACCCTAAACCTTTGGACCCACTAAATCATTCAATTTATTTTATTTTTCTCTTTGTTTTACCTTTTTTTTTTTTTTTTTTTTTTTGAATGTTACTAACTCTATTACATTGTAGTATTTGTTCATTTCTCTTTGTTTTACCTAATAAAGAGTAAATTTCAATTTCAACCCACACTTCAAAATTTAAGGTCAAGGAGAAAGCAAAAAAAAAAGCTATAGTTAGGCTAACTCAAAAACATGGTTGCATTAGACGGTTAGGCGCTAATCGAGCAATAGAGTAGCATCTAATGCCTAGACGGCTAACTAAAAAAAAAAAGTACAGTGTGAAAAAATTAGTAAGGTCGAGTTGGCCAAGTTAACTCGGCTGAATTGAACGAGTTAACTCGGTCGAATTTGACCGAGTTCATCGCCAACTTAACTGTCGAGTTAGGCGCTTAGACGGCCGCCTAGAAAGAAAATCGCCACAGTCTAGAGGCACCTAGCGCCTAGGCTGATTTTTGCAAGAATGCTTGAAAAAGTGCTAGGGATTTGGAGATTTTTTAGAAGCCCCCAACAAGCTTGCCGGATATTTTGCACAGAGACATTTATGGCATCCCCGTCTGAGGAAGGTCAATGTGACTAATTAACTTAAGTTGTTTTAGCGAAAGTTACAAGTTCAACTTCAAGAAAGTAGTTTATTGATTTTTTGGTTTAAACTGATTAGCTATAAGTAATTTAACTAATTTATCTCTTTGTGGTATGTTTCCATCCTCACTCAATTTTTTATTTTTTTTAAAGGTGTAATAAATGCAAGTTTTACTTTAGTCTGGAGTTAATAGACTAATAATTTTTAATTTTTTTACTGTTATCACATAGCAACACTGCTGCAAATCTGTGGGTTTAATCAAGAATGACATGAGGATCCACATTAGTACATTACAACAACTGAATTATATTACATCCAAAAAATGGGAATACATAAAAATGCAGAAATATACACTCCAGTTGTGCATGAGCCGATGCATTGACTACATTTACTTGCTCTGCTATGGTAATTATATGAAACAATTACAGGAAGTTCATGGCCTCAGCCTCTGAAAACTCTCAAGTCTTATGGTGAAAACCATTGAAATGTCTTCAGCTTCATAGCTTCGGAGATGATGGCGAAGGAGAAGTTGGAGGCTTCAAGTCCTCGTACCTGCTCATCAGAAATGCAACGAGATTTCATGGAACTGGAAAAAGAAGACGATTCGGTAAAGTGGATTCATAGAGAGAACGTACGCAGTATAAGGTGAGAGGGGTCTTTCTTTCGATGTATTGACATGTAATGTCCCCTCGGGTTTTTCTGCAACTGGAGACACTGTTGGTGTGCTCGGTGAAGGTGAAGTAGGAGGCTTGAGGTCATCGTATCTGATAATGAGTGGATTAGTGAGATAAGCAGAAAGAAGCGAAGTTCAGAGGAAGATAAGAATTAGGCCATCCGTTAACTTACACGAGGTAGGGGGAATGGCGAGAAGGAGCAATAGTGGGAGGACCATTCGTTGGCACATTAAGTTGCACTTCAGCTTTGGAACGACTCTGAGTTGGAGTCGGGGAGGTAGGAGGCTTCAAATCTTCATAGCTGCAAGTATACATTCGATAAGAAGCTGGTAAAGACGTTACGATTAAAGAAAATTAAGTTAGCACGAGGAAATGACTTAACGCAGTGTAGGGAGACAACGGGCTTGTTTTCTGCACTTCTACTTTGGCCAAATTGGGATCAATAGCTTCAGCAGGCAATGAGACCTTATCAACAATTTTACCACCACTTGGAGGACTCGGAGTTGGGGACGTGGGCGGTTTAAGATCAGCATAACTGCAATAATAAACACGAAAAAAAAAAAAAGGGGGTTAATATGCAGGTGTCATAGTTGCCATCTGGTTTGTGAAACACAATATTAGTGGTGCTCACGCTGTATATGGAGAGAGAGGTTTTGCTTCTATTGCAGTTGCCGGGGTAGATTCTTTCTCCGTGGGGGTGCTTGTGATTTTAGGGATCGTGACAGCTGAAACAGCGGGCTGAGTTGCGCTACCTGGATCCTAGAAACAGCTCGAGAAAATAGTGCTATAAGTCAGAGTGAAATGATCACTTTCATAGCTTTATGCCAATCTCATATACCTTGGCTGGGGAAACCTTTTGTTTGGATGGTATCCTTGTGAGAAGGTCGCCCAACGGGGTTAATGGCGCTGTCGTCTCTGCAATTACTTCCACCACTTTGTAGTACGACACGGTTGGATTTTTCACCATAAACGCCATGAGCTCCGCGACCTGGTTTCATCAGTTAGAGCTATTCCAGTTATCAACCATTAAACAATAGCCTATTCCATCTAGACTGCAAATAGGAATTTGGAGAAAACCTGAAGGTTTGACACTTGCCCACCAAACAAAGTGTCTTCCCGAGAAAGAGTGATATTGTGAGTTTCCTTGTATGTATCAGTCGGTCGCTCCATTCCTCCAGGTCTCACGATCTGAAATAACAGGAAAAGCGTTATCAATAGTCAATATGTTTCCAGTTTACAAGCAAAACCCAAAGAACTCACAGTATGAGGAAGGCCACTGGCAAGAAGTGCTTCTTCTGCTCTCCTTTTCCAACACAGGACTCCCCAAAACAAACTTCCACACCGAAAACAAAGAGCGTTTAAAGACAATATAATCAGGAAGCAAACGATAATTACACATCACGGTAAAAAAAAAAAACTCCAAGAAATACTTCAGAATAGCTGCAGGAAACCCAAACTTGTTTGTTCCCAAAGACGTGAGCAAAATGAAGTGCCCGACTTTTGCAGTGGTTGCTGCAAGTAAAGAAGAAGCCACTTTCAAAACTATATATAGTCTGGTTTTAGCTACTCCAATCGAGTAATTCATCTTGGTCACTCATAAATTTGATTTGAGAAATCCACAACAAATGAAAGATCTCTGTAATACATCAAAAAACAAATCTTGCTTCTAAAGCCCGGCCAGTACTCTTTTACCTGCATCAATAAGGTTCTTTGTGGCCTGATAGTCAATTCGATACGGTCCAGTAATGTCAAATACCTCCTTCTCACTGGCACCGATGCAGCATATAACAGTTGATGCATTGCCCAAAGCAGGCACAATGTTGCTTTTCTCCAAGTCACACTCCACAATTTCAAGCCTCTCTATAGCTGGGCTAAAGATCAAATGTAACATACATGTGATTTCTATAGACGCATATATTCTCCTAATCCCTATAATTATTTATAGCCAGCAATTGTAACAGCTTTGTGTTGAAAACATGAACTATTTAAGTTCTCTTACGTGAAGCCCCTCCATCAGCCGCATTATCAAGCTTCATTTGCTTCACACTCTGTAAAAAACATAAAACAGAAAACAGTTTCCCGTTAGTAAACGAGCCCTACAAAATTGTTCACCAGTGGAGAAATTTTCCAGTTAGTAAACGAGCTCTAAATGTCACCGGTGGTAGGAAATCTTTACTTTCACAAGAGGCTCAGCTCTTTGGGCACTCCTAACACCAGCTCTAACTTGGAAGCCTAACTTCAGAAGCTCCCTGAAGGAAACTAAAACTTGTCAGAAGCTTATAATTATGACAAAAAAACTTAGACTGAAGCTAGCATCGAGTAATGTTCAACCTCACCGTTCTTGAGCCAACCCTACCAGTCGCCCCAGCAACAAAAACAACATTCCCATCTTTCAAGTTGACATCTTTGGATTCAGGTGCCACTGAGCTGAACTTTGTGGTTCCTTTCATGCATAACAACAATGTAAGATTTCCGAGGCAACACAATTAAGAAGATATAGGCCCTGTTTGAGTGTTTGGCTTATTTGACCATTATTAGCTGTTTGGCTTGGTTAAACAATCAATACGAGTGTTTGATTAATTAGCTTTTTGTAACAACTCCAAAATACTAAAATTCAAAAGGCAAAATCATTTTGCATGTATTCAGCTATCAATAGCTAATTTACCAACATTTTTTTAACAGTTAATGTTATCAACTAGTCTAACACACTAACCCAATCAACTAACAGCTATTTACCAAACACCCCCGTAGTTAACATCATGATCATTATTCACAAACCAGTCATGATCTTGCCTATTACCTTAGCATTGCATAAAAACATCCCGAAATACATAGGAGCTGAGTTGTATCATTTACATGAATGAAATTCCTTTACGGCATTTGCATTGTGAAATAATACCTGAAGCCTGAGCTCTGAAATCAAGAAATTTAAGCTTTCTGGAATCTGAGCATCTCTTAACGCTGTTGCAGGGCAGTGGCTTCACGGTTTGGCCACACAAGAATGGCTTCTCGGCGAACCCTCTCCGAGGGATTTTAGTTACCGCGATTGACTGCAGGCTGTAGAGTTCCATTCACGTTATTGATCGAGGCGAGAAGTGAAGGAATGATCAGTGGGGAAAATGAATAGGATTTTGATTTTCTGATTTTAGCTGTTGGGCTGGCAGACAAGAGTGGAGGAAGAAAGATGGTATCCACAGACAGCATATCTGCTGTGTACACGTAGCACCACCGGCAGAGTCAAAATAGCCAATGATATTTTTTTTGTTATAAAAAATAATCAATATTTCTGTGTGGCTTATGGCAATGAATGAAACTATGACAGTGTCGCGCCAATTGAACTAATAAAATCAATTTAAAGTGATATTAAAAAAATAAAATAGAACACAAATAATATTGGAGTGTAATTTATTTTTTTTTTATCACATGGAGGTAAACGAGCAGGTAATTGCGTTTTCATTGAGAATTGAATTTGGAACATTGTCGTTATCAATTCAATTGTCGCATCGACTTAGTTGGAGTTATTCCATATGTAAGTTTTGTACCACGAAATACATGCTAATATAGCAATTTTTCATTAATTAACAATAGATTTTTTTATTTTCTCATAGTTATTTTTTCATGGATCCCTAAAAACTTATCAGAGTTGCTCTCTTCGATTGGAATGGGCAACAAAAAAGTATGTCAACACGCTCCCCAAGGCATTGGTCTAGTGGATGATAAGTCTCACTTTAAACTTCATTTCAAGTTTTCAACAATAGGGGTTCCATCTTTGTGCGCAGGAGCTAGTGGGTCGGTGCGAGTTTGCCGTTTGACCAAGTTCATTCTCCCTAACTCAACTACCTAACCCACTCCCCGACAACGACGCTATTTGAAATGTCAAATGTCGATTTTAGTGGTGGAGTTAGATTGACTAGATTGAAATTATTGTTGGAAAAAAATGCTTGTATTTTGTAATATTTTTTTTAGATACAATAAAAAATATAGAAAAAATAATGGAACAAAATTAGATCATTATTTGACATCGTCAGACATGTTTAACTTGAAACATGAGAATTATCAAAAAGTTAATTTCTCATCACAAATTTTGCACCATCCGAACAGTTGAGTTAATAATCAAAATGGTCCCTCGACTATGTCGTTTACTAATTTGGTACTCGACTATCATTCTTACACGATTTAGTCCTCAGCTATGTAAAATTTATCCAATTTAGTCCTTGGTTAAATTTTCTGTTTGTTGAACGTTAAAATTGAGAACAAAATTGTCATTCTACGAGCTTTCTTCCTCTTCCCTATTAAACAACGCCAACCATGCAACATTGCAACAGTAGTTCATAATCATCCACTCCATCGGACCTTGTGAATTCATTGCCTCAACCCCACGCCCCATGATTCGCACGACGTCTGAAAGGCTCTTAGGGACGAACGCAACCACTCTTAGGGCTCTTAGATGGGGCTTGACATAATTCATTATAGAGTTAATACCCAAAATCGTCCTCGACTATAGTGGTTTTTCTCAATTTCGTCCTAAACGACTTTGGTGACCTAATATCGTCCCAGACTTTTGTGTTTCGCTCAATTTAGTCCCAGACTTTTGTGTTTTTGCTCAATTTAATCCTTCATTTGTTATTCTGTCCATTTTGTGTTAAATAAATAGACAATTCAGTAATTTTAATATTGACATTTCTTTACTCATAGACATGTGAACTGCGAAATCCATTTTTTTTTACGAATTACTCCCAGAATTACTCCTAAAACTGCGAATATAAAATTTGATTTGCAGATCCCGGAGTAATTCTGGGTGTAATTCGTACAAGAAAGAGGAATTTCGCACTTCACAAGTTGAAAGTAAAGAGAGATCAATATTGACATTACTGAATTGTCCCTTTATTTAACACCAATTTGACGGAATAACAAATGGAGGACTAAATTGAGCAAAACACAAAAGTCTGGAACGATATTAGGTCACCAAAGTCGTTTAGGACGAAATTGAAAAAAACCACTATAGTCGACGATTTTGGGTATTATTTAACACTAGATATACTTGACACTTTATTGGACCTATTGGCTTAATGAGCACTTTGTGACTTCTGGAGTATTACCTTATAAATGAATGTAATGTAAAAATTTATGATCATAATATCTTATTAATACGTAATATAAATGTTTAATATATTCTCCAATAATTAATAAATGTATAAAATCATAATAACGCGATTTATTATTATTATTATTATTATTATTATTATTATTATTATTATTATTATTATTTATGAATAACTGTATAAGAAGCATTTTATATACTGAGTACATGTTTATTTGCGTGGACGCCAAGCTTGTTTGTGAGTTGAGGGAAAGGGCAAAAGTGATATATCGTAAATGATGAGGGGCAAAATTGTCGAATCGTGTTGAGTCTCATAACAGAATCGCCATCTGGAATTCGTTTCTTTCCCGCGCTGAATTGGTTACAGAGATGGTTCCATATTTGTCAGAGTAACTGCTCGCAACTATATCAGTCTTTCTATTCTCACGTTCACTTCACGCACTCTCTCGTTTCCTCTCTCTACAGCTGAATATTCTAAGAAACCGCCATGGCCACCGCTCTGCAAGTGGAGGAGATCATCCTCCTCCTCCTTCTCGTCTTCCGTTTCACCTCTGCAACTACCTTAACCACGGCCACCACGGCCTCCGTCTCTGGCTTGCCTCCGTCGTTTCCGCCGCCGGTAGTGCAGTCTCCTAATCGCACTGATGAGGCTTACACGCCTCCTCTGGTCGCCACCGTTCTCTTCACTCTAGGCTTCCACGAGCTGTCTACGGCCGCCGTCAGTGCGAATATCTCCGCTACAAGTCCGATCACTATATTTGCTCCTGCGGATTCATCGCTTGCTACTTGTCCTACGTGCTCTCTCTCACTGCTCCTACAGGAGCACTCTGTTCCAGGACTGTATCCGCTCCACTTCCTGCGCAAGTTAGCCTCCGCCACTAAAATCCCAACGCTAGCCAAAAATCGCTGCCTCACTGTCACGACCACCGTCGGAGTGGCGCGGGATCAGGATCCGGGGAAGGTGTTCGTCAACGGTGCCGAGATCGTTCAGCCGGACATCTTCCACAACTCCGTCATGGTGATTCACGGCGTCGAAGGCTTTCTCACTCACCTCTCGACGAAGTCGTGCAACATGGAGGAGATGACTACTATGTCGTTCCCGCCTCAACCGCTTGGTTCTACAACAGGAACAATGATGATATCTATCATGCGCCTTATGCAAAATGACGCCATCCTCCGGCTGGAGAGCATCGGTTACAGAATCGTCGCATTGGCGATGAAAGTGAAGTACGCCGAGATTTCCAAGCTCAAGACCATGACTGTGTTCGCTATTGATGATGCCAACCTCCTCGCCGGTAACGGTTTGTTGTATCTCTCTAATTTTCATTTTCATGTTGTTCCGAACAAGAGGATCCTTGCACCGGAGCTGGTGAGTTTGCCGGCTAAGACCGTGTTGCCTACCATGGATGGTGAGCACAAGCTAGTGGTGACCACTACAGGCGGCGGAGGGGCACTGTCTCCGTTGAGGATAAACTATGTCAAGATCACGTCTCTTAATCTGCTGCACAACAGCAGGATCGTCGTCCATCAAGTGTCTGCGCCATTCCCCCATATGATTGATCAGACGGCTCAGGACAGCATTCTGCATACTGATAAATCACAATGTGATTTTAATTCGACTGATGGGACGTGCAACATCGATCATGCTGTGAATGCTCCTTTGTTTCCGGCGGATTCTGAACGCCATTATGGTCTCTGAACTTTACATACGTTTAGAATACCTGTGAGTCACTCTAACTTTCTGTGATTGTACCTTCACGTCCACAGTTATGAACGGAAAGCTTCCAGGATTGATTTGAATAATACGCTTTCAAATATTCACAAAACTTCAGAGTTCTTTTCTCAGTATTAGATTAGTTCCGTGAAATTCACGTTTCACTGTTTCGGCCAACATTACCGTGGATCAAAGAAATTCTGGCTTTATTTAGAACTTTGATGGAAATAGAATTCAGTTGCAAATTTGATGCATATCCAAACTTTGAACAATCAATGATATAATGAATTCTTTTAGCTCTGGAAGTGTGTTTGTATTTGCTGCTCTGCTTGCTTTCCGGCCTTGTAGCCAGCTTCTATCTCTATTCTTACTGGATCAATAACTTTAACAAGATTACAGTGTCAATCCCCTGTGTTCTGCCAAGCCTGAAAATGCAATAGCATTATTTGAAGAGTAATACTCATGCTTTATTTGAACTCATGAGGCTACATACTGTGAAAAAGAATATGAAAAGTGAAAACAGAGGGCAATTCGGGCCTGGATAATTTAAGCTTGATTCTCCTACATCTAATATGTAAAAAAAAAAAATTAGCATTTTCCTTCTTTAATTCACTATAGTAAGAATCCATGTCAATTTAATAATTTTCATTAAACACACTTAATACACCAATTTGTATATAATGAGAATTTAATTTCCATCCATATCTAAATGCATAAACTCTTAATTAGGATGGATTGTCCTTTTAACCCTATTAAATTACTTGTTAGGCTGGTTAAGACAACTTCAATTGAGTTGATCCCGATCGTTTTGATAATTACAAGATTTTAAATTTGACTTCATGAAAGAGTTCTCTATTAGTCTCAGTTTGTGCCGGTGAGAACCTAAATTCATTTCTTTCCTTTTAATCATTTGACAACTAAGATCACAAGACAGACTTCACCCAACATTCAGGTAAGAGTTGGGGTCATTTTCCTAAATCAAAGGATGGATTGTAGTTAATCATGATTATCTTAGCCATTTAAAAAAAGGTGACTTTTCTCATCCTCTTATTCTTTGCCAAGAATGGTAATGATCTTCCTGTTCATCTGATCCAAATCTGCAGAAACTCAATTGACGGGGGGCTGATCTGAGTCATTCGGCAACACGTGTTACTTAATTGCTTCCTTGCTTTTACCCAGAAAAGTGTTGGACCTTTACATGGAATACATGTTCACAATCAGGACGAGACGACGAGTGCTGTCTTTCAATTCTCTTTCAATCTTGTTGATGCGCACAACTGCACACAATCCCAGAAAAAAGGTTTGAGTGTATAAAGTTCTTCTGTAGCCTTCTGGGCAAACTTATTGGGGGTGAGCTGTGACTCGCAATTTGCTCCCCTTTTGGTTGTGTCCACCAGTATAATCTAGCTAATCTTTTATCCTTTAGTGCTTATCTGCATATCCTTTTAGTGGTTATCTGCATTATTCAGTAAAGGAAAAAGGACACATTCTTCATTTTCATATTTTACAGCATTTTTCTATACTTAATTTTCACTAGAAAAGCTTTTACCGCACGGCAGTGGTGTCTATCACTGTCTAGTGCCTGGGAAGAAGTTGCAAGTCTGAGCTGGGAGTCAATGCTTACAAACTCTCTACTGTGCAACTTTCATCAATGAAAAGGCCCCAACTAATTTGCTTCTTTTAATGCAGGGGAAAAAAAAAAAAAGCACCGTTTGCAAAAGGAAAAGGCAGGGCAAAGGTGGTATCGCTTTCCAAAGACAGGTGACTAGTCAAAAATATCCCACACTTTTAAATCCAATTTAACAACCATTCTTGACTGCACTGGATGCGCATATAATAATCAGCATGTTGCGCCAATGCGCCATGCTTTGCTGCTGTGTACGAACGTTTTTGGTTTGAATTCACCAGTGTTTGGTGCTCTCTTTGGTTCAGCCTTCAGTTGTCTTCCTTATTCTCACTGTTTTCTGCTGTGTTATTTCTCAAGAACCATCTGCACAAAGTTTCTATGACCATTTAGGATGTTTTTTTAGAGACAGATGTTCAGTCCTCTTCCACCCTTAGCAGGAAATGGAGAAACTGAGAAGTTCTGTTGGGGCTAATGGAACACAACTACCTGACAGCTGCCAAGTTGTGTATTCTTTGAACAAGGTAAAACAAGATTCTTGAAATCCTTGTATAGTAGGCTCCCAGATTGTTGGAAGATGTTAATGTTGATGTTTGTTTTAATTTTGTGCCTGTGTTCAGCCTGCTGAAGATTTGATCAGAGAAATAGCTGTTTTGGAGCTGGAAGTTGAGTATTTGGAGAATTATCTACTTGCCATGTATCGCCAAAGGTTTTCAGAATGGTTGGCAAGCATTGGACATGGAGATTCAGGCAGACATGATTGGATAATGTTCAACAAGAAAGACAGCAGAGAAATGCAAAAGAAACATTCAGCTGCAGAGCTAGATGATCCTAGTATTCTCAGATGCCAATCATCTTTATCTCACACTGCTTCTTCCTTCAGAATCTCTCCTCCCATTGCTGAAGCTCTAGATTCTTGCCATTCTTTGCCTGACTCACTTCAACACTGTGCTCAAGAATCCACTGCAAACAATGTTGATGAACTCTGCTCATTTGTTTCTCGCCGTCGAGTTCATGAATCACCAAACTGGCTCTCAGAAGAGATGATCAAATGCATTTCAGCCATTTACTGCAAGCTTGCTAGCCCTTCATCAGAGCTCGGGTTGCAGACCGGAGAACATTCATCCTTCCATTCATGGTCTCATAATTCTTTTCACTTGGAAGAGCCTTCTGTCACTGCAGTTGAGCTGCGAGGGCTCTGTCGCCGTGGACAAAGCTTGAACCGTGTACACCACGTGCTGCAACGTTTCAGGTGAGCTTAATTACATTGTGCACAAAAACTTGTGTCAGACGGTCACCTTAAGAATTCTTGAATGTTGCTGCAGATCTTTAGTCTCACGGATGGAGCAAATTGATCCAAGGAAAATGAAACACGAGGAGAAGCTAGCGTTCTGGATCAACGTCCACAATGCATTAGTTATGCACGTAATATTTCTGTAACTATTGATAGATACGTTCAGTTTTAACTAAAAGGTTAAAGTAATTGTAAGACTGTGATTCCCATATACATACTTTGTAGGCCTTCTTGGTTTTTGGGATCCCACGAAGTAATCTCAAAAGGGCCTCCCTGCTCCTTAAGGTTAACACCTATACAATATAAATGTACAGTCTTACTATTAATTGAGACGAGACGCATTCTTTATAACTAACAGGCTTGAGAATTGTCTAGGCTGCTTACAACATCGGAGGAAAAGCTGTGAGTGTAGAAATGATACAGAGCTGTATTCTAAGGTGTCAATTGGCACGGCCTGGACAAGTATATGTCACACTTATTAATGTTGTCACAAAGGTACAGTACAACAATGTTGTCTTGATGGTGCTGAATGATGCTTCATTGTGTTTGCAGTGGCTGCAGTTGTTGTTCTTCCCCAAGCAGAAGTTCAAGCCCAGAGATCCACGGAGGGCGTACGCGATACAACACGAAGAGCCTCGTCTTCGCTTTGCCCTTTGCTCGGGATGCCATTCTGATCCCGTGGTATTATTAGTCACCCGTCGGACCATATTTGATCGTTAGTCGGAATTTGACCATAGATTTTGACAGTGTTATGATCTACAGGTTCGATTATACACTCCAAAGAGAGTGTTCCAGGATCTTGAAGTGGCGAAAGAAGAGTACCTGCAGATGAACATTAGAGTGCACAAGGAACAGAAGCTGATTATGCCTAGGAACATCGAATGTTTCGTTAAGGAAGTTGGTCTGTGCTCGTCTGGGTTGCCGGAAATGATAGATCAGTCTCTGCCGGAGAAATTCAGGAAGAAATTCCGGCAGACGGACGCCGGAAAGTTGTGGAAGAAGATTGAGTGGGTTCCTCACAGCTTCAGTTTCCGTTACCTGATTTCAAATGAATTAGCGGAGGGAGTCCTGTCTGTGTAGTCCTTATTTTCACAAACACGGTCTTAAATCCCAAGCTGTTTCTCCAATATTGGGCCCACCAAGAATTCTTGTGCTCTAGTATAATTGATGGATAATTGATCGAAATGTGTGGTCAAACAAGGCAAATTCCAAAAGTGTGTCGACTTTTTTTTTTTTGACAATAATATGCAAAACTCCTTTGGGAGTTGTGTTTTTGGTTGTGTCCCGTCATATTTTTTTTTCGTTATTTTCGTAAAACGCAAGAGGGACTTGCGTTTACATATTTGTATACGTAAAACGCATTATGTAATTGCGTTTTCTAGGGTATACGGTATAGGCAAAAACGCAACTTACTCTTGCGTTTTACGTATTATACCGAAAACGCAAAAGTTAGTTGCGTTTTTTGGAGTTTTTGTACCGGCAGTTTCCGGCGATCGCGAAGAAGCACAAAAACACAATTAGCACATGCGTTTTTGGTTTCATTAGGTAAAACGCAAACTGTAATTGCGTTTTCTAAGTGTTTTTTGAATAATTCGAAAAACGCAATTCAGTCTTGCGTTTTTCACACAATTCCGGGAGTAGCGCCGGTAAATAGTCCGCATTTCGGAGTTGCGTTTTACGTATTTTTTTGGATTATACGTAAAACGCAAGAGCGAAATGGGTTTTTACATATTCCATACGTCACATGAAAACGCATTTGGTAGATGCGTTTTACGTATACAATACGCAAAACGCATTTCGCTCTTGCGTTTTACGAAAATAACGAAAAAAAAAATAGGCCGGGACACAACCAAAAACGCAAGTCCCAAAGGAGTTTTGCATATTTTTGTCAAAAAAAAAGTCACCACACATTTTTGAAATTTCTCTTGCCCCTCTACACATTTCGGTCAATTAATTGATTAATTGCTACTAATTTTAAGCCCGTGTTTGATAATACTATATAAGGAGTTTCAAAACAATCTTTATTTGGGTATAAAAAATTTCAAATTCAAATTTGGTTAACTCTGAACCTGTTCAAAATTAGTCTAATCTTGAATCGATCCTTGATGATAATCTCTAATCATACTTGAAGATGCATTAATGTATTATCGGTAAAGTCCGTTTTGTGATCTTAGCAGACAAAAGATTATAAGGAGTTGAACCAATTTAGATTATTTATAATTGAAAAAAAAAATTAATACACAACTCACATAATCATATGAGAGTCAAATTTTTTTAAAAAAAAATTAAAAGTTTATAATTATCAAGTTAACTATCTGATTAAATTGACTGGTTATCTAATTTGCATGACAATTTAAATTGGGGAATGAATGGGTGCAATTTGGTTGGTCAAAGATGGTCCACATCGTGCTTCATAACGTCATCAATTACCGCAGCCAACAGATCCAAAAACTATGTTCAGCCACTGGTTTGCTTACAAGTCAATGTATGGTATTTGTATTGTAATTAATTATATGTGCCATTGTGCCCAAGTCCTTTCTCCTTCTATTTTTTTTTTAAAGTACTACTATCTGTTCATACTTACTTTCTCAGTCTACTTAAATATAAAGAGTTAATAAATAGTGAATAACAAATTGTGTTAAGTAATCAATGTTAACAGATTAATTTGACTAATATATAGATAGTGCAAGCAAATTCGATCTTTACTATGATCCCAAGATATTTTAGCATTTAGCAAGTTATTTTGATGGCTCTCCAAGTTCATGAAAGGTTAACCATACAACCTTTTCCTCCACTATAAAACATGCAGATCCTGTTACACCTCGTTTCATCAAAAACTGCAAATATCATATCAATCTTGTCTGCTGCGTCCTAAAATTAAAGCCTGAAATATATATAGAAATGAGTTTCACAGAAGAACAGGAAGCTCTGGTGGTGAAGTCCTGGGAATCAATGAAGAAGGACGCCGGAGAATGGGGCCTCAAATTCTTTCTCAGGATATTCGAAATCGCACCGTCGGCGAAGAAACTCTTCCCTTTTCTCAGGGACGACGATTCCGGTACTCCGTTGCGCCAAAACGCAAAGCTCAAGACCCACGCCAAGTCGGTCTTTGTTATGGTAAGCCAGTTACACTAAATACTGTCTACTGAACTAATGAGTTAAGTCCGTAAAGACATTAAGTTTTTGAATTTAATTTCTAATTTAACGAGATCGCGAGGAATATATCAGTTTTAAATAATAGAAGTGGTACTAATTGTTCGAATATCACATTCTTACATGTTTTTTTTTTTGTCACGTTTTACCATTTTTTAGACATGTGAAGCTGCGGTGCAGCTGAGGAAAGCCGGAAAAGTTGTGGTGCGAGAGTCGAGTTTAAAAAGGTTGGGTGCAACGCACTTCAAATATGGGGTTGTGGATGAGCATTTTGAGGTATTGTTGCATATCTTTTATAGTATTAATTGGTATCGATATGAATAATATTTGATATAATTGTATTATGTACTATGGCACTAATTGAGAAATTGTTATAATTATAATACATATATACCAAATGGCAGGTGACGAAGTATGCATTATTGGAGACCATGAAAGAAGCAGTACCAGAAATGTGGTCAGTTGAAATGAAGGATGCATGGGGAGTGGCCTATGACCAGTTGGTTGCTGCAATCAAGACTGAGATGAAGCCTTAACTTAATCCCATTATTAAATCATTAATTAAATTAAATATCACTAAATAATCCTTCAAAAAAAAAATATCACTAAATAAACTATGTACTTGGTGTCTTTTTATTTTATTTTATTCTATTATGAATAGTATCAATATTGTTTCCTTTTATAATATAATTACACATGTTGTATGGCAACTCAACCGAGTTGTTCTTTAAGTTAATTTACCTTTTTTTTTTTTTTTTTTTTTTTTTTTTTTGTAGAGTCACAATGTGGGTTTTACCACATGCACGTCAAAATTATATATGTCATACATTGAATATTTATAGAAGTGTTAAAAATTTATATTATTTTAATTTTTTATCGAGATTGTAATAACTTTTTTACAATAAAAAAGTAATTAAAAAAACTTTGAATTTGCAACCAAAAAATCAAGTTTAATTTCCCACCATCTTGCAGATTCAAAAAAAATGTCTATCATTATTATCAATCACTAATTGAGCGAAAGTGGTTAATAACACTGATTTTGTTGGGTATAGTTCAGAGTTTTCACCATCAGACACAGTGACTAATTATCTCTCTGAATTATAGACACCTTTATTAGTAGATCACTAGCGGTCAAAATATTTAAAACTTACTTAACTTTGTCTTCAACCATTTTGTGCCATCACACCATCACATTACAAAGTAAAGGAGTTCCATTACCTTTTATAGTTGCTTCTTGGAAACATAGCACATGTTTTTTCCAGCAATATGAGCTGTTCTAGTTGTCCCCAAGCTTGCTTCCAAATGTCTCAATACATTAAAAAAAAAGGAAAATTAAATATATTATAATGCATGCAATCTTTGACTACTCTAGATTCATCCATTCACTAAACAATATAATTTTTTTTATTACTAATAATTGTTTTATTTTTTTTTTTAATACAATGTCATAAGAAACAAACAAAATAATTACAAATAAGGATAAAATACAAATACGGAGTAATTACTAAATTATTTGGGGAATAACAAAAGTCATCAAACTCAAATAACTCCCAATAAACTACTAAATTAAACATGAAAAAAAAAACGAGCAATTAACACTTTTAAAATGTTAATTCTATGTTTTTGCTGACTGAATTGCAAAATGTTTATTTTTATTTATTTATTATATTATTATTATTATTATAATCGACCTGGATAATAATATATTTAAAAATAATTATAACCAAAAATAGTTTTATTTTATAGAAATCTGATTTATTTATTTATTATTATCTTTTCACTACATCTTCTTCTTAATGAAAAAAAAAATAGTTGAAAATTAAAATTAAAATTAATTCATTTATAATTTATCAATATTAAAGCTCAACTCTTTTGTTACAGTAAAAGTCCACTCGGTTAATGTTACCACAGCCACCGGAAACTCTCTCATCGAAAGAACGTCGCCGGAGAATCGCTCCGGCCGCCGGAGAGTAGTAATCATTGAGGGCGGCGCTAGCTTTGATGGCCAGCGCACACATATCCTGAAGTGAAAGCGGCGCGTGCGACATAGAAACCGGGAGGAGAAAGTAAAGCTGTCCGAGCTGCAAGTCTTCGTCTTCGGCAACCTGCGGCATTGCAGAGTCGACGTTCATCGCTTCGGAGTTGGAAAGGAAGCAGTCCGGGTTGTCGGAGAGAACGTCGGCGGCCTTCACCGGCCGCCGGAACTCCTGCAGCGCACCGTCGTTCATATTCACCACCATGGCCGCCGCCGGCGTGCTCATTATTAATCTCCCGCCTCGCCGGCTCTCCGTCGCGTGAGCGGATGCGCAAATGCCCATTTTCCGATTCTCGGAGGGGGGATAGAGAATTGTGTATTGTTTGAGTGAATTGAATGCAAGTGATGATGAGTTTATGAAGGCCTTATATGGGCTTATATATTGGTTAGATTATGCACTTTTTTTTTTTTTTTATATCTATAATTTTATTTTTTTATAAATAATTTAATGATTGAAAGAAATAAAATAATAAAATATTATAACTTTTGTACATGCATATTGGTGGTGTATGGACTACGCAAAATCCTTTTTCTTTGGATACTCTTTTATTTGGATGCATGGTACTGGGAAAAAAACTTTATTATATATATAATAAATGTGAATCATAATAAAAAATTAAAAAAAAAATAGTAACGAGAGAAACTCCTGATCACTTTTGGATAATGTGTAGTATATAAATCTCGTTTTTATATAATATAGTTAGTAAACTATATTAGAGATATAAACCTAAAACCTCCCTTAAAAACGATTGTCTTTGCTCGAGACTTACACCAACATAAATTTTACCTCAAAATAATAATTTTTAATCGTGCATTTTTCTTGTAGTGCATCCAACTAGTATTGAGCAGTCTTGTAAATTTTCTAAAAACTAAGTGAAAAAAAAAAAAAAATCATCTTTGGGATAGTTCATCTTTTAGCCATTAGTCATTTTAGTTTTCTGGCCACTGGATTATTAAAAACTATATATCATACCTGTAGTTTTCTAAGATTGTGACAGTTTTTATACTTTTTACCAACAAAAATATAAGGTCTAACATATTTTCATAGACAGTTAATCATACTTTTAATAATTTTATAAGATTGTGACGGTTTTCATTTTTGAAGGAACAAAAATATATGGCTATGTATTTTTCCATGTGGGATGATCATATAGATTATGGATCAAAAAGATAATAGTCACAATGTCACATATAATAAAATTAAATAGTTCACGTGAGCACACAAACATTTTCCAGGAAGCTAACCTGAAAAGTGGTCGGAATGCAAAAAGATAGACAATAATAATTGAGGTTGTTTTTATATGGAGAATACATATATGATGATGATATGATATATATAGAGATGGATCCCATTTGGTGTTTGGTAGCTTCCTTGTATGTCCAGTAGCGCCACTACACTCACGTCGCTTCTTCCTTTTCCCATACATGCATTTGCACGTTTCTGCATCTTCCTGTTCTTGGATTACCCAACCTCGTCCCTTGCTAGCTTCCATGGATTCTCCGACCGCCCGCACCTTCCTCGGTTTCGGATCGAAATCGAAAGCTTTTAATTTTGTCGTCTTTCGTTGATGTAGATGCCGTTCCCTTGTCCGCAGTTTTAGCCATGCAGACTTGACCCTGCGCTAGCCATGCACGTAACGTGATCGATAATGATGGGTTGAGAGACTAATTACATTATTGATGAGTTCATGAGTCCATTCAATTCATTCATGAGATAAGAAACAATATAATAGAGTAGTAGTGTGTGTGTGTGTATATATATATATATATATATATATATATATATATATATATATATATATATATATATATATAATTGGGTGCTGAAATTTTGGTTGGGATGGACTAGACTTAAAAGATATTAGTAAGAATTGAACTTATACGTGATCTTTTGATATAATAGATAAACATGCCCCACCTAAGCTAATCAGTCAATTGAGAGTTTGTGTTCATATCACGGGACAAATGATTTGACTTTAAGTTAATTCTGGATCAGACAATATAGCTCATTAGATGGAAAGACCAGTGTTTGATGTAGGCCCACATTGTAATTGTCAGAACTTGATTATGTATTGTGTTCACAATTTATCACCCAAAAATCAATTGAGTGCAACTGTCCATATAGGCTTACTACATACTCCACTTTCTTGAATAATGAATGTGTTGAGTGTTCTTTTAATTAGTACAACAATAGACGTCGAATGCAAGGCTATTTTGTTATATACTTGTATGAGTTTATCTCTTAATTAATTACTTGCCAAATTAGACTTTTATAGGGCTCCACAAGTAAATAATATGATAAATTTAATCTCCCATTGCATGGATCCATTGGACTGAACAAACATACACACACATATATGCCCATAAATTAATTATAACCACGATCATATCTAGTTTAATTTATACAATAAGCAAACAAGCTCGTTCATACTTTAATTAGAGCTACTAATTCTCAGACAGGTCCTTCTATTTGATTTTCTGTTATTCCTATTTATATTAAACATTTGATTATCGATCTAATGGTGATTGCTTTTCCTTTTCAAAAAAAAAAAAAATCATACAATAAACAAATTTTACAACAAAATACTCCAAATAAACATAAAATTAGCCCAAGAAATATGCTGCGGTGGACTAATCTATCATTATAATAAAGCAGTAAGTTTCTACCCTATTCATTTTCCCGCTCAAAGCATACTGCGTCGTTTTGCGATAGTGATTAAAAGTGACGAATTGATTGTTTGTAAATGACCTTTGGGTTTCCGATGATCTTATCCGGCTACTATGCTCTCATGAAAAATTGAATAGACTTTTACTCATTGAAGAGTTCTAATTAGAATCTGTGCCATGAATAAATAACAGTGATGTAAAACTCGGCCGCCTAGCCGCCTAGGCGCCCGCCTAGGCGCTAGGCGGCCACTTACCTTGGAGTTTTGGCCTATAGGCGGCCAAAACTCGGTCGGCCGCCTAGGCGGCCGCTAGGCGGCCTAGGCGGTCAAACTCGGCCGAGTCGACCGATTTCGTCCGATTTTGACCGATTTTGTCTGATTTTGACCGATTTTGTCTGATTTTGACCGATTTTGACCGATGTCGTCTTTCATTAATTATTGATTTTAATATTATTATGACATTATGACTTATAAATTATCATTATTTCATTTATTTAGATGTGTTATTTGAGTGAACGTTGAAAACAACCTCATTATAATTGTCGAACTACAAGTCTGTCACTATTTTTTTTAATTTTTTTGGTGCCCGCCTAGCCCCGCCTAGAATCCGCCTAGGCGCCGCCTAGGCGCTAGGCGCTGCCCGGCCGCCCGACTAGCGCCTAGCGCCTACTGCAACCTTGATAAATAATTTACATAAATATACCTACAGACATCAATGTAGAAACATGCATATTTTACAGCTGTGTATAATATATTCAGTTTTTCGATAGAACAGTTCTTGATTGTTTAATTGGGAAGTGAAACGTCTCCAGCAGCCTTCTTTTTCCAAGATATTATTCAAATTTCTAAATGGACTATTACAGTCTATATAAATCTATGAGATATCTCATCTGCACTCCCAAAATCTCCAGCCCTGCAGTTCTAAGCACAGTATTAAACCTTCCAGTCGAAAATCTCTAAAGAATTTAACCATGCCAAGTATGTACATCAAAGTTAAAGATATTGCCCCTATCCATACTGAGAGGGCAATCCGTGTTAGGTGTGTAAGAGTGTATGAAATACTAGAAAGTAGATGCTCTAAACAAATCAAGAGTCGAGAATGCTTGGTATGCGACGAAGAGGTAAACTAATTTCATATGATTTATGTTCACTGTTATGTTTAGCATAAATTTATGTAATTTCTATTCACATTATATGTAGGGAACTTTCATCCATGTGAATATGCAAAACAAGGAGGTAGAGAAGTACAACAATTTGTTCAAGGAAGGGAAGATTTATTCTCTAAAAAATTTCCTGGTCTTCACCCAGTACTATATGTATAAAACCTGTGATCACAAGTATATGATAAGACTGAACAACAAGACTCAGGTGAAGGCAATAAAATGCAAAGGTTTTCCTACAAACATGTTTCAGCTAAAACCCTATCAATGTCTCAAAGATCCTACTTTAGTGAATGAGAAGCTGATGTTTGGTAAGACATGTGTTCATTGTATAATATTTTTCATTATATTATACTGTAACATCTCAATGTCATTTCTATTTTTACAGATGTAATAGGCCGACTTATAGAAATTCATGCTCCTGTGGACAAGATCATAGGTGGAAAACCAGCAAAGCTAATTGATTTTAAAATTGCTGACAATGAGTAAGTTGGCTTTACATACAATATTTTTTTCATTCAAATGTATTTCTAATTTCTTAACACATTTGAATATAGGGGAAATACATTAAAATGTACTGTTTGGGACAATCATGTAGCTGCCATGATTCCATACTATAATGCAGATCTTAAAGAACCACTAATTGTGGTTATTCAGCTATGTAGGGCTAAAGTTATCAATGGTAAGTTATTCTCCTATTGTGTTTTAAACTCTATTTATATTTTTTCCCATTTTAAATAACCTTTTTGTTCTCCTATTAGGTGAAGTCAGGATCACAAGCTCATATGATGCTACGAAACTGTATTTGAATGCCTCTTATCAGGAAGTTGATGATTTCAGGTCAAAGTATGTTTATATAATTTCTGCTTTTATAGGTTGTATTGATTATCTATAGTATTCAAACTGTTTTAATATAAAAGTATGCTATAGGATTGATATCCTTTACTATTAATCATGTAATGTGGTTTTAATAATTGTGATTGTCTTAGTTCAATTTTAGTACTATATTTTATTTATCAAGGTTACAAATATATAAATCTGAATGTGTCATTTACCTCTCTGTTTTTGTAAATTAGGATTGTTTACTTAATTTAGTTTTTAATCACAATGATTTAAAAACTATGTCAGTATGGAAAGAAATATAATACAATATGTTTTATCCAGAATTTGTGTGTTTTATCCAGAATATGTTTTAAAAACCACTTTAATTTGAATTTCATGAATTGAGCTCAATCCTTACATAATCTTTTTTACTGTAGGATTAGTGATGTTCATAGTCCTATGAAAAGTTTGAGTACTGCCACAGTTCTTTCCCAGTCCATAGGTATTTCAGAATTCACCAGTGGTGCTGTTTCTGTGACTTCAGTAGGTGGTCTATTGAAAATTAAAGAGGTGAGATTCCTAAACACTGATTTTTTTCCGGTTGAATACATTAGCCAGATTCTTTTATTTATTTACAAATTGGCTTAATCTGGAACTGCAGGATGGAGAGTTTTATGTTCCAGCAGAGATTGTAGGAATTGAAAGTTCTTTTGGGTGGATGTACATCTCTTGCATGTCACCATCATGCAACAGAAAGCTCCGGAAAGCAGGAGAGGATTTGGTTTGTTCCACATGTGATAAAAAATTCAAAGAAGGCATTGCTAGGTATAAGCTGATTGTTAGGGTGATGGATATAGGTTTATCAGATGCTCCCTTCCTTTTATGGGATAAGGAATGTTCAGACTTAGTTGGTATACCTGCCAACCTTCTGTACAAGAAGTATAACCAGGTCAGTAACCTCTATAGCTATGTTATAGAGCCATAAAAAATTTATTATACTGTTAATTTGTGTAATACTTATTTTATCTTTGTTGTAGGTTTCTGACATTCCAACGGAATTGGATTCATTAATTGGAATGCCAATGATATTTAAGATATCACTGAAAATGAGCCAAATGAAAGGAGCCAATCCAGCATATGCTGTGACTAGGATTTTAAGGGATGAGATATTAATATCTACCTACTGTTCCAAAATTAAGGACAACCAAGAAAAAGATTTAATCTCGATAATGATTGATGAGGATGAAGAGGAAGAAGATGAACCTGATCAGGTAATTTTATTTACTTCACTATTTTTTAGTCTTTATGTGAGATTTTAAATTTTAATCATTTTTTTATATTTATAGGAAGCTTCAAATGGGGAAAATGAAGTTAACAGCCCTAACAGTGTCCAGCAGCCCCAAATGGTTGAGAGTGAAACTGAAGAAGCTTCTGGTGTGAAGAGATCCCTGTTGGACCAGTTTTCTTCTTCCAACAAGCTTAAGAAGGCCAAGGCTGTGACTGCTCAGGGAAATGGTTCCTAAGTTCCTAATATTTGATATATTTCTATTTCTAATTTCTTAACACATTTGAATATAGGGGAAATACATTAAAATGTACTGTTTGGGACAATCATGTAGCTGCCATGATTCCATACTATAATGCAGATCTTAAAGAACCACTAATTGTGGTTATTCAGCTATGTAGGCTAAAGTTATCAATGGTAAGTTATTCTCCTATTGTGTTTTAAACTCTATTTATATTTTTCCCATTTTAAATAACCTTTTTGTTCTCCTATTAGGTGAAGTCAGGATCACAAGCTCATATGATGCTACGAAACTGTATTTGAATGCCTCTTATCAGGAAGTTGATGATTTCAGGTCAAAGTATGTTTATATAATTTCTGCTTTTATAGGTTGTATTGATTATCTATAGTATTCAAACTGTTTTAATATAAAAGTATGCTATAGGATTGATATCCTTTACTATTAATCATGTAATGTGGTTTAATAATTGTGATTGTCTTAGTTCAATTTTAGTACTATATTTTATTTATCAAGGTTACAAATATATAAATCTGAATGTGTCATTTACCTCTCTGTTTTGTAAATTAGGATTGTTTACTTAATTTAGTTTTTAATCACAATGATTTAAAAACTATGTCAGTATGGAAAGAAATATAATACAATATGTTTTATCCAGAATTTGTGTGTTTTATCCAGAATATGTTTTAAAAACCACTTTAATTTGAATTTCATGAATTGAGCTCAATCCTTACATAATCTTTTTTACTGTAGGATTAGTGATGTTCATAGTCCTATGAAAAGTTTGAGTACTGCCACAGTTCTTTCCCAGTCCATAGGTATTTCAGAATTCACCAGTGGTGCTGTTTCTGTGACTTCAGTAGGTGGTCTATTGAAAATTAAAGAGGTGAGATTCCTAAACACTGATTTTTTCCGGTTGAATACATTAGCCAGATTCTTTTATTTATTTACAAATTGGCTTAATCTGGAACTGCAGGATGGAGAGTTTTATGTTCCAGCAGAGATTGTAGGAATTGAAAGTTCTTTTGGGTGGATGTACATCTCTTGCATGTCACCATCATGCAACAGAAAGCTCCGGAAAGCAGGAGAGGATTTGGTTTGTTCCACATGTGATAAAAAATTCAAAGAAGGCATTGCTAGGTATAAGCTGATTGTTAGGGTGATGGATATAGGTTTATCAGATGCTCCCTTCCTTTTATGGGATAAGGAATGTTCAGACTTAGTTGGTATACCTGCCAACCTTCTGTACAAGAAGTATAACCAGGTCAGTAACCTCTATAGCTATGTTATAGAGCCATAAAAAATTTATTATACTGTTAATTTGTGTAATACTTATTTTATCTTTGTTGTAGGTTTCTGACATTCCAACGGAATTGGATTCATTAATTGGAATGCCAATGATATTTAAGATATCACTGAAAATGAGCCAAATGAAAGGAGCCAATCCAGCATATGCTGTGACTAGGATTTTAAGGGATGAGATATTAATATCTACCTACTGTTCCAAAATTAAGGACAACCAAGAAAAAGATTTAATCTCGATAATGATTGATGAGGATGAAGAGGAAGAAGATGAACCTGATCAGGTAATTTTATTTACTTCACTATTTTTAGTCTTTATGTGAGATTTTAAATTTTAATCATTTTTTTATATTTATAGGAAGCTTCAAATGGGGAAAATGAAGTTAACAGCCCTAACAGTGTCCAGCAGCCCCAAATGGTTGAGAGTGAAACTGAAGAAGCTTCTGGTGTGAAGAGATCCCTGTTGGACCAGTTTTCTTCTTCCAACAAGCTTAAGAAGGCCAAGGCTGTGACTGCTCAGGGAAATGGTTCCTAAGTTCCTAATATTTGATATATTTCAGCAGACAATTGTCCACCATTGTGTGGTTGTTTTAATTTTTGGATGTTTTTTTGGGGAACCATCTATCAGTAATAGCACTATAATAGTGCTAAACTATTTGAATTGACTGTTACTCTTTATCTATTTTGAATTTGTCTAAGTATTCACTATTATATTTTATTGCTAAGTATTCACTGTTATAGTATTTACTATATTTGTACTATTTTATTGCTCTCTAACTTTTTGCAGATTAAAAATGGAATCAGCCTGAAGCAAACATATTGACTCACAAATACAAGCAAGAAAGAATCTTCAAGGAATTCCAAATTCACTGATACAAGCAAGATCAATACCAGGATTACAAAAAATGTTCAAGGAATTCCATCTTCTATGATTTGCATTCTAGATTAGACTATATTATGCTAAGTGTGTCTCAATACTGTAAAATATTTATAGTGTATATGAATAACACATTCTGAGATATTGCAGAAAAAAAAATTGGCCAAGGAAACATGCATTTGAAAACACCAAACCCACAAAATATCATTCATTTCACATCTTTTAATAACACATTTAACTATTACCCATATAGTACTTAATAAATCAGCAAAAAAAAAAGTTGTACTTTCGCAAAATATCTTTAATCTCCACAGTCAAGCAAATCATTAGTCAATTAGAACTATATTACAAGTAGAAAAAATATTTAAACTGAAAAAATAAAATTCTTTGAAGTCTTCATAACTAATAAACACACTATAGGACTAAAAAAAAATACGCAGAATCAAACTGTTTTAAAATTACAAGCAAAATCACTTTTTGAAGCTTGAAGCAACACATTCGAATTTCTCATTACAATTATTAGACTCAGTTGTAAGGTGTGAACTTAAAAGTATTAATAATGTCATAAATAAATCACAAACTGCCAACAGAATGGTCAGATCATCATTTGCCATTTAGCAAAATATTGTGGACACTAATGGCATCAGAAAGAAAACTTCATTTATATATGATCTTGCAATTCAGTAAAATCATTTGCCATCATTTACTAAAACTTATAACAGACAAAAAAAAAATACAACTTCAAATGTAAGACAACTTCCGATTCACTAAAAATAACTCATTTAGACTGTAAAATTGTGATTCAAATTAAGATACAGCATTTGAATCTCCATCTTAATCAACTGAAAGTATTAAGAATGTAACAATTTATTGAGAAACTGGCATAAGAATGGTCATATCATCATTTTCCATTCAGTAAAATGGTCATATCATCATTTTCCAGCAGTTACTAATCTTACTAAAAACACTCAAATAAACATACCAGTTCAGATTTCAAACAGTTTGGATTCACTAAAAATAACTCTTTTAAACTGTGACTGTTTTAATTTTTTTAAGTCACACCATTTCAATCCACATCAAAATGAACTTACAGCTATTCAGACTGTCCCAAAAAATGATTATCTGGCAACAGATTTATCATATCATCATTTGCCATTAATGGCATCAGAAAATAAATTCTCTGTGTACACTAATGACATCAGAAAAATAAATTCTTCATTTGTCAAATTCTGAAAATGTGTGTTAGTCACATCTTTAAAAATAAGTAAGAAAATAAATTAACAGGGAACATGTGTATTCAATTAGACAAAAAGTAGATTTCATTGCTGTTTTCCACAAAAAAATGAAGAGTCATAATCATGACCTGGTTATAAATACTTCAAATTTGGCATAAGACATACTCAAAATACAATCCCAACACACTCTAAATGAGTTAGCCCTAAAACCACATATCACAGATGAGGAAAATACTTACTTCTACAGTCATAGGCAGCAAAAGGAAGCAGTTAATCGACAATCAAGGTATTGAAAACATATTCCATACTGTACTTTTAAGTTCACCTCAGTTTTGTACTTCAATAAACACATTTTTAGTTCTTTACCTGCACTGATGCATGCTTAGCTACAAGTTTTTGTGATATACATACGCTCATAACAACAGAAAAACGAAACTGAACATGTAAGAAATCAGTGTAAACCCTATTAGCTTAAAGGGAAAAACACTAATAGTTATTATGCAAATAGATATCAAACATATGTTGTACGCTAACTACTTTTACGATGAACAATACACAATTTCGTTTGCCTAATTAGACAATTGATTCAAAAATTGTGGGTTTAGTATACCTTTAAGTGTCCAGGCGAAGTGTATTTGCGTTGTATTCTGGGTACAGTTTGAAAAACTTCATCCCTGAAATTAAAAAGCTAACCGATTAGTTAAGAAAATCAACTGCTAAAATCGGAAAAATAAAAATGAATCTGAAAAATAAAATACAAATTGCGATAAAGAATACATCACCCAAAACACGAATTGAGTGTTCGGTTACTTATCTGAAGTGAACTAAACTAAATCTATTAAAAAAATCTATAGATTCAAGATGAGATGAAGGAGTTTACAGTGGACTATCCAGATTCGAATGCATGCCATTATCCCCTTAAATCTTTTAATTTTTTAATTTGAGAAAAAAATTATCAATTTTAGGACCTTCAGATCAGACCCATATATCAAACAAACCTGCGTCTTGGATTTTCCAGATCTGGTAGGGCATATTCATCTTCTTCAATCTAATATACCTGACAAAACAACTCAGACAGTTGGAATTTCTGGATTGCTTCTCAGAGATTAGCTAGGAAAGAACCCTCATTTTTTTTTTAAAATAAAGCAGTAGAGGTAGATCTCCAAAGGAAAATTCGTAGTGTAAATCACTAAACTTGGTTTAAGTATAGTGAGGAGTGTCTAGAGAATTCTTAGTTTGTGAGGTTAAGAGAGGCGAGATGCAGAGGTACAGTGAGTGAAGAGTGAAGATGATTCTGGAAACTAAGCTATTAGTTTTGATTAGTATCTTATATTGTACTTTAATTGTGAAATAGAATTTCAATATGAAATTCAAATATTCCAAATGCCAAATTTAAAAATATTGCAATATTACAAATTTTAATAATTTGTAATATTAATTTTAATAGTTTGTAATTTACGCTCATATTATATTAAGTTTTTTTTTTTTTTGGAATAAGATTATATTATGATTTATGATGCCTTACTGTTTATAATAATTAGTGGTACATATATTCCTAATTAACTACTCCTTTTTTTCATATAAAAATGTGAATAAAAAATACTAACCAAAGAACATTTAATAAACTTCAACAATGAATATTTATACATACATTGTTACATTAATATTTTATATATATGTAATTTGCATAATTATGTTTATATTGTAATTAGATTTGAATTATTTAAATTCAAAATTTTCTAATTCAGTGTGGTATTCAATAATACAATGTTTAATAATATTTTTGTAAAATATTGTGACGATCAATGGAAAATAAACAGTTTAATATTGGGCCTGAAAAAACTCATCATAGTTATTAAATTAGGTCTCATATATAATAAGTCTACAATCTATCAACTATCATTATAAAGTTTATTATAAAAATGTGCCCCCTGTTAAATTATTTACATTTTAATAATATTTTAATGATAGATTATTTTGTTGCTAAACCTACAAAATTTGGATAATGAAGGTATATTAGATAAAATTTATTTACACGTGTCTATTCAAAATTGTTCGTATTTATATTCTTTTAAAAATCGTTGGTATAATGTAAGGTGTCATGTTCAATTATGTTCATTATTTAGATATTATAAAGTTGATTATTTTGGAATTTAAAAATTAGATTTTATTATGGTCCACGACATTTTGTGGACCACATTGCATGTAATTAGGACTGGAACCAATGTATAATTGCTTTCTATTATTTTATTTTGTTTCTTGTGTTGGCAGAAAATGGACACAATTATCGAATTCTAAGCAAACACAATCCCGGGTGTCAAGAAAATGGTTCTAATTCATTGACGGAATACACACCACAACCATACTCTCATTCAAATGAAACACCGAGAAGTTCGCTTACAACAGGTAAACTGTTTATGATTTTGAAATAAAACTTTATTAAAATGTCGTTTACTAAATTAAACGTTTATAAAATTTAACAGTCGTATATTTTTGTTGCAGTCAATAAAGAAACGTTGAATATAAATATTAGTACACGTAGCAAGGAATATATGTTAACCCAGAACAAATCCAGAAAGTTTGTGTTAGGAGAACGAACTACATATTTATCCAATGGAACAAGCGCTATATTTACCGGTTAGTTATTTGAAATTTTCAAATTACAAAATATTTGTTATTTCGATTTCATAGTTAATCGCATGTAGAAATAAAAAAGTTATTTATGTCCGATGAAGGTACCGGTAGTATGTCTGAGAGCCAACGACAACCTTTACAGGATATATCGAATGGTAAATATTTTTTAAAGTAAATAGCATTGTTTACGTTCTTAGTTAAGTTCTGTTTTTTTTTTTTTAAGTAATTTGAATAATATGAAATTATTAGGTACCGAACAATGCAAAAGAAGTAGATGCATGGATAGGGGTAAAGACGTTATCCAGTATAATGTTGTCAATCGTGATTTGTTTCAAGATTTTGAAGAAGTTTCCAATAATAAGCGCATATCAAGTACAATGGTCAATGGTGGTAAGTTTAATGTCTACTAATCATTATTATCACCTTTTATTACATTTAATTAATGCATCAATATAAATTAGTTGATGAGGGATTTACGCAACAACCGATACTTGATAGTACAAATGGTAAGTGATTTTTCTTTTCAATGTTAGTTTAATTACAATTTGGAGACGAAATGTGGATTCGAGAATGATTATTTTTTTTTTTTATGACTTTTAGTTACCACCCAATGCAATCAAACAACAATCACAGACCTGGGGACATTACGCGTGACCTCTATACTCGTGGATTCGAATTTGAACCAAGTGGGTGCCGAAGAAAGAAATATGATGCACGTTTTAGAAACTACTAATTACATTACTGGTATGTAAAATATAAAATCCTTAACTTACTTTTTTGGTAGGAGACTAATTAGTATTTAATTGTCAAATTAGTGGAATACAACGACCTTGGTGATGCAAGTAACACATGTCAATACTGCGGAGCGCTTTTTTGGTACGAAGAGAGGACACACAAGACCGATAATCGCGGCAGCCCAAGATATTCCTTGTGTTGCAACAATGGTAAGGTTCAATTGCCACCACCAATCATGCCACCAAAAGCGATATATGAACTTTTTTTTGGAGAAGGAGAAAAAAGCAAGCAATTCTTGCAAAACATAAGGTCGTACAATAGTATGTTTTGCTTCACGTCAATGGGTGGGAAAATAGATAGAACCTTCAACAACTCAGGAGGTCCACCAACTTTCAGGATAAGTGGACAAAATTTTCACTACATTGGTAGTCTATTGCCGGTAGACGGGAGAAAACCACAATTCGCACAGTTATATATATATGATACTAATAATGAAATGTGCAATCGTATCAATTCTGTAAGGTAAGAACGTGTTTAGTCATTATATGTATATGAAATTTGTTTTATTAAACAGTTATCAAGATTTGTTTATGCAATTTGATAAGTTTTTTTCGTATATTTATAGGAAAGATGGTGAGCAACAGGATATCCATAGCGAAATTGTTAATGATATTCAACAAGACTTGGACCAGAACAATGTCTTGGTAAAATCATTTCGCATGGCAAGAGCAGAAATACAAAAGAATCCACTGGCTGAGGTTAAGATTAAATTGCTTGGTAAGCGATCAAAGGATGCCAGAACATACAACTTGCCGCAAGTGTCAGAAGTTGCTGCCTTAATTGTTGGTGATATTGATACAAATATTGGAGAACGTGACATTTTGGTGGAAACAAAGAGCGGCCTCTTGCAAAGAATTACTGAATTAAATCCAGCTTACTTGCCCATGCAATACCCTCTATTGTTTCCATACGGTGAGGACGGTTACAGGGAAGACATCCCCTTCTCAACATTAAAAGGAAACATAGCCGGTGGACGCCAACGGATAAGTCCTCGAGAATATTTTTCATACCGTATCCAATCGCGAATCGCAGAGGTATCAACTTTATTGCATGCAAAAAGGTTATTACAACAATTTGTGGTGGACGCCTATACAATGGTGGAGTCTGGAAGGTTAATTTACATAAGGACACACCAAAAAAGTTTGAGATGCGAATCATATAACTGCTTGAATGATGCTTTAACACGCGGTGAAGTCGACCCAACTACTCAAGGAAAGAGAATAATATTGCCTTCAAGTTTTACAGGTGGTGCTAGATACATGATACAAAATTACCAGGACGCAATGGCGATATGTAGATGGGTTGGATATCCAGATTTGTTTATCACGTTCACCTGCAACCCCAAGTGGCCTGAGGTGCAACGATTCTTGAACGATCGAAAATTAAAACCAGAAGATCGTCCTGACATAGTATGTAGAGTATTCAAAATGAAATTGGACGCTCTCATTGCAGACTGCAGGAAGAACAAGCTTTTTGGACCAGTAATTGGAGGTACTTAGATAAAACTTAATTATTAACAGCAATTGTTGTGAGTTTAATTAATATATTTTGCTATCTTTTACAATTTTAAAAATTTTGCACGCTTAACAGTGATCTATACAATCGAGTTTCAAAAGAGAGGTCTACCGCATGCTCATATACTGTTATTTCTGGAAAAGACCAATGGGAACCAAAGCGGGATAAATTTGGACAACATCATTTCAGCTGAGTTACCTGATAAAGAAGATGATACCGAATACTTCAAAGTAGTAGAGGAGTTTATGATGCATGGTCCTTGCGGTAGAGCACGGTTGAATTCTCCATGTATGGCGAATGGTAAATGTACTAAACACTTTCCCAAAAAGTTTGTTAATTTCTCAACTTTTGACGAGGATGGTTATCCTATCTATCGGAGAAGAGACAATGGTCGCTCGGTGATGCGCAATGGGATTAACTTGGATAATAGGTACGTGGTTCCACACAATAGGCATTTGTTGTTAAAGTACCGGGCTCATATTAATGTGGAATGGTGTAACCAGTCCCGGTCAATAAAGTATCTATTTAAGTACGTGAACAAGGGTCACGACAGGGTCACAGCAGAATTCTACAGAACAAACACTGATGATGATGGGCCGAAAGTTATTAATGAAATCAGTATGTACTATGATTGTAGGTACATATCTCCTTGTGAAGCATGTTGGCGGTTGTTTGGATTTGATATACAGTTAAGGACACCATCAGTTGAACGATTAAGCTTTCACCTGCCGAATCAACAAAGTGTAGTATTTGCCGATGATGATCCAGTTGATAACATACTTAGCCGGCCAACAATCTTACAAAGCATGTTCCTAGAATGGTTTGAGGCCAATAAAATCTACCCGGAAGCGAGGAAATTGACATATGCTGAAATGCCAACGAAATTTGTCTGGAAGAAAGATATTAGAAAATGGCAGCCAAGGAAAAGAGGATTTGCAATAGGTAGAGTATTCTATGTGCCTCCTGGTACAGGGGAGATCTTTTATTTGAGATGTCTTTTGAATAAAGTCAAAGGACCCACAAGTTACTTAGATATAAAACAAGTAAATGGTGTGCAATACGATTCTTTTAGGGATGCGTGTTCTGCGAGAGGCTTAGTAGATGACGACAAAGAATATATTCAGGCTATCGAAGAAGCAAGTCAATGGGCCACAGGTGTGAATTTGAGAAGATTGTTTGTCACTCTCTTGATGTCAAACTCAATGGCGAAACCTGAAGTTGTCTGGGAAGCTGCGTGGACTTATTTGTCTGATGATGCACAATTCAAGATTAGAGAAGACATGAGGATTCCAGGTAATTTGAATTTTCTTTTTATTTTCATGTTTTACAACATTATTTTTGTTAAACACAATTATAATCTATTATTATAAATATTATCACAGATTTTATCTTATCGGAAGACGAGAAGAAGAATTTTGCACTTGCTGAGATAGAACTAATGCTTTCGACTATGGGAAAGAGTTTGAAAGACTTTCAATCGATGCCGGTACCGGATTTAGAGAATCATGCTAGAACCACCAATCGGTTGATACAGGAGGAATTAGCATATGATGTTAATGTCATGAAGGAAGAGAATGATAGCATGGTGGAACAACTGACTGAAGAACAAAGGGCGATATATGACAACGTATTGCAAGATGCTCAGAATAATGTTGGAGGACTTTTTTTTGTTTATGGATACGGTGGAACGGGAAAAACATTCTTGTGGAGAGCATTGTCTTATGCTATTAGATCAAAGGGTGAGATAGTTTTAAACGTTGCATCAAGTGGCATAGCTTCACTTCTATTACCTGGGGGAAGAACTGCACATTCAAGGTTTGCAATACCAATAGCTGTTAATGAAGATTCAACTTGCAATATAAGCCAAAGTAGTCCGCTGGCACAGTTGATCATGCAAAGTAGGTTGATCATTTGGGATGAGGCACCAATGATGCATAAATTTTGCTTTGAAGCTTTGGACCGAACTATGAGAGATATAATGCGTGTCAAAAATCCAAACAGCTGGGATATGACTTTTGGTGGAAAAACAGTGGTGTTAGGTGGAGATTTTAGACAAATACTACCAGTAATTCCAAAGGGATCGAGACAAGATATTGTGGGAGCCAGCATAAATTCATCCTATCTTTGGAGAAGTTGTAGAGTATTTAGGCTAACAAAGAATCTTAGACTCAGGACATTGCAATCAAATACTGAAGCTCAAGAGATTGAAGAATTTGCTAAATGGATTGCCAATATAGGTGATGGAAAAATTGGTGATTCAAGGGATGGAGAATGTGAGATCAAGATTCCTCAGGAATTTTTACTGACGTGTGTTGAGGATCCTATTGCTACAATTGTTGATAGCACATTTCCTATGTTTCGCAGTGGTAACCGAGATCTGAAATATCTAAAAGATCGTGCAATTTTGGCCCCAACTTTGGATATTGTTGATACAGTCAATGAATACATGAATGAATATAATAATGCTGAAGGAAGGACGTATCTCAGTTGTGATTCAATTTGCAAATCGGATTCTAATGTTGACATGCTTGCTGATCTGCACACACCGGAATTTTTAAATGGATTACGCTGTTCTGGAGTTCCAAATCACTCATTGACTCTAAAAGTCGGCTCACCAGTTATGCTTTTGAGAAATATTGATCACTCATTGGGGTTGTGCAATGGTACAAGAATGATAATTTCAAAGTTGGCTGATCATGTTTTAGAAGCTCAAATACTGTGCGGAGCAAGTGCTGGTTCAAAGGTCTTAATTCCAAGGATGTCCTTAACACCGTCTGATCCCAGATTGCCTTTTAAATTCCAAAGAAAGCAATTCCCACTAATGTTGTCATATGCCATGACAATAAATAAAAGTCAGGGTCAAACACTCTCAAACGTCGGTTTGTTTTTGAAGAGGCCGGTTTTCAATCATGGTCAAATGTATGTAGCAGTGTCAAGAGTTAGTAGTCCAAAGGGTTTAAAAATACTTATCTGTGATGAAAATGTAAAATCTAAAAATACGACTACAAATGTCGTATATAAAGAAGTTTTCAATAATGTCTAATAAATTGGAAATTTGTCTCTACCCTATTTGTTTTTTATATAATACTATATATTCTATTATTTATATATATGGCCGTGCATCGCACGGGTGCAACTACTAGTAACATGCAAATAATGCAACTAATTATATCAGTGCTATGGAGAATTTTAATTTATTCTTCAATGATCATGCTCATTTGAGGGGTAAATTTGCCTTTCTTACATGCAACAGCATTACCCACAACTCGCCGGCCGCCACCTTCTACGACGGCGGATACTGCCGTCGATCCACCACCAAATCGCCTCATCTCATCATCGTCGTCAAGCATCACCAACGGCTCAACCTTCCTACCTGCACCCCTGATGAAGCAACACCACCGGAATAAGCTCTCCCCGCCGCCGCCGCCGCTCGCCGCCAGAGCCGTGCTCGCCTTCACGGCCAAGGCAGCCATGGCCTCCGCCCGGAGCCTCCGCGACACCCAACTCACCGGCAGCTCGAAGTAGAGCTTACCCGGCACCAAGTCCTCAACCGCCGACACAAACTCCCCCAACCCCATCTCGTCCGCGTCGCAGATGAAAACCTCACCGGGATTCTCGTTCTCCGGCAGCCGCAGATTCGAGACTCTCACCGGAAAACAAAACTCCTCGAGCTCGCCGTCCCAGTGGATGAGCTTGGCCGTTACCGTAACGGCCCTTGGTCGGAAACAGCTCCAATTTCCCATCCCGATCGAGGCGACGACCAAAAGATTCTTATGTCGTAATTTCGTGGAGATTAATGAATTTAATCATTCTTGACCAAAGTGAAATGGATATTATCCTTCCACGACATGATGGGATTTGTACTAATCTCTAAGAACGTCGTCGTAGTTGCCGTCCTCCTTTGCATTCGTTTTCATTAGGACCAAACTATGTGCATGCTGGCATCGCTTGTGAATAACGGAACATTAATTATATTGGTTTTCAAATTGAAATTTAATATTACCGTTGACCAATGTTTGCTAACGTTAATAATGATGGGTTTGTACGAAAAGTTCTATGGTAACGTACAATATGCAATGTCTGGGTGTAACATAACGCGCCCACACTACACTATGTGTGTGCAACATTGGAACGCGTCTTAATAATGATGTGCTGGTTAATTGAATTAATTAAAAATAAGTTTTATCTTTTATCATTAATAATTTATTGTCACGTTAAAAAATAATAACCAGACTCTTATAGTACATATTCATAAACTCTTTGCTGGATGAAGAACATCGAATCGATTCTATAACCAGACTTTTGAAGTTTGAAGATTCTGTTTATTCTCACAACCTTGACCAAAACAGAACATTATTGATAATCAAATATGTACTTGGCAGATTAATGAGGCAAACACCCGACCTGGGACCACCAAGGCCAACAAGCACCTGACCCGGAACCACAATCCAACAGTCATAATCGGAGTCATAATGCCAACGGTCAAACTCAAGATAATGGATAATGAACAATCGACCCTTCATTAATATGGTGAATATATAAATGTGGACTTGACTCGACTTGGCTCCTCATTACTAAGGGACCGTTAGATCGACTTGACTCAGCTTGGCTCCTCATTACTAGAGGACCGTTATTGAGACAGAAAAACGTTGAAGTATTAGCATAAATAGGAGACTCTTTATATTTAGGAAGACACTCTGATTCTTGTACTAAAAACACTTGATCAACAATACAATTATAATACAACTCCTTTTATTATTACTTTCTATAAATATTTCGGTAGTATATTTACTGTCAGTACTTATTTTAGTTCTATAGATATTGTTTTGTTTAATTTTTTAAAATCTATTTTAACTTATATTAGCTCAAATCTAGTTTAACCTAATATCTCGAAGCAGTTGATAAGAAGACGGCTAATATATCTATAATGTTGCATCTTCTCTATAGAGTAAGAGTTAAAATTGGCGTATGTGACTGCGAGGATATTGAATCCTAGGGGAGAATTTATTTTTATTTTTATAGGATTTTAATTTAATTATTCTTCAAATATTATTTGCGAACCATTTTAGGAAAATCAGCGGCATATTGGTGGTGGGGCTGGATACTGTTGAACTGTAGTTCAGTAGTCAGTACACGGACACCAGATGTTCGATGAAATTACTGAAACAGAAATTGCAGAGTGGAGCGACATTGGATGATTGTTGATGTCGCTGTTTTCAATTCTTGCGAAGCGAGTTATCCTCTCAATCCCAAACCTGAATCGCCACTCATATTTCGCCTTCTCTTCTTCGCCGCACTCCGATCAGAGCATAGTCTCCGCCGCCGTGTCAATTCTCAAGCACCGCCGCTCGAAGTCCCGGTGGAGTCACCTCCGCTCTGTTCCCACTCCCGCCACCGGCTTCACACCGTCCCAAGTCTCCCAAATCGTTCTTCAAATCCGCAACAAACCCCACCTCGCCCATACCTTCTTCCTCTTCACCATCCGCCACTCTCTCTGTTCTCATTCCCTCGCCTCTTACGCCACCATCATTCATGTCCTCTCCCGCTCGCGCCTCAAGTCGGAGGCATTAACGCTGATCAAATCTGCAATTCGCAAATTCCCCGACACGCATTCATCAAACCCGCCTCCGGTGTTCGAAACCCTGGTGAAAACTTACAGAGCTTGTGATTCAGCTCCATTTGTGTTCGATTTGCTGATCAGTGCATACTTGGAATCAAAAAGAGTTGATCAGTCCATTGAGATTCTCAGAATCTTAAAGTCCAAGAATCTCTCTCCAAAGGTTGCCACTTGTAATTCTCTGGTGGAGCTGGTCTCCAAAACTCAGGGGTGTTTTGCAGGTTATGATATGTACAGGGAGATTTTCAGGTGTGGGGATGGGAATGTGAAAGGGGCTAAACCTCTTGTTCCAAATGCAGATACATTCAATGTTCTAATGGTTGGGTTTTACAGAGAGGGGCTGGTGGAAAAGGTCGAGGAGGTTTGGAGCGAAATTGCAGCAATGAACTGTGAGCCAAATGCATATAGTTATAGCATATTGATGGCAGCATTGTCTGAGGCAGGGAGGGTGGATGACGCGATGAGGATAAGCGAGGAGATGGGTGAAAAGGGCGTGAAGCGTGACATTGTGTCTTACAATACTGCCATTGGGGCGTTGTGTGGAGTTGGCGAGGTCGAGAGGGCAGAAGAGGTTTTCAGGGAGATGGTGATGAGTGGGGTGGAGAGCACCTGTGCCACTCTTGAACATCTGATTATCGGGTACTGTAAGGTTGAGAATCTTGATTCTGCATTGCTGTTGTACAAGGATTTGTGTCGAAAAGGTTTTAAGCTCGGGGCTGCAACAATGGATGCTCTGGTTAGGGTGTTTTGTAGTAAAGGTAGAGTCTTTGAGGCAGTGGAGTTTGTAAGAAGCGCGGTGAAGATGCATGATGTTGTTCCAAGGGAGAAGACATATGAAACTCTGATAAGCAGTTTGTGTGAAGAAGGGGAGATGGAAGAAGCTCTTAAACTTCAGGTAGAGATGGTGGGGAAGGGATATCAAGCTAACCTTGAGATATATAGTGCTTTCATCAATGGATTCATGAAACAAGGGAATGAGGAAATGGCTGAGAGGTTAAGGAAGGAAATGCTTACAACTCAAATGACGCATGATTCTTAAAGCTCTTTTCACAATTCAGATCGAGACCGTATCAATCTCACATGTATGCGAAAAAATTTAAAGATGTTTTTATTTAATTCAGTTCGAGTCATATCCATAGAATTTGACTCTTATTCAGAGAAAGCCTAGCTCAAAGTTAGTGTGTCCTCTTAGAGGAAAGTAGAATTTTTGTTTGGCTATGGTTATAATGTAAGATTTTTCAACAATGAGATTAATAGCACAATCACAAATACTTGAGAAACTCACAAGTAAACTTCAATTACTCAATTGTGAATGAAACGAAGATTCATCTGAGGCCAACTAGGCAACCATTATCCAAAACTAGTTAAATGTAAATTTGACAAACTTTAGAAGCCATAGGATCATGGAGATGAGAAGATAGAGAATCAGAGTTGGAAAAAAAGAAAAACTCCAAAAAATGGTATTCAACAAGTGTTTTCTTTTGCAGACATTCTTCAGCTCCATTGCCTAGTCCAGGCTAACTGCACAAGAATAAGACAGCAAAAAGTGAACTCAGTGATAGTTTAAGTTATGACCAAAAAAAAAAAAAAAAAAACATATCATTTTATGTAAGCAGCTAAGTTCAGTGGATTAGATTTTGACAAAATTATTATACCAGCAATATGACAATAAAGAAACATGAAACTAATAATAGGGAAACATTATACTAGTGGAGTGTGGACACACATTACTAAGGAGGAAGCCTCTTAAGTACTGCAATATCACGTTGCAAATGTAAACACAGACATGCTCATCATATGATAGTTTTATCTTAATGAGACTGCAAATGCTTACGTCTCATACGCACCCTCACTGTGGAATAGAAAGGGTGCAAATGTTTTTTGGCCATGCTAACACCCAATTCCTTCCCATGCACAATCACTACTCCATTTCATTGGAGGTTCCACCGTATTTTCAATCAAATCAGAAGAGGATTTTGATATTAAATGCTACGCCATAGTTGGATGCATTTGTTTAGAAGTGCAACCAGAGTTTATTGGTTTTGTATCCTGTCATATTACCCCCATAGACAAAAACCTCACTACACCTCATTGCTGTCAGCCTCTTTAGAAAGTCAATTAAACTATAATATGAACCCACTCATCATCTGATAGAATATGTTGTGGTTACTGACAGTTCTGGAAGTAAATCAATTTCACCCGCTCAGCATGATACCAGAACGCATCAACCTAGGAACATCCAGCCCCTTATAAACATTGGAGAGTTGTTTTGATCAATTAGTTGCCATTAGAGAGTTCTTTTGATCAAACAGTTCCCACTTCAAGTCTCTTTCCACTAAGCATATAGAACTAACATATTTCTTGGCATATACATTTTGACCTATGCTATCTTTCAGCAGGAAGAATATGCTCAAGTACATAATATCAAATCGCCATCAGCCTAGGAACGTCTAGCACACAAATTCTTACAATAATAGACTAATCAGGGAAACCGATTCAACACAAATGCACAACCGATGATTTAAGCTACCTAATATTAATATAAATATATTGAACTCTAATTGAATATTGGCATACACATAAACCACATGAATAATTGAATAACCTTCCAAAATACACACACAAACGCAAATGCTTTTCTGTAATGGCGTTAAACCTTTGGAGAAGATAACAAACAAACAAACAAAAAAAAAAAAAATTACCGGAGAAAAAGGAGACTGTGAGGTGAAGAGGAAAGGCGTCTAGGCTCTAGAGGTCAAGCTTGAGCTCCTCCTTCTGATCTGAGATATAGTGGAGAATGTAAGGGGCGACCCGAATCACGACGACCCAAGCTCCGAACATGGCCGCGTGCGTCTTGAGCTGCTTTAAAGCCGCAGCTTTGTCCGGCTTTCGCATGAACAGTCCCGGAAACATTGCTTCTGCTTCTTCTCCCTTCTTCCTTAGAGGTTTCTCGCCGTCGTCGCGAAATAGATTCCGATAGCTCAGAAATTAACCAACTTCTGGTGCGCGACGAAGGGTTAGTACTTATACTCGGCCCAATTGGATTTGGGCTAAATAATCGATGCCCTATAAGCTCTATTCAAAAGGCCCAATTATAAAATGCAAACTACTCTTTTTTTTTTTGAAGCTAAATGCAAACTACTCTAATTGACTGATTACTACATTTTAACCTCTGATTATTCAACTTTCTTTTCTTAATCATCATATTATATACTCCGTATGATTGAAAAATATTTTTATTAAAATATTGTGTGGAACTGGGACCCCTGACAACCTTATTAGAAAAAATATATATAATAAATAAATAAACAAACAAAATTTAGTATTAAATACTAATCACAATTGTTGATTGAGTAGTAAGGATTAAGGTTAGGAATGTCAATTGTACCTGCACTTGATGGGAAACCCGATTTCACACCCCTATGGGGACGGGGACGGGGACGAGGACAGAAATAGGGGATGGGGGCAATTTTAAATTTCCCGGATGGGGAGTACTCTCCCTGTCCCCGATATATATATATATATATATATATATATATATATATATATATATATATATATATAATTTAGAAGCATTCTTGTCATTGTATGCCATGCTTATGAAATGCATATTTAAATAACATGTAACTCTAAAATATTGAATGTTACTTTAGAATATATATGCATTATTTATTTAAATATTTTTTAATTTTTATTTTTAGTTTTTTTTTTATAACTTATTAATGGGTGAGAATTCCCCGTCCCTGAATAATCCCCGTGAAGATGAGGGGATTTTTTTCTTCCCGGCGGGGACGGAGACGGGAACGAGGGATGAGACTATTCATATTTAATAGGTGCAGATTCATTTTAGATCAAACTTAAAAATTAATTAAAGTTTAGTAATCCATTTCATAAAAAAGAGTTATTTACATAATTTTCCTACTAATCCACTATTCCATTCAATGGGATAGTTACGGATGCATCTGAGTCAAAGTCTCTTCCAATCAGATGTTCATACGCCGCACCGAAGCTTTGACTATAAGAGCCACTAGTGTTACGCCACATGGACAACAGTAGTCAAACTATACGATGATGTTGACTTGCCCATCATAGATTATCTAGTCTCGAAGGCACAGGATAAATACTCCTTTGCATTAAATTCAGTAACGTTGACGTGTCTTTCCACAAAGTCCGTAGACAAATCGTAACCAACGACGCGATGCACCACAAAATTCCTCCCTCCTTCCATAGTCGCCAGTCAACTCTTTTGCGTTTCTTTTCTCATTAAACCTTTAGCTCTTTCCACCGTCACTCCCAATACCCTCACCAACAATGATCAAGCATATTGCTCCGGCGCCGGCGCCGCACCACCGGAACGTTTCTCGGCGAGCACCGTCGCCCTCCGCGACTGCTGTTAATCGGTCCTTTTCGTCGCCGGAGACATCATCGATGATGTCGAATTCGAATTCGTCGTCGTCGCCGCCGTCGAAGTTGCGAGTGGAGTTCAGTCCACCGTTGATTGCTATGGTGGTGATAATCGCCGCGGCTTTCGTCCTCATCACCTACTCGAGGCTCATTTCGCGCCACCTCATCCACCTCCACCGGCGCTACCGGCGGTGGCGGCGCAGGAGAAGGCGTTATGTGCCTTCGTCTTCGGCCGGCGACATCGAGTCTCCTCCGTACTCGTTTGATCCTACTGACGGTTTCCATGTGCTGTCTCCTTACGGGCTTGACGAGTCGGTGATCAAAACTATTCCGCTGTCTATCTATAGCCGGAAGAGCAGCGTTCACGACTGCGCGGTTTGTTTGCTGGAATTCGAAGACGACGACTACGTCCGCACGCTTCCGGTGTGCTCGCACGCGTTCCACGTGGAATGTATTGATATATGGCTCCGGTCGCACGCGAACTGTCCGTTGTGCCGCGCGGGAATATTCCGGCCGGAGTCGCCGTTCACTCCATTGATGGCGGCGAGAATACGGCCAAGCTTGGATGATATGATAATGGAGAGCACGATACTGGAGCCGTTGGCGGAAATTCCGCCAGAATCGGATGTGGCAACAATCGGGGAGATCACGCAGGAACCGTCACCGAGACGGAATAACCAATCAGAGGACAGATTCAACGGTCCGGATTTTCTGCTAAAACGATCGTATTCGTTCGGATTCGAGAGGAGCATAGGATCGGAGAGGCTAGTTTTGGAAGCAACCACCGCGTCTCCGTGGCGCTACCGCAGAGGAGGCGGCGGGAGCTTCTGGAGCAAACGTCCGTCCCCGTTCAGCTCGCTGTCGAAGCCTAGAGTCTTCTCCTTCCGCTACTACAGAGGAGGAATGAAGTCCCCTTTCTTCCGCCGCAGAAGCGGCGGCGGCTTTTTCCCGCTATCAGAGTCCAGCGCGAGATTCGGCGGCTCAGCTGGCGGCGGCGGCGGCTCCTCGTCCAGACGCACCAAGTCATTCGCTAGCCCGATGTTCATGCGATCATCAGGCGCGCCAAACGGCTTCTTCTCATCCAGCCGGCTAAGAAGCGGCGACCCCGAAGCCCTACTATCACCGGACAGATTCAACCGGCGGTGAGCACGTGGGACATGAAAATTAAATGATCATCGGGAAGCGCACAGTACTGGGTGATCCACGGAGCTTGAGCGGGTCGGGTGGGGACATATTCGGGTGATATTAATGGCGAAAATTAATGAGTTGCCTGGCTACACCTATGGGTCATTCTGGCGCTCATTAAATGGCAGGCCGGAGAAAATGGTGTAAGAAAAGGAAATGCAGTTATGGCATTTAATGGGGAATTGACTACTGATGCCATTAGCCTCAGGTCTAGTTCACATCCAACAATTATATTTTTTCATAAATTCCAACTTTATTTTTTATTTTTACATGCTCAAAGATTAAAAAAAGATGATCGTTTTTTACCATTAAATTATACTTTCTGATATGAACGTTTGATTCTTATGTAGATGATGTATCGAATTGCATAAAGGGATATATAGTGGGGGAAGTGATGATTAAGGTGATCAAAGCTGCATTGGTCATTTTTTTGTTGGATTTATGTGGGCATTCTTTTTAGCTTTTTGGGGCACCAAGATTATGGTGTGACCGATTTGAATGTGTACTTTGTTTGGTTTTGGTTCGTGGGAATATGGTGTGGATCACCCAATAGCAACCCAGACAATTGTTAGTGATGATTTAACAGCTACCATAAGTACACTTTTTTTTTTTTTTTTTAGTTATGATTATAGTGTAGATTTGTATTATTAAAGTTTTACATTTTAGTTTTGCCTGATTAGGGTATCCCATATTCGCACTTAGTCGGTCCAATTATGAGACAAAATATTGAAATGAGAGTGCATGACCACTCGCGCTAATTAAATTGGTTAAAAATGTAATTTATCCATAAAAATTTGTATTATAACAATTAATAATGGTTAATTTAGTGTAATGATATGATATAAGTTTTGATTGTTGTATGTTGGAGTTGGTTTCGTAGAGTTTGGCAGCTAGTGGTTTTATGTTAAAAAGCGACCAAAAACTGTGTTGGATGGGCTATCACAGGAGTTCCCATTATTAGCTAATCTTTGATTATTGTGTGTCTTATGGTTGTTGTTTATTGAGGTAAAGGCAATAATTGTGGTACAATTGCTTTTAGGATGTTTTCCCGTTTCGAGTTTAGGTTTAAAATTGCATCGTCAAACATGTGCAAATGTTTTGGGCAATCAGAACTTTATTATTATTATTATGTATCTACTATTACTACATTTCTTAGAATTCAAAAGGGTGTGTAACGTCTTTAGATGTTACAAATTTGATTCATGCTCATAATATATATATATTTATTTTTGATTTGTTACAGATTTTTTTGACATATGTTAGCATAAATTAAGGTGTTCAATCACCATCCGTCTAGTTATGACATTGGTCCAAAATACTATAACAAGTAATGAAAATTTTACCATTAGATTCATCATTTATTTAAACGAATTGTGTATAATAACCGAAGCCCCTATCCCGTATGGATAGAGTTATCGAAACGGGTCGATAGAGCGGGACTTGTCAAAGCCCGCTATATACCCAGGGGGCTAAAAAGCCTGTCAAATACGGGCCTAAAATATGTCACCCCGCCCCGTCATAGGCCCGTGGGCCTCCGCCAAATTTAAAATGTGAATTTAAAAGGTAATAATATAATATATACAATGTACTATTTACTAATACATTTTGTCAATATAAATAAATAAATTAACATATATATATATATATATATATATATATATAAAATGATGTATATATACACACACTAATATTAATAATATTAATAATATATAAATAATAAGCGGTTTGGCAGACCCCTACCAAAATACAAGGCCATAAAATTTAAAGCTCACTTCGTTTATAGGTTAGCCCGGCGAGCTAAGTCCGTTTTGACAAGTCTAAGTATGGAACTATATTATAATAAGGTCTACCATATATCAAAATAATGCCGCAATTTAATAGTCTTTAGGGTTGGGGTTCCGCATTTGGAAGAATACCGCAATTTAATAAGCAAATTGTTAATGCAATTTAGATATGGGAAATTTATTATTATAAGGAAGGGATACGCTACATATACACACTATTTACCTCAATTGAGGTTCAAAACCTTTCACCTTCCACTTTGGGGAGCAACTCGATACCAGTGGACCACAAAGTCATTGGGTAGATATGGGAAATTTGAATGCTCAGAAATATACTATGAGACAGTGGTGACTTTCAGGAAACAAAACTGAACGACTGAAGTCTTGAAGCTGCAGTAGTCCAAAGATCTCCTTGTGAATGCAGAGTTTGACATCTTAAACTACGGTTTTCAAAACATCATTAGTTACGCATAGTACTGTCTTTTGATGGCCTAAATTAGTCGGTGGTTTAGCAGATTTAGTTGAAGATTTTAAGAGCATCCACCCACCAACATCCACCTATGGTCCACCCAACCTGAGCAATCTCATTAATGTAGTACAAAGCAATTATGGTGATCCCTGTCCGATAGCGTATTAGGGACAGGGCTCTTGATTGCGCGAGTACGTGAAATCAGGGCTGTGTTAATCGTAATCTGATCGAAATTTCAACAACCCATTCTTATTTTTTTAATTTTTTAATGATTTTGTGAATTTGTGAGTGTTTCATGTGCAAGACGACCGGCAGTTACTGCAGCTCAATAAAGGCCGCCGATAAAGGTTAGATGAGATGTCTTTCACCGAAGAAGTAATCCTGGAATTTATTGCAGCTCTATTTCCCCAACTAACCCTGCCCTCTTTTTCTGTGAGTACTCAAATGCTGCAAAAATCATTTCTTTTTTTGTTCTGTGGACTTTTGGTAGAACCCAGTTTTCTGGTTTTCTGATTTTGAGGCTGAAATGGCAGATTATGTGGTGAAAGTTGAAGAAGGTAAGCCTGCTGGGGATGGGAAGCCGTCTGCAGGACCTGTGTATAGGTGCATTTATGCTAAAGATGCTCTCATGGAAATGCCTGCTGGATTGGAGTCTCCCTGGGACTTCTTCAGGTAATTTTTGAGGTTGCCCAAAGAACTAGGTTTGGTTTTCATGTTAAATTTGATTAGAATATCAGAGAATTGGGTTCTTTGCTAAGGAATATATTGTTTTTCGAGGAATGTATGTTCTGTCAGTTGCTGGGGTTTTGACTTTTGAGTTATGATCTAACCCCTTAGGAGGAAAGTTTCTATCTTTGAAGATAGAAAGAGATATAAAGTTGAAAATTTTACTGCAATTAAACTGTTGTTTACTAAAAAACGATTGTCGGTTTCGAGCTATGACTTAAGCCCTTAGGAGGAAAGTTTCTATCCTTGAAGATATAGAAAGAGATATAAAGTTGAAAATTTTACTGCAATTATACTGTTATTTACTAAATAACTGCAATTGTGTATTCACATGTGTGCTCATCCAGCGTTGTAGTTCTACTTTTGCTTCATTAACTATTTATAATGGTGTTATGGTCACAGTAACTCTGTCAAGAAATACCCAAAAAACCCGATGCTTGGTCGCCGTCAGATTACTGACAAGAAGGTATTCTTAATACACAGTTTGTCTTGCATATGTTGTAATCAAAAACATTTGCTTTCTGTCATCAAAGTATTTCAAAGTCACAAGCTTGTTTGATTATGTTCTACGTAGAATGCTCATTTCAAGCTCGTGTTACAGGCAGGTTCCTATGTCTGGATGACATATGAAGAGTCTTACAATACTGCCAAAAAAATTGGCTCTGCTATCCGAAAATGCGGTGTCAACCCTGTAAGGCAGCTCTACTAGGAAAATCTATATATACACTCAGTTATACATCCGTGACTCCGTGAGCTTATTTTAAACTAATTGTATGAATGATTTGTATCTATCTAGGGTGATAAGTGTGGCATATATGGTACTAACTCTCCGGAATGGATAATGGCAATGGAGGTATATTGGCCACTTTGGTTCTAACCTTCACGTTAAATATTTGTTAACTCTTTTAACGTTCTTCTATTTGTTTGATTCTTCCACAGGCTTGCAACAGCCAAGCCATTTCCTATGTACCATTATATGATACACTTGGTATGCTTTCCTTATTCACGTTAATCATAGGATAGTTCATAGGATAATGTTTTTGGAATACCCACCGTGGGTAATTTTAGAAGGTCAAGTGGGATAAGGATTGTTTCTTGATTTTTGCTTGAATTGCAGGCGCAAATGCAGTGGAGTTCATCATAAACCATGCTGAGCTGTCAATAGCGTTTGTTCAAGAGAACAAGATACCGGCTGTATGTTCTTTTAAGTGTGCATATTCGATGAAATAAAACAGATTTCAGTTTCTCTTTTGGATTTTCTATTTCTTTGCAGATATTAACGTGCTTGCCGAGATGTATTTCACATCTGAAAAGTAGGTTAATCATTAACGTTTGTTAAACGAGCAGATTTTTGCAAACGCATATTGGAGTAACAATGTTATATTATTCCTTTGTTAAGCTATTGTAAGCTTTGGAAATATTTCCACCGAGAAGAGAAAGGAAGCTGAAGAACTCGGTGTAGCTTGCTTTTCTTGGGAAGAATTCAGTCAAATGGTAAAACAAACTTCTCGGTTATAAAGATTAACTGCATACCGTGGATACCTTAAACACTTTCCCGATAAACTACGTTTGCTATCACTGAAATTCTACCGTTTAATCACTTGCCCAGGGAAATTTGGATGATGAACTTCCACCTAAAAGTAAGACTGATATCTGCACGATTATGTATACCAGTGGAACGACTGGAGAACCTAAAGGTGTCATTCTAAGTAACGGGGCATTCATGTCCGAAGTTTTATCTGTGGATCAACTACTCGTGGAAACAGACAAAGCAGTAAGATTTATCTTAGCGATTGGGCTATAATGCACATGGGCCAAACCACACTAAAAAGATTGAATCCAACCAATTAGCTAGTCTAACCATGGCCTTATAAATCTATATATTCTCTCTTATTTTATCAATGTGTGACTCTTAATAGTTTTCTTCATTTCTCCCATACTACCGTTTCTCATGGTCATCAGCTTATATAGCTACCGAATATTTAGTTTTACCACCTTGGATTTTAGCGAGTAATGCCGAGTCTTTGTTTGCTTCAGGGAACAACAGAAGATGTATATTTTTCGTTCCTTCCATTGGCTCATATATTCGATCAGATAATTGAGACGTATTGCATACTCAGCGGTGCCTCGATAGGATTCTGGCAAGGCGTAAGATACACACCTCCTTCATTTTGTTAATGTCCTATGAACTTCTAGGCCCTACAATGCCAAGTTGTTGGGCATTGGCCGAATTCAGTCTCTGTTCGATTCGAGACGTGGCGCTGTGACTTACTATGGAGGGATGTGGTTAAATGGTTAATGTCCACCTACTTATCACCAATTGGTTTTAAGTAAGATATGGCAAGTTGGCAACAAGATTGCCAAAGAACTCTGTGGTTAAGCGTTCTAAGCATAGTGCAGCGTTGAGATCCAACACAAGTTGTTCGAATTTGAAAGTAATCCCGCTTTCTTACTCGCAGGATATAAGATACTTACTTGAGGATCTTGTGGAATTAAAGCCGACTATATTCTGTGGAGTACCAAGAGTTTATGACCGCATATACACAGGTAAAGATTAATGAATCGTTATATAATGAAGTATTGTGAATTTTGATACTTGAATGATAAGAATTCGCCCGCTTCTTTTCGTTGCGTGAAGGCACAATGGATAAAATATTGGCTGGTGGCACGGTGAAGAAGCTACTTTTCGACTATGCCTATAACTAGTATGTATTATTATCGACCTTTCCATTTCTTTTAATTTCTATGGAGTAGAAAGCAACTAATGCGGAATGTCTTGACAGCAAGTTGAAGAATATGGAAAAAGGGCTAAGGCACGATGAAGCGGCCCCTTTCTTCGACAGGCTGGTGTTTGACAAGGTCGGTGTTTTTTCGTTCTTTCGGCTTCATACGATAATTCAAGTGTCGTTAATAAGTTGACCGTTCGTTTCAGATTAAACTAGCATTTGGTGGTCGAGTTCGGCTTATGCTATCTGGAGCCGCTCCCTTGCCTAGGCACGTGGAGGAGTTTCTGAGGGTGACGTGTTGCTGTGTTTTGTCGCAAGGATATGGTGTGTTTCCTCGGTCAGAGAGAACAAAAACACAGATTCAGAATGTTTTTTGTGAAATCTCGTAATTGCTCTGAAAACATAAGGTTGTTGGTAAATCTTCCACTAATGTTCTTTCGCTTTCAGGCCTTACTGAAAGCTGTGGGGGATGCTTCACGTCCATTGCCAATGTGTTCCCGATGACGGGGACTGTTGGTGTCCCGATGACTACAATTGAGGCGAGACTTGAGTCGGTGCCCGAGATGGGATACGATGCACTTGGTAGTGTACCCCGTGGTGAAATTTGTCTTCGGGGAAAGACATTGTTTTCAGGGTATCATAAGCGGGAAGATCTCACGAGAGACGTAGTAGTGGATGGATGGTTTCATACAGGTGAAGTTCATACTTTTACTCCCTTCTGTTCTTGACTGAACCTTTGGGAATCGATCTCTGAGAGTGAAAAGTTTTGCAGGTGATATCGGGGAATGGCAGCCCGATGGAGCAATGAAAATCATCGACAGGAAAAAGAACATATTCAAGTTGTCTCAAGGGGAATACGTCGCTGTTGAAAGCCTGGAAAGCACTTATTCTAGATGCCCCCTCGTCGCAGCAGTAAGTTAACCATTTCGTTTTGCAACATCAAACCCGAAAAAACTGCAAATTTATTCGAAAAAAACTGCAAATTTCCTTGAGCTCTCTCATCTGGTGCACAGGTTTGGGTGTATGGAAACAGCTTCGAATCGTTCCTGGTGGCCGTGGTGATTCCCGAGAGAAAGGCGCTCGAAGATTGGGCTCAAAACAATCGGGAAACCGGAGACTTCGTATCCCTGTGCAAGAATCAAAAGGCGAGGAAGTACATTCTTGATGAGTTAAACAACACCGGTAAAAAACACCAGGTATATACATATCTGATTCCCTTTTCTCGATTCAATGTTTCAACCTAGTACCTAGTCTGACCCAAACAAACACCATCTGTTAGCTACGAGGTTTTGAAATGTTACGAGCAGTCCACTTGGAGCCAACGCCTTTCGACATCGAGAGGGATCTAGTTACCCCCACATTCAAGCTCAAAAGGCCACAGCTCCTCAACTATTACAAGGTATTTCATGCTTTTTCTGTTGATCTATATTCTATATATATATTCTCGATTTTTTTTTTTTTTTTTTTATCTCTATCCATCTTAACGCGTTTCTGCAAAACTTGCAGGATTGCATCGATCAACTGTATAAAGAAGCAAAGAACGTCTCGGCCTAAAACCCGTCAAGACATGAGCCTGCTTGTTAATGTAGTGTTGATAACAAGCAGATATTAGTATTGTTTCATACATCCAGTGAAGAAGATGATGATTATCTTCCTATGTCTATATAAACTTCTGCGCTGTTATTATTTATATTCTGAAACCTTTCTGGGAATAAGATAAAGATTGAAGCTTGAAATAAGATTCAGATTTCCAAAACCAGACAATATAATACTTTTTACTATATAAATTTCCAGTATCTTTATGCACACACAACAACCAGACACTAATACATGACCTGCAAGAACTTTGCAGGTTTAGCCATTAATGGTGGAAATGAGCAAATTTCTGAAAGGCACACTGCAAACGACACGAATGGCAATCGCAAATGGTTCTGATTTGGTGTTTTTTTTGACTCACAGAATGTCAAGAACCAAAGCCCAGACAGGATATACTAAAAGGAGGACAATTCCAACAGTGTTTGAGATGCCATGGGCTTTGGTGAAGGAGTTTCTGAACCCACCAGAGGCTCTGATGTGTTCTTGCAGCAAATAGCACCCAATAATCAGGCAAATTGCCACACCAACCCACATTCCCCTCAGTGTGCCTGCAAACACCCCGGGAGCGACCACGATCAGAAGGATCAGAGCTGCAGGGGCTTCTAACCAATCTGCACGTGTGTTGTCTTACTATCAGTTTAAACTTTTAGTTAAAACAAAACGTATCATCGTTTCATAGTTTAGTAACTGAAGCATGTATAGTAGGCTTCTATTATCAGACCTGGAAAATGTCTGGGGAAGAAAAGGCGAATGATAACAGCAATCAAACAGATCCATTTGCCCACATCTCCCCTGCGCAATCAAGAACATACATAAATGTTACAGCGGCCAACCAAAAAACAGAAGAAAAAACATATGCCCAGACGGATAGCTGAGTTGGTTTCTGGGTGGCTGATTGTGGGTAGGATTGAGCCTGTAATGGTTTCAACTTCTTGTGGGCACCAAACACTTATTTTTTCCCACCTAATGAGTCACTAAGTTACTGTGGTTTATCCTCCACAATCCTGTCCGACTGGGAGGTGGTGCCCTTGGGGCGAGATATTTTGACCTTGTTTGATAACATAGTTAGCTTATCAATCAATTTTGGCTTATTTGACCATTATTAGCTGTTTAGCTTGATTAAACAATTGATATGAGTGTTTGACTAATTAGCTTTTTTGTAACAACTTATTGCTCCAAAATGCTAAAATTCAAAAAGCTGTTCAAAATAACTTTTTCGATCAGCTTTTTGAGAAAGTCATTTTGTATGTAATCAGTTAACAACTAATTTACTAAACACTTTTCTCCAATAAGCTAATGTTATCAACTAATCAAACACACTAACTCAATCAGCTAACAACTATTTATCAAACACCATTTTGTCTTTTGTGGGCAAAGAAGAGAACATTTGAAGAAACTGTTATGAGTACCTCAAGAAGCTGAAAATCAATGAAGGAAGAGAGAAGAAGATGTAAGGAATCAATAGAGTTGTGAGCATGTTGGTCCTCCAGTTGGTTCGATCCAGAATCAACAGGTAACTACAACACCAAAACAACATCATAAATTCAAGAAAAAAAAAACACAAACAGAAATTCAAGAAATCACTTACATTGCAGCAAAGGAAGCAACCCAGGAAAGGAATGATGTCCCAAAGCCAAGCCCACCACCAAGCATGATGGCATGATTTGCCAGCTTCTTGGCTGCCATTCCAAGCTCCTTCAAATCTGAACCTATCAGATCACTCGCCACTGATGATGAATCAATCTCCATGGCCAAGAAGCTCTTCTTCCCCATCTTTGCTTCAATAATTTAGCAACCACAAGATAAAGTCAAACTAATAATGAAACAAGAAAACGACCCTTTGAAGTTTTGAACCTTCACGTAAGTCCAGGAACGTGGCAGTAGTAGAATATAAACACAACAAGCTTCCTAAATGGATCGAGTATCAATCCTTCTGCCGGCCTGAAGGGGAAATATGCTTTAAAAATAGTATCAGATCGAAACCACGTTCTGGAACAGTGTTGAAGCCAAGTAATTTGGAGCATGGTGAAATTTAGGTAACTATAATTTTTGTATTTAAAGGTCAACCATTTAATTTTTATTAATACTTTCTGGATCGAGTTTCAATCACATAAAGGTAGTGTTTGGTAAATGCTGTTAGCTGATTGGGTTAGTGAGTTTGACTAGTTAATAACAATAGTTGATTGTATAGAGATGTTTGATAAATTAGGTGTTAGCGGATAGCTGATTACATGTAAAATGACATTCTCAAAATGTTGATCGAAAAAGTTGCTTTAAGCAATTTTTTGAATTTTAACGTTTTAGAGCAATAAGTTGTTACAAAAAGCTAATTAATCAAACACTCATATTGACTATAACCAAGTTAAACAGCTAATAGTGGTCAAACAAATTAAAATTGACTAATAAGCTAACTATGTTATCAAATATGGTCAAAGTCATTTTGGTATGATATGCTTATGTATGCTTTGTGAGCTATTACACTGAATCGGAGTTTATCTAATGCCACATTTAAGTAGTATGAGTTTCCGTAGTCATAGAAAGTTATGTACTGTAATAAAGCAAATCAAGTTCAAAAATGACATTTTTATATATTTTATAATATAAAGAAATAAGACATCACAATAATCTACATAAATCTAGGTATGAAACCTGCCCGCTAATAAATGATGATTTCGTTTCATTAATAAGGCATGAAACTTTAAAATTTCGTACAAATACTTTTTAATAAGTTGATGATTTCGTTTCATTAATACGTGGCCATCATGGCCGAAACATTGGCCATGTGGGCACCATGTTTCGGCAGGCCGAAACTTTCAGCTGTCGAAACTGAAAGACCGTTGGGTGTTCAATTCTACTGTTACCAGGTGTAGTGGGGTGCCTTAAATTGTCCTATTAAAGCTATTTAATCCTTCAATCCTATATAAGAGAGGGTAGAGGCAGTAGAGTTTTACACACAGAAATAGAACATGAAAGTTCTTCTTTTTAGCCTCAAAACCTCTCTGCTCAAGCTATTTAATCCTTCAGCCTAATATAAGAGAGGGTAGAGGCAGTAGAGTTTTACACACAGAAATAGAACACGAAAGTTCTTCTTTTTAGCCTCAAAACCTCTCTGCTCAAGCTATTTAATCCTTCAGCCTTGTATAAGAGAAGGTAGAGGCAGTAGAGTTTTACACAGAAATAGAACACGAAAGTTCTTCTTTTTAGCCTCAAAACCTCTCTGCTTCTACTCCTTCTTTAGCCTCCTGTGTTCATAGCTTTGTCTTGCTCGCCGGATTCCTTGTTTGAGTGCTCAAACATTGAATCACTAGCAAGTTTTATCCTGGCATGGAAAGCCTAGGCCACAACGCTCCTAGCATCTTTGGGAGGTGGCAAATAAGGTTTTAAGGAAAGAGTGCTCACTTAACTCTTGCAAAAACCCAACACACTAGCCAAATTTCTTCATATTTTCTTCCCTTCTTTTCAAAAAATAATAGTCAATTTTATTTGATTATTATTTATTTTCCTACCAACGGTTCCTACAATTATCACTACTGGAAATTATGAAATTTCCGACCACCTGAAAATGATCTTGAATCAAATTGATACCAAAAAGTGGTCGGAAATAGCAACAAAGATTTTTCCGGATATCAAAAGTGGTCGGAACAAGACTTTCGACTTGATTTAAGATCACTTTCAGGTGGTCGAAAATTCCATAATTTCTAGTAGTGTATAAAAGTTATCCATTCTTAAATCTCATATAAAAACTGTATATTGTTTATTGTTGGAAAAAAATAGCATTAAAATGATATTTTGAGTGATTATTTTGTGGTACAAATATATGTGGGATCCACTTCCGATTTGGGTCGGGTCAAGGTGGATTCGGGTTCTTCGTAGTGAGACGAAGAATTTGATATAATGTACGCTCAAAATGGGTAATAGGTGAATGAGAAATTGATTCTCAAAGTGAACCTATTTGAGAGAAGTCAAATTAAGCTTAGAAAGCTTAAAGCTTAAAATTAAGCTTAATTAGTGTGACAACATGAGTTGTCAAGCTTGTGATTAAGCTTTGGAAAGCTTAAAATAGTGAAATAGGAATTGGGACGAAAGTTTGCATGGACGAATGTTATGCATGGACGAAAGATGCTACATGTAATTAAGCAAGTTTAATTAGTGAATTAAGCTCCTTTCGTGTGAGCTATCTTTCGTGCTGCACGAGTCAATGCTATGTGCATTGATTCGTGCAACACCGTTTCGGTACTTTGCGGACCATTCGGGTGTGGTTTTCGGTCCCAATTCGTTAACCTTTCGGGTTTGTACGGACTTCTCGGTCACTCAGATATTTGAAATGGGACGTTATGGTCGGTACGAATTAATCGAATATTAAGTTCGTGACCGTTGATATTATTTCGATAATAAGTACGACCGTTTCAAATGTTATAATTCAATTTTTAAATTGAATTTATGTTGGTTAATGTGTCATAATAATGCTATTAAGTACCAACCTCCTATATAAGAGTGTAGTGGGAGTAGAGGCTTTTCACATGCATAGTGAGAGACAACTAGTGAGGGAAGAACACGAGAGTACACAACACACAAAGAAATTCTCTTTTCCTCTCAAAATTTTGCTCCTATTCCATTCTTGAAGCTGTGTTTTGCCCGTGCTCTAGTTCGCCGGGTTCGTTCGTTTGGGTGCTCAAACGTCGAACCGTTGTACGTTTTATCCTGGGAGACCTAGGCCACAACGCTCCTAGCACTTTTGGGAGGTGGCAAATAAGGTTTTAAGGAAAGAAAGGCACTCGCCTAACTCGTACATTTCTCTCTTCCTTCTTCTTCTTTCTTGTTTTGGATTATGCTCTAAGCAAAAATCCGTTCTTTCTTGTTGTTTTGGAATTATAATCTGAGGATTATATTTTCTTTTTGGTTGATATATATTGGTATATCTTTTTCGTAGGTATACATGTATATATAACTGTTGGGTCCATTTTATATATATTTGTGTGTATATATATATTTCGGATATATATCCAATAATATTTTATATATATTTCGTGTGTATATATATAAATATTATTTTACGGATATTAAATCGATTGTGGTTCATTATCACCAACATTTATTGTATGGTCAAGGATTAGATATGCACAAAATTGAAAATGAAATGAGTCCATGAAAATGAAGGCCACGTGGAGGCAAGTTAACAATGGTGGGCGAGACGACGTACTGACGTGGGCAGGCTGCCTTGTCAATTGTCATGCCTCGTCGGATTGAGATTCTTGATTTTTAAAGGATTGAATACTGTTCCACCAACATATTCACTTTAATAGAGATAATAACACATTATTTTAGAGGAAAGTCCTATGCCTTTGCATTGGGTATAACTCAAAGTGCGTGCATGTAAGTTTCATGCATAAAACATGGTATAGTCAGGGGCGTTCGAGTGGTATAATTAGGTGTGTGAGTGGGTAGGGGGCCTTGGTCCCCCACCCACCCCACTCCACTCCAAAAACTTTAATAAAGGTAAAAAGGTGAAATAGATCCATATACTAACACGGTGGGTCATCTAGAACTATGAATTAAAATATGGTCCACCTAGATTATTATATTCCCAATTATTGTTTATCTAGCATTTTTAGTCATTTTCTAACAAGTAACCCATCTAAATTTGTTGCATTCAAAAAAAAAAAACCCATCTAATTTGTTGACATAGAAAAATAAAATAAAACAAAATGCTGACATGTTATTTCTTCATTTAACTTGTTATTTTTGTAACTTTTTTTATAATTTTTTTAACGTATTTTCATATAATAACCTAGATGGACCATATTTTAATTCATGGTGGTGAATGAACAATCATGGTTAGTACATAGGTCTATTTGACCCTTTTGCCTTTAATAAATGTTTATGTATATATTATTATATTAAAAATAAAAATTCTCTTCACCTTAATTTTTATTCTAATTTTGCTATATATATATATATATATATATATATATATATATATATATATATATAAAAAATAAGCCCTAAACATATATTGAAGTATAAATTCACCAAATAAATAGAAATAAATCAATTAATTAATTAGTTAATTATTATGTATTTTTATTATTTGTTTACATTTTTAGGTTGTAAATTTAATTTTCTAATTCAAAAGATTAGTTTTGATTTTTTTTTTTAAAAGAAGTAATGTTAATATTGGTTCTTTAATTTGTGAGTTTAAGTTTCATCCTCACTCTTTAAATTTTGAAATATTAAGTTAATTAGTAAAATGAATATCAGCCAATTATGTAAAAAAAAAAAATGTTGCCAACAAAATAATTGATACGTAGTAATATTTATTTGATAAAAGAGTGACAAGAAAATTAAAATTGTTATTATATATTTTCTGTTATAGGGAAAATCATAAAGTGTAGATTAACATCAATGCTAATAGTTAAATAAAGTATCAAGACCTCATAGTCTAGAAGCATGTGACTCCCATATAAATGATCACGAGTTTTAGACTTTTTTTTTTTTTTTTTTTTGGTGAAAATTAAGGAAAACAAGATTCATTAATCATTCAAACGTATAGTAAATGCTGAATACAATCAAAATAATAAGAAAACCAAGAATGAGGACCAACTTGGGAAGCCGCTCTAGCTAAAGTATGCATGATTAAAGATATTCCTTAATATGTCGTTTTAAAGCATAACAGTACGGCAATATAGACTTCTAGCCTTTAATTCTCAAAATCTTTTGAGTTGCATTAAGGGGGTGTTTGGTTGGATGGAAAACATTTTCCATGGAAAATGTTTTCCTAAAAGTGAAGGAAAATGATGTTTTATGTTGTTTGGTTGGATGGAAAATATTTTCCATAGGAAAAAGTTTTCCTTAAGGATGAGGAAAACAAATTCATAGCTCATGCTAGGTATTTTGTTTTCCATGGAAAACTAACATGACAATTTTACCCTCAACATTCTTTATTAATTACTCTTATTATTATTATTATATTATTATTGTTGTGTAGGGTTATATTTGTCATTATACTCATTATTCCTTACCATTCCAAACTCAATCAAACAATGGAATTCATATTCCCAGTAATTTACCAGGACTACGTGGTCTAATGGTATCCGGGTTGGACTTCCAATTGGAAGATTATGAGTTCAAGCCTCAGTGGAGGCGTTGTTGGTTCTTTGTGTTTCAGTAGGTTGAGAAAGTATATGAACAGATACTACAATGTAAAAAAATATTCCCAGTAACTTTCAAAAAAAAAAATATGAAATCTATTTTCTTGGAATTTATTTTTCATGGAATTTCAATTTCATTTCCCTTAAAAAAAATATGAAATCTATTTTCTTGGAATTTATTTTTCATGGAATTTCAATTTCATTTCCCTTCAAATATTTTCCAGCGAACCAAACGAGCCCTAAGTGTAACCGGAGTGAATTGATAAATTAGAATTCTCCGATATTCTTGTGAACATTATGTTTTGTAAATGCTTTGATTGTAACTGATGAACCCAGCGGAAGTTTTTCCCATTGTATTTCGTAGGAATCGTACCGGAGAAAAAGCTCCACCAGCATTAGCCTAGCCATGAGCACCACCAGTTCTTTCGCCGGGCACTGTTTGTCGCCGGCCGCCGGATTCTTGGTTTCCCGGTCGTTGGACCAGTAGATGTAATGGATTAGCTTCTCCCCGTCGTGTAAAAACCTATCCGGGATGAATTTCTCGGGATCTGTGAACACTTTCGGATCCTTTGTAGCGAAAGGCTGATACCCAAAGATCATTTCTCCCTTTTTGATCAAGAACGATGATTCATGGCTCCGGACTATGATGTCGTCTCTGGCCTTGCCGTACTGGTACGGAACCGGAGGTTCAATCCGGAGAACCTCGTAAACCACCGACTTAGTTAGCTTCATTTTCTCCAGTGCTGTTAAGGTTACGCCGCCGCCGTCTTCATTGACAATGGTTCTGATTTCGTTGGCAAGACGGCGGTGTAAATTCTCGCCGGCGGCGCCGACCCACTTTATCAGGGAGGGAAACAAGGCTTTCATGCCGCCGTAGGCGTTGAACCCGGCGAGGAAAACCAAGTTATGGACGGCTTCGTCTCTCTTCACCCCGTTCTTCTCAGCTTCGTCCAGAACAGACGTCGCCGACTCGCCGAAAACCCGGCGGAGCTTTTCATAGCCCGGTTTCACGGCGAAGAACGGCCAAGAAAATGTGTGGAGAAGCAAATCTTCTAGAAAGTTGGGGAGGAACTTCAACCCCAGAGATATCAAGGGAGAAAGCTGAAAGGCTATCCATGAATCCATCAGTTTTGCTCCGCCGTCTCCGAGCTCCGTCTCCGACGGACTCTTGTTGCAAAACAACCGGAAAACGAACTCAAACGACACCTCGTCGCTGGCCGGATTGAAACCCGCTTTCCCATTCTGGGAAACTTGGTTTTCCAGGTTGTCGAAGAGGCTACATAGAGAGCTCCGAAACAATGGGATAAACCTAGTATGAAGCCTGGCCAAGAGCGACAAGAAAAACGCTTTCAGCGTTTCATGGCCGGGCTCGGAAGTGTCGAGAAACGCGCAGGGGCGGTGGCCGCCGAAGAAGGCGGTGGAGGGCATGAAAGTGCCGTCAAGAACGTTCTTTTTCTCGACCTTGGAGGTGTCGAAAAGAACGGGAAAGCTGACGGCGTCGAGGAGGACGACGACCCTGGAATCCTTGGAGATGAACGGTCCCGGCGGCATGTTTGTTCGGAAGACAGTGGAGTTGTACTTGTGCATTTTGTTGAGGAAGAAGTTGTCTTGTCCTTCGTTGTAGAAGTAATCACATCTGTCTCTTATGGCGCCAAAGAAGGAAGATCCGCCATAGCTATAGCTTCCTGGGATTTCTCGAAGTGGAAGGTTAGAATCAGGAGAAGATTGGAAGGGAATAGCAGAAGAAGAAGAAGACGACATTGTTTTTGTTCAATACTTAATATGGCTATGGCTCGTGGGAGAATATATAGAAATGCTGAATGTATATATATATTGTATAATACAAATATAGTTTGGAGTATGCTTGAAGCAATGACCCAATGGATCATGGGCAAAAACGATGTTGTTTTGTGTAAAAAAAAATAAATAAAAAATTACACAACACACGTTAACATACATTTTATAACTCATAATGTAGATTATTCGAAAGCATAATAATGTACATTATTCTAACTCATAAAATATATTATTTTATTTTAAAAATTTTATTATTCTAACACATAATGTACATTATTCTAACTCATACAATTTAAAGGCACAGCTGTGTGTGGACCGATTTGCCTGCTTAAAGGAGTTGTACTGTAGGTAAAGTTGCTTAAAGGTTGAAGTAATATTTTTTAAATTAAAAAAAAAAACGTTTTCAATGATGATAGTCCATCATTCATGCATGTGGTCAAGTTGGAAGTTGCAGTGTACGAATTGTTGGAAAAATTAGCTTAAAATGGCATATTAAGTGGCTATTTTGTGGTACAATTATCAATGGGGTCTACTTCTGATTTGGGTCGGGTCAAAGTGGATTCGGATTCTTCGTAGTAAGACGAAGAGATTGATATATTGTACGCTCAAAACGGATAATGGGTGAATAAGATATTGATTCTCAAAGTAGACCCATTTAAGTTGGGAAATGAAGGGAAAATGTAGGACTTTGTCCCACATTGGTTTGGAAACAAGATTTGCCCCCCTTATATACATGAGCTCTTTTCAAGCTTGTAGAATTGTATAGCATAGAGGCTCTCTCGCGTGCGCCGGCACCTGCGGACATCAAAAAGGCTTGAAATCAAGCCCGAGCTCGCGTGCGCCGGCACCTGCGGGCACGAATGTCGTCCGGATTTTTAAATTCTGAGTTTAATCCTACTTAGTGGTGACCGTTACAGGTGTTACACAATTGGTTTTAACACCAATTTAATGGCCATGTTGAATGCTATCACTCCAACATCCCTATATAAAGAGAGGTAGAAGCAGTAGCATTTTACACAGGACAAAAAAAAAACGAAAGGAATTCCAGTAGCTTTCAGCTTCCCAAAACTCTGCTTCTACTCTCTTCTTTACCAACTACTGTTCTCTACTTTGCTTTGTTTGCCGGGTTCCTTGTTTAGGTGCTTAAACAAGGAATCGTAGCACGTTTTATCCTGGGAAACCTAGGCTACAACGCTCCTAGCACTTGTGGGAGGTAGCAAATAAGGCTTTAAGGAAAAGAACCTTCTGTTCGAACTCGTGCTAAATCCCTACCCAAACACTCAACCTTTTCCTTCCCAATTCTTTCTGTTTTCCCATATAATTTTAATCTTTTCGTAGGATTATTATTTTTGGGAATTTTCAACCATATTACCCAACACGAATAGGAGGAAACAAGGAAATTTACCTAGATGGAGAGTGTATAGGTATAATATCATTTTAGATAAGAGTGATATTACGACCGGAAACTGGTTATTGGCTAGCCAGTACAAGCCTTTAGGCAAAATGTATAAAAGACAGTAAGTAATTAGGCACTAACAATCTACCGATAAGTCATAGACAATAATAATTAAACAAGAAAAAATAAACGCAAATTAATAAGAGAATGAATGACACAAAATAAAAAGAAATAGGCAAAAACTTTTGTAAACTTGTCCTAGGGATCTTTATCAGTGAGACAGGTAGGACCAAAATGAAATATAATATTATACTGGAAAATATAATACTAATTTAATTTGAAATAAAATATTTATTATTTATATAGGGAAATGTAATGTAACACACTGAGGGTTGGATGAAAATCAATTATGTTATTGTATGTCCACATTATGGTTCAAACTTGTGACTTCTAATTTGAAAGAGTTATAATTATGCCGTTTTATTATAAAGTTGTTTATATGAAATTATGAATATATATATTCACTCTATGTCAATCTCAATCTGCATAAAGACGCCATATACGTATATATGGATTATGGAGTATATTTAAAACAGTTAGTTGTTGCTTCTTGAGTTTGTTATTGCTTCTTTGTAGGATAGTAACGTGCACAAACAATGTACCATATAATCAATATATATAGGGAAGGGATCAGGTGCATTTGTAGCTTTCCGTGCAGTAGATTAATGTGCGTGAGTTATATACTTAATGTGCGTGAGTCGCGTGCTTAATGCGCCTGAGATTTGTGCTTAATGTGCCTGAGATTTGTACTTAATGTGCATGAGTGTGTAATGTTAATATGCGTGAGTTTTGTACTTAATGTGTCTGACTATTGTGCTTAATGTGCGTGAAGTTTGTGCTTAACATTACACACCACGCACATTAAGTATAAATCTCAGGCACATTAAGCACAATACTCATTTTCAAAAAAAAAAAAAAAAGCACAATACTCACGCACATTGAGTACAAACCGCACGCACATTAATCAACAGCACAACCGCACAGGAAGCATTCAACCACACAGGAACCTTACAATATATATAAGCAGGGATCGAGTCTCACCAGCGGCAGTGTGGGAGCAACCTCTCAAAGTGAGGGGGGCTCCTTGTGCGCAGTGAGCACCGGTCTAGCCTCTGTGGTTCATGTTCAGTTGAATCACCATGATTTACATCCTCCCAAATGCTCTTTCGGGCCGGGGTGTGGGGGCTCTTAGGATTGGAGTTCAGCCTTTTGGAAGAATATTATTGATTGTTATTAAAGTCATCAATTTGTAAGGACAATAATTGACTAAAGAGTGGAGCATATTATTGATTGTTATTAAAGTCATCGATTTGTCAAGGACAATTTACCAAAGAGTAGGATGTAATCCGATGAAACAAAATATGTCACTCTGTTTGTCCATACTTGTCTAATCTGATAACTTTAAAAATCTTGTCTAATTCGTATAACTTTAGAAGGTACAAGTTAGACATTGAACTTTAATGAAAGGAGTGGTTCACTGAAAATGGTCAAGTATTAAATCAGAAGATCACAAGTTAGACTATTGCCAACACCTTATTAGTCTAATCCATCACATAGGGTCTTTCTAGTGTAACTTATCTTTTTTTGTGTGATTTATGAGCTACCTCAAGTAGTGACAACATGTTTCCCTCGTTACCCCTCAATGATGTGATCTGATGAAACAAAATATGTTGCCATTTTCTTATCATTTGTCAAACCTTGCCTAATTCGAATAACTTTAAAAATCTTGCCTAATTTATACTCCGTGTAAATTTAGAAGACATTGTTTCCTTAGACATGACATCAAGCTTTAATGAAAGGAGTGGTCCACCCAAAGTAATTCAATAAATGAAACATAATTTTTGTATATGAGATTATATAATCTTAAAATGATGATACTTGTAATAAATAATCTATATCACATCTTTTTATATTCATTAGTTACTTAATCAATCTTCATCACCAAGAAGCTCTGATCTTCTCGCTTCAGAATTTTAGAAATTTGAAGATGAAGTCCAACTGATATAGAAAACAGATAAAATGTAGTGTTTGATATATAAATGGCTAGTTTGATTG